TGCCAATCTGTAGGTTGGTAAAGAATTTAGATTAGCTTATCAGCCTAGTTAATAATACGTTATTGTGGTTCACAAGGGTTGTTTGAGATCTGATTGGTTTTTTAAAACTACCATCTGTTAATGTTAGTGTTTAATACGGCTTCAGTGTATTCCTTTATCCTAAAAGGCAAATTTCATCATAAATAGGAAGTTGCGAACATCATCTACTAAGAAATCATGAACATTCAATTTTAGACTAATTCACAGCCTTTAAGTTATTTAAGTTAAAAGTTGTACCTAGTCATTTTCATTTTTGAAAACCTCTTCTAGCAGCAGATTTGCACACAAAAATGGACCTGATGACATCACAAAAGTTTGCTTTTATGAAATTGTGCCGTACTATTGTAAATTTACACTGTTTTTGCCATGCCACTAACATTAAAGGTGGTAATTAGCTTCTGTGACATTCTTTAAAAGGGTATGCTTATTCTGAGTGATGACATGCTGTAAGATTTAATGCACACTGTTCCTGCTCTTCTGTAAACATGACAGGCATTCAATGCATCAGATGACTGTATGATTACACATACTCATGACTGATACATTTACAGTCATTGAATTCCCCAGGAGAGGCAAATGCTCTTGTTTCACGTTTGAAATGATCCCAATTTAATACACAGTGCACACTAGAAGATCTGCTTTCTTTTGTGTAAGAATGTAAATGCATGAAAGGTTTAACGTGCTGTCATTATTGCCCTTGTATATCATGAGAACATATTTAAAGACCGGAGTAGTCATTTCTAGTCCTGTAAGGATACATGCCTTCCACTTCAGCCCTAGGTTATTTCTGCTAGATACCAGCTTGACATTGTGATCTGAAGTTACCTACTGCGTCTGATGGATGGCAGCTTCCAAGCCTGGAGCTGTACACCTCTGGTGTTTGGCCCAGCCTTGGCTGCAGGCACATGACCTTAAGGACTCGGGTTTCGTTGATCTCAGATAAACTCAGAATTTGACTTTCAAAAAACAGAACTTTCTGTTCTAACACTTGTCACAAATTTGCCATCATGCATGAACAAAGGATACTTTTCGACGTTCATTCTAGCTTTAAAACTTTTTATAGCTTCTTAAGCACCAGGTGCAATTTGGAAACTTAAGGGATGTTTATAAGCAAATAGGACCTGACAATGACGAAAAGACAAAGTACAACCTTGGCAGACTGGGAGCCCAAGGGGAAGAGAAACAAGTGAATTTCCACAGTTCCTTTCTTAACCTTAACCTTATAAAAAATGGAGGCCTGGAATTAATCTTTTATGATGTGCTGCAGATTACGCAGGTTCTGAATGATTGTTTTCTTTGTAAACTCCCTGAGGTGGAATGCCTCTTCTATTTTAACTCTGCTTCTCACATGCACACTCTGTCGAGCAAACGTGCAATTATAGTGGCTCTGCAGGCACAAGAGTCATTTAGTTGCCATTGTAGATGTTCAGAGTTGTGGCCACCCCTTACTTCTTTTTCCCTTTCTAAGAAGAGAGTAGATCTTGTGGATCTAAGTCCTGCTTTGCTTAGCTCCTTTACATCAAAAAGTGCTGAGGTTGTGTTTTATTGTACATAAGCCATTACTTTCAACAAGAGCTGAAGAGCTTTTGGTGCAGCTGTCTACATGTATTGATCTAGCTGTCGTACCACAGCTAGGATTAACATTGATTTTTGACTTCAGGATGTCTGTTAAGAAAGTAAGGCCTTTTTCTGATATGGAATATTTTAAATATGTTAACTGTGTAGCCTCTTGCACTCCTTGTAACTGTTATTGTCAGTAATATAATTTTTATATTTTTGTATTTAATATAGTCACCCTGTATTTTAAAAAGTGATTAACACATATATACTGTTGTGGTTACAATTTTAATGGCTGTGCTTTATTTTTGTGAAGACATTTCGTTAGCATGTCAGTTTTGTCTTGTAAACACAAAACATACTTGTAACACAGTTATTTTTACTCCATATGACATAAAACGAAATATGGCAATATAGATGAGTCAGGCACATGCCGAATTTTCTCACTTTTATGTGACTATTTAGGAACAGTATATCGACTGACAGTGAGAAAACTACTAATGTTTTTGTTATGAAATTGTCTGGTGAATGCAATCACTTAACAGTTTATGGGGTCTACAGTGCCAATAAAAAGATTCTGAACCCTCAAATTCTTATGGGAATTAAAATTTCTTACCCTTGTTTAATTACAGCCATGTCTTCTTAAATAACCAAAGGGGTTTATATATAGGGTCAGGATAGACCTAAGAGGATTTAGGATTGCCAGGAGAATATTGTGTCTTAACTATTTCAATATACAAGCTACTTTTAAACTTGTTTTCTTTCTGAAAAACAGAGCATGTACTTTCCATTATTTTTCTTTTGTGTGTGCTTCAACTTTTTTATAACCTTTGGTGGAAAACCTGCCAACATATATAGAAAATGATCTAGATGAAGAGGCTATTCAGCTCATTCATGCTCGATAAGTTCCTGTAGTTAATCGATCTCTTCAACCTTATGTTGTAGGAGATATTTCTGTCTATGCATCAGTGAACTGTTGCATTAAAAAAAAAACATCTAGTGTTGTTAAGTATAAATACACCTCACACTCTTTTGGGGGCAATGTCAGGGATTCTTTCTTTATTTAATAGAAGATTTAACTTGTGGCCCTTCAGAATGAATGGATTTCATTCTCTCTATTAGAGCTCTCAGTTTTTCAGCTTTTCAGTTTACACATACGTCCTCTCTTCCTGTACTATATTTGACTTCTATTCTTTGCATTCCTTTCAGAGTTTAGACTAGTTCAGACTTAGTGACAAACAACAGGATATTGTTTCCAGATGATACTGTATGTTGCCTAACATAACTATTGTAAGGCCTTGTTCTTGTTTTTTTTTTTGCTCTCTCTCAATTGTTATTGTTGTTTTGTCCAATACGTTTTTTTGACAACGTGGCTTTCAGCGGAGCAGACGGAACTGTCTTTTCCGAAACCGTGACCTTGGGCGGAGTGTTTGCATACTCCCCTCCAACATCTTCCACATCACACTGTTTTCTCCATATGGATTTATGCAAAAAAGGCTGGAAAAATTTTTCAAACCAGGAATGTTTTCCTCATAAAATGGACTATAAAATGAACATAGTGACATGCAAGATTTTTGCTTCCTTTTGTTGTATGTTTTTAACAATACAAGGAAGAGATCATTAAGAAAAGAAGAGAGGTTATAAATGAGAGGAGGACATTGGACCTGTTTATCAGTTACTAGTTAATTGTTCCAAGGAGCTCATCTAGCTTTTACTTCAAAGAAGCCAGGGTATTAGCTTCAGTAACATGGCTGGGTAGCTTGTTCTATACACCCACAAGCCTTTGGGTAAAGAGGAACCTCCTCTTCTCAAATTTAAAAGTACTTCCACATAAATCCATTAGTGCCTGAGTGGAGCACAAATGCCATTAAAACATGTCACTTCTCATTTAACACCTTTCTGAAATATTTTTGCTGTTTACCCATACTGGGTGGGCTTATCCCTTCAAGCATCTCTGGGATCCTGACAAACAGTCACCTCGAAAATTGTGTGCTCAAAATATTTGTTTTATTAGCTTTGCCTTTAGGTTTGTTTCTTAATAATTGCTTCAGCAGATGTATTTTTGTGAAGTTCTTGCTGGTTGCCATATTCAAAGACAAAAATACTAAAACTGCATTTCGGACTCTTTTTAACAGGTTCGAGCTTTAACTCATTTTGAAATATATTTCTTTAAGCCAGTTATTTTTCCTGTGAATGTGATGACTAATCACTCTATCTTGTGGCACCTTGGTTGCAAAACCAATTCCTATAATTCGGAGTCTGCGGGCTATGCTGTGTACATTGCCTTTAGCCAGCTGTGACAGGTATTCCCTGACTGGCTGGATTGGGTTAACAATCTTTTGGTTGGGTAGCTCCCAACCATATTGCTGTTGCATACTGCCACAACTCTTTGTGAAAAGAATTACCTCCTGTTCTCGTTTTAAATGCATTTCTCTGTAGTTTCCACATTTGCCCTCTGGTTCATATGAATGCTCACGAGTTGCATTAATATCACCAAATTATTATTTAGTTCTCAAAAATCTGAAAAAAAAAAACTAAAATCCCTGTAAATCTGACGGCCTGACAGTGCACTTCTCAGAGGATGAGAGTAAGTTGGCCTCATCTCTCCTCTTCTGCTGCAAGGGATGTAGCAGAGCATTAAGCTGATTAAGGGCTAGCGATTCCAAGCCGGGGAGGAGTGAAAGGCACAGAATAACATGTGATTAAAAATAAAAAATAACCCAACAAATTGTCATTAGTAACTGTTTTGCTATACTTTAGTTTTCCAGCAGTAACTGTTGACGTGGTGTCCCATTAGTCATAGAACTTCACCCTAAAGCCACAGACTTTCTGTTAATTAAAAGGGCCCTTATGTAGTTTTATAATGGAATAAGAAGGTTGGAGAGAAAAGCAGAAGCCACTCAGGAAACTACAAGCCTCAGAAGGAAAAAAAAACACACAAATTACCCTTCAAGACCAGACAATTATCAGCAGCCAGCTCAAATCTAAATCTTAGGAACAACAGATTTCTGGTTAAAATAGAGCAACTAAAGATTCCCCGAAGAATGAATGGAGACTGTGTACCACCTTTCTGCCTCATATCATTATTTTCCAGAAAAGAGACATGGTATGCTTCAAACCTGTTTTGTATTGAGGATGTTTTAATTAAAACATATGGGATTTTTCTGTGGTGTCAGCAGTCGTACAGTCGATGAAACGATTAGGATTTTGTGAGCAAGATCCATTGATTGGAAGAAAAGACACAGGAGCAGTCTCCTTTCAGTCTCTTTGGAGGTAGTTATAAAATCTTTTCGAGAGCAGACCCTGCCTATATGCTGAGAGTTGGCAGGAAGCGGAGAAATTGCTGGGAATTAAATTGAAGGAGCCAGCAAGCTCGAAGCAGCACAGGCGGCAGCCAGAGCTGGGACTTTTGACAGAAGCTTGTGTTAAGTGGGCAGGGAGGACTGGAGCTCGACTGGGGACTACCGGACAGGGCTGAGCCCACAGCAGCGCTTGGCCAGCCTTCAGGCACGCTTAATGGGAGTGAGGGGGCCGTTTTTGGATGCGGCCCAGGAGGCATGCTGAAAGAGGAGTTTGTGTGACCCTGGCTTCATACACCACCCTGGCTTTCCCTTAAAAGAGATTCAGGCGGGCCGCTGCTGCAATTACATCAGCTGCGAGAGGAACCCCAGGTTTCTTTCTGGGAAGGCGATGGCAGTGTGAAAACTCCAAGACAAGCGATGGCCTCAGGTTTTATGTGTGGGGTCGAGGATTTGCTGATCAGCGGCAGCCAGTTTGTCTGGGACCTCACGATCACAACCCTGAGGAAATGGTACATGGAGAGAGTGAGGCGCTGCCAGCAGATTGTGCGGACGTGGTGCAGACTGGGGGAGGTTTACCAGGTATAACGACTGGCACGGGGTCCGTTTCTTTTACCTTGGGATGTTTCTCCCAATGCCAGTGGAGTGATGCTGGTAATGATGCTAGAGTACTTTGAGCCTTGCCATTAATTAACATTAATTAACCTTCCTAATTGCTCCATTTAGAATGAAATGTGGAATAGTCTTAACAACAGACTTTTTGAATATTGCTTGAAACAACTTGGATTTAAGATGAGAATATAGCCATTTTTTCTTACAAAGTTATAATGGGAAAGGCTACAAAGTATTAATTGCATTTAACCCTGGCTCTTTATACCTAAAGATATATGTGTTTAACCCATTCATTTCTGTATATTTTTGTGACTTTGAACTGGAACGGGTGCCTAATCTGAATGTGCCGTAGGTACCTTCTTCTTTCACCCCATGCTTGATCTCTTGCTTGTTTCCTGAGCTTGTGGAGTGTTCCTGGCGATCTTTTACGCCGTTCATTTTCCCTGAGAAAAATTCCAGCTGCAGCTTCTCGTGAAAAGGTCCCTTTGTGTCAGGAGAGTGGAGTCGAGGAAGGTGTATTAACACAGCACAAGCTCCTGTATTTGCCACTTCATGAGGGGTTCTGGGGGTGCCAAGATACACCCCCCATGTCCGCTGTGTGGTGATTTGCTATGAATAGTCTTTCTGGAAGATATTCACTTTAGAATAAGTACCTAGTATGACAATGATGACAATCAAAGTGTAGCAGTTCTTTTTTTGTGAAGTGAGACTTTTAGAGAGACATAATTCCCTGGGTTCAAATCCCTTAGTTTAGGGGGCAGTCTTTTGCCATTGGAGTTTTGTCTGAGACAGGGGTTCAAACTCTAGGTCTCACCACGGGTGCTACTGTGGTTCCACTGAGTGGATCAGTGCTAGTCAGTCACTTTGGGATGCTGATGAGTCAAAGATGTAAAGTGTAATAGTATCCATTGTGGTGAATGAGACCCCTCATGTTGACTTATCTCCCTTAGTCTCTCAGGACTGCTCCAATCTCTTCCTTCTATTGCAGTAGCTACAAAAAACAGATTAGCTGCATGGTTGATAGTTGACAACTTTTTCTTTACGTTTGTTGTGGCTTAAGTCAAGAGTTTAACACCTTGTCAATGCCTTGAGATAGTGCTATATGACTTTGTTATGGACGGTGAGGTTTGGCATCTTGGAGCTGTACCCGAGACCCAGGGTCTAAAAGCTTACACCAGGCAGGGACTAGAGCAACAGAGAAATCTGTCTAATTAACACAAGAAGATGTTCAATAGCTGGAGATCACCATTAACACAGATTACACACTTTGTTCTTCATCTGTGTCAGTGCGCAGTTCTGTGGATGACAAGCAGTAGTCATACTAAATTAATTTTGAATCTAATTTTGTAATCATCGTCAAGTCTATTGCATCTTGGAGAGAGAAAAATGATCATGAAAGCTTGTAATGAAAAGATGCTTAGAGCTGAATCCAATACACTAGCCTATATTCTTCTTAATCCATTTCTGCTACAGAATATAATTCAGACACCACAAAATATATAATCCCATCAACTCCTGTAGTATGAATCTGTTTATTCAATCTTTATTCATTGCTTGTGCCACCGATGGGATTTCCATTGTGCCAAATACTGCAGCCTTTTCCTGCAGCCTTCAGTTCTTGAACACAGCACATTGCCTTCCCAGACAGGTTGTATGCTTAGTGCTGAAATGATCTAATAAGCACTGTACGTTTTAGTTCTGTACCTGATGCTGATAAACAGATAAACTGTTTTGCTTTTTCATTGGGCTCAGTCCATGTAGAAAGAGTTATTAAATGGACCCCTGTATAGTTAAATAAATAGTTTGCCTGTTTCAGTCCTGCTGTTTCCATATTGGTCACCTTGTGTCTGAAACTATTCTGATCAAATAGCCCATTTCAGGGCATGTCAGGAAGCCAGTTCAGCTTTACAGCTGCCAGTGGGGATCTGTACAGCAGGTATGATTTCCTCTGATCACCTAGACCTTTAGATCAGTCAATGTGGTACAATAGGTTTACTGCACGTCTTTCCTAGCCCAGGTGGGATTAAAAAAATAATTGTTATAAAAGCATAGAAATAGACAAAAATTAGAAGAACTGGACAGATTTAAGAGAACAGAAGCCACTTCAACATAAAAATGAATTTATGTTTTGTCTCAAACTGGAGAGGGTGTTTTCATATTAATCTTGTAAAAAACGCCTGGAACAGAAGGCGTTCTGTGACACATGGAACTCGTTAGTAAGCAGTTTGAGCAGCCTTTTGATCTGCACTCTTGTTTGGTTTGAAACAGAGCATGGAAATTGGGCTCCGTCAGAGATTTCAAAAAGACCAATGGGATGCTCAAAACAAATAACTCCCCGTACAAGGTTTTTTTTTCAGATTTTCACAGTATGTTTCTCTTGTCACTAGCTGTCTATTAGTGTTCGAGTGTCTTTCAAAGTGTTTTGTTCTGCTAGTGTGAAACTTTGTCCCATAGACAAAATTAAAAGGGAAACATTCTGTTTACTATGTCTTGATTTAGAAATGTCTTGACAGAAAGCAGTGTACATTGATGATTTGAAACATGATCTGTACCTCATCTGTACATGTGCCTAATGCACATGTACCTAATATCAAAATATCAAGAGGGAGCCTAATATCCTCAGGGTCAGAGAATTACGCAACTGTGTGCTATTGTCTAGAAAGGTTAATAACTAGACCCGATGCCAGTAAGTGACCTGTGTGGTGACACAGGAGCTCTCTGCTCCCTAGGTCACGTCTCAACAAGCATGGTGTTAAGAGAGACTACTTTTGAAGTGCATACTCTTTTTACAAACCTTTAAACCGATGCATTGTCTTCTCCATTGACTTTAAAGATCACATGGCACTATCTCAAAGCATTGACAGGGTGTTAAACTCTTGACTTAAGCCACAACAAACGTAAAGAAAAGTTGTCAACTATCAACCATGCAGCTAATCTGTTTTTGTAGCATGTAATCTTTTTTTCAGCTTATGAAATGACTTTGATAAATACACACATACTGTATACTCATAACCTACTTCTAGCTTTACCTGGTTATTACATTCATAGTCTAAAAAGGTAGATTGCTGACAATTTTGATCCTCTTACAGTGCCAATGGCATTAGTAAAAGCCATTTGCTGTAAAATGCTTAAGAGGGATCAAGGCTCCTGTCTGCTTTTATTTATGGATTCTCAGTGTCTCTGGTTGTAGTTTTCTTTTTGCCCAAATGGCTTTGCTATTTTTTTAGACACACAAAATATTTCATTTTCTTGACCACACTGGAGAGATCTCAAACTGGAAATCATGTGAGAGGCCATATCAGAGCTGTTGATATGTGAAGATCGATACACATGCCACTTGTTCATTATACTACCGTATGTGTTGTGTAGGGAACAGATCACAGTTTAACAGGAGCTTTAACCCTCATTTGTATGGTGTAGAGTATAGCCAAGGTAGGGTAAGCTTTTAAAATGGAAATGGGCAACTTAAAAGTGTTTTTTAATAGGTAGGTTTAAAGAAGGTTAAGTTGCATAGTGACCTTGTGGCAGTTACTGTAGGTGATGGTGTTAGTGGCGTTGACCTAGTCAAAGGGCAATGCCTCTCAGTGGCAAATCAAATGCTGAACAGCTTAATGTGAACACAAACAAGGAACATCCTGGAGAGAGCTTTCCACATGTGGAAAATGTTACCATTGAGTGAAGGCACTGGTTCAAGCAGAATGTTTTGTTTTGAGAGATGCTGAGGGAAACAGTGAATGACGAGCAGAGAGGAGACAAGACCTTTAAGTCTAGTCTGTTGCTTTTTCCATAAGGAAAAGTCCATTTTTTTTCAAAAAAGCTGACCACCCCTAAATAATTCCCACAGCACATAAAATCAATGGAGGTTTCTATACAGTATACGTTATACTGTATGATTATGTTTGTGTAACAATGAAGCATTATGGGTTATGAACAGTACCACACGTAGAGAACCCCAAAATCTCTTTAGGAGTTACTATAGCAACTAATCCCTTTTTAGACTATGGATTTTGTGTAATTAACGAGTTCCAGTAATACTCTCTATTAAGAAGGATTAAATATAATCCAATGGATATACTTCTTTGTGCAGTTGCCCCAAGGTTAGTCGTGTAATTGCTTTTTTCATCAAAAGAGACCTTAAGTATGAGACTTTTTTATTTTATCTTGTATAGTAGTATTTCAAGAATTTATCAGTACAAAACCAAGAGTATCAGTACAAAAAACAACACTGATGCAGTTGTACTATTATTATAATGTTTCTGAATGTTCATTTTGGTAAAACGTATTGCTGTGTCCTAATTGCCACAATGACGCTAGCTTAATGTGAGACTGGAGTTTGCATCTGTTTACTTCTATAAATGTATAGTACATCAGGAGTCTGACAATCGACAATCTGGGTTTCTGATGTCAGTACCCATATATCCTTTGTTGTCAGGCTTTCTAATTTGGTATAAAATGCAACTGTGAAGAAAAAACAAAGACAATCACTATTAATGAGTTTGTCTGAGGAGGTCAGCTGGTATGATGAATGTGCTAAATTAAAGGCTGTTGGGAAAAGAATACAGTGATTAGATAAAAGGAATGGGTAGCTCAACGACTCTGCTCTTAATCAGATGCATTACTGTTCCTAAAGAGAAAAATACGCACATCCAATTAAATATCCCAGCATCTAATTTACTGTATATTCTGGAGCACACACACATCTGATGTGGTGTGCATTGTACATGACACACAGGCAGCAAAACAGTATGTTCTTCTGTCAAAATTAGGTCACTGTGCATTATACTTCAGCTACTCCAGATGGGTGTTTATTTCTGGATGGGGCCCCTGTACTGCTTTTTAAGGTCACCATAACGCTAAAACGTCTTTGTCTTGGATATGCACCTGGGAGGAAACTGGAGGAAAATGAGGAGAAACATTAAACACCACAAAGGGTTAGCTATACAGTATATGTGTAGGAGCTCACAAGCTTATTGAAATGGCAGGAAAAAATGAATGGTTATTGAATGAGTGGTTGCTGGAAGAATGGTTGTTTTAAATTATACTCCCAAGAATAGCGGGTGCATTGTGAACAAAATGCCATGCTTCATTCAGAAAAGAGTTTTTGTTTTAGTGTTTGTCTATTTTTACAAACAACAATCTCTAAACATTTCTATTCATGTCATTGTTTTCCCATTGTTGTGTCGAAATTAATCAATGGTACAAATTGAATGTGTTGCAAAAAGACTGCAGTTCAGGCTAACTAACATGTCTGTTTGCTTATTAAATAAAGGAAGAAGTTTTTGCAAATATTTCAGGGCAGTGCAGTTTCGTGACAGTAACAATAAACATCTTGTGGTTTACAGAAAGTTATAATTACATTAGTGGGTGAAAAATCCCAAAAACAAAATAAAAATTGTATTAAACTACAATTATATTATAGTTCTGGAGAAAGCAACAATGTTCCAGCACGTTGTTGTCAGCACACCCATAGTAGTTATTTTTATTATATAGTACAGTTGTAGCTGGTGTTCCGTAAGATAACTTTTTTTCATCGCTGCATAAGTATAGCCAGACCACTTGGCACTCAAATGCACTTTAATGTTTTCCATCAAGAAATGAAAATACACACTTTAAACCATGTTCCTGAGGAGCTCCTTGTGCATCAACATTCAATTCGTGAACTGCAGGCTTCATTTGAGAAATGAGAGCCTATTAAACAAAGGAATGAAAATGAGTCTGGGCTTCGGTAGGAAGAGAATTATTTTTATTCTTCCTACCACTTCCTCTTTGCGTTTGGCAAACTTTGCTTTTTAAAGTGCAAGATTAGTTTAAAACAGTGGTGTACTAATCCAGTAGTGTCTTTCATTAGGTTTTCATTTCTGCTGAGCTGGTCTACCTAATGATATTAATAAATGACATTAATTTAAGAGATCTAGTAAGATCTATCAAACTATAAATGCACACCTCTGGGAGCATAACAATACCTGTAAAAAGGTAAAGGTACAGTCCATACCAGAACCACAGGAGATCATCAGGCCAGAGATTTTCCTGGTTTCTGTAGTGTTAAAGAGACTAGAGAGCATGTAACTCTCCCCAGGACTGGACACTGGTACCTCACATTGATCACCCACAGCAATGCTGATTCTCATTTATCATTCCCATCTGGGTGGACTGGAGCAAATGGGTAAAGTCTGCGGTAGTGTAGTTTTTCATTCAAAGTTGGTTACATGAGGTGACACAGAAAAGTGAAGATCATTATGGCAACAACTGAAGACCTAAAAGCAATAATACAAAGTGAAAAACAAAAGACAAAAAATACTTGTTGTGGGCAAAAGAGTTGTGGAGTCAAGAAAAGCAAGAATATTCTCTGGAGGTGCTGTAAAAATGAGAGGTGTCAGCAGACAAAATATGAATGCAGTTAGTTAACATTAGCATGCTTTTTCATGAGTCAGAATTCTTCTAGAATTACTGGAACTCAAACTATTTTGAATAAATTGATCATCCTAAGTAGGAGCATTGATATACTGTATTAAGTGTCAAACAGTGTAATTTTCCCATTGTGGAGAAACAAAGGTGGATGAAGAGGTTGAAAATATTTTAGTGTCTTAAAACCAAAACCTTAAGAAATGTACGCTGTGTGTCTAGATTAACATGTAAGGTGTATGCCTGTTTCCACATAAAATTGTTAAAATTTGTCTTGGGTGTTGAAGAGAAGCAACAGACTGAAAACACAAACACACACCTGGTAAACTGATGACACTGCCAGCAGTTATCATTTCTGTTAGAGGCTTAAAAATCCATTTTCTTTATCTTGTGAGCTCAAGATGGAAGTAATTATTTTTACAGGAAGTGAAATGTGCAGATATATAGACTTTAGAAATTTATGAGCTTGAGGACAGGGGAGTCCTAATCATTCTCTATACGTTCATGGTTTTTTAATGTTCTGGTTGGTGAAATTTAATATTCTTAATATGCATAGAAAGCTCTATGAGTCACGCCCTTATTGACATGCTGCTCCTGTGTTGCAGATGACAGAAGGCAGGCTCTGCCAGGTACACCTCTTGGATGAGAGAAAGCTGGAATTGCTTGTTCAGGTGAGCTGTGCTGCCTGCCCTCACATTCCTCTGAGCATAAATGTTTCAGTAGTTACTTGCCTTGAACCTTGAGATTCTTACAGAGGGTATGTGCACACTTGTAATTACAATTAATTGCCACTGCATTTAAGAATATTGTTTGTGCATAACAGCCTGCTATAATAAAGGATTATCCTAAGATATCACACTTTCATTTGAAAATACATTAGTTCAACTGCTTGCAAATCCTAGGGAAAATGTCCTTAATTCAGCTTCTAAAATGCAAGAGTAAATTTTCAAATAAAGGTTTAAAATCTCAAGTGGTCAGCCTTACAAGGAGACTAGCAAATCAATTACCTGAAAATGTCAAAGAAAAAAAGTAGATTCAAGGGTCAGAGGTTTTCCATCTTCATAAGACCTTTCACATTTCAATTTGTGTTGCTCTTGTTTGTTCAGCCAAAGTTGTTGGCAAGGGAACTGCTGGATCTGGTTTCATCCCATTTTAACCTCAAGGAAAAGGAATACTTTGGAATAACCTATATTGATGACACGTAAGTAAACTGCTAAGAAAAACTGTGGACTTTGGTTAAGAATGTTGTTTATGTAAATAATATAGTTTGGCTTCTGAGAATGAGGTATAAAACTACTACAAAGGATTATACTATCTTGTCTTTACTCTAAAAGACAGACACAGTTATAAATTCCAAAATGGATGCCAGCGAGCAAATGCTTTTCTAAAATTGTAATCTTACTGCTTGAAATAGGGAACATAGTATATAGCTTGAAGAACATAGATGAACACTTTTTGTGAAGGACACACCTCCAGCTCTGGAAACAGGTTTGAAATATGCATGCACCTGGGGTTACTCATCATGCTCCAGAAACGCACAGAAAACGTGTCTGTTTCGCTTGAAACGGGTGGAGTGTTGTGCGGCTCCACGGTACAGCTCTGAAATCAGGCTGAAGCTGGTTTCGCAGGACTGCTCCTTTTCCGGTCTTCGGAACATTCTTTTCCTAGTAGTAATGATTTTGGCGAGGATTTTCTGTGTGGTACATTCTTACGTACAAAAATAGTACAGAAATGGTTTCCGACGGTTTTGGAAAAGGTGATTTTGTCATGCTGAAACCAGATGATTACAAAAAAAAATGTTTTTGCAATCCACAACTGCTATGTATTTATGTGTATGTACAATTAGACGTCCGACCTTGGCTTAAAATTGTGAAGGACAAAGAATTGTGTATAAACCTACAAATATTGAACAGGTGGACAGAAAGAATATAATATACAGAAATGTCTTTCAGTTGCTCTAGGGGATAGGTAAGGTGTAATCTGTGTTATACACCTATAGCAAAATATGGAACCCAGTCCTTGTGATCGTTTGTGATTGTTTATTGGTAGAACAAGTTTAAAAAAGTACTGACTGGGGCAACATATCCATATACATATCCCTGCTTTTACTGTAATAAACCTAATTTTTAACATGACTTAATAGTTTCTCCTTAACTTGATCCCCTACATAAAATGTAAGACTTCTGACAGGAAGTGTTTCCCTTCTCTTTTCCCAGTGGCCAATGTAACTGGCTGCAGCTGGATCGCAGAGTACTAGACCATGATTTTTCGAAGAAACCAGGGCCTGTTGCCTTGAAATTTCTGGTCAGGTAAGGGTTTCTGTCAGTTTCCTTAATTCCTTAAGTATGGTAGATCTCATTTCAAAGGTCAATTCAGATGGACTGACTTGTAAATGTTAAAATAGGAGCCCCCTGTAGGCAGGTCAGAGGTACAGTAAAAACAGTCTCAGACCCAAATAAAGATATCAGCAGTTTTAAGGCACATGTTAGTGTTAAAGGAACCCTCTTCCAGGTTACAGACCACTGATTGTATGTGATGTATTCTCCAGTGGGGTGCGCTAAAGAGTCAGTAGTCATCAAAATTCTGCGCTGGAAGTACTCCTTGAGAATCAACTTTCAGAAATTATATTTGAGCACTGCAGAAAGTCTGGAAGTGTCTAAGCTCTTTCATCTATCTATCTATATATATGTCCTGGGAAGTTGACCCACGTAACGCTGAACAAACATTAGAGCAAACAGAAGGTGGCATTTTTCTCCCTTAACATTAAGAAATCAGAAATGGGAAAAATAGTGTAATCTTTTACTTCTCATACAGTCATGTTCTAAATGTACACAAGCAATTCTGGAAGGTAAAGCTATGTAGGTAGAAATATACTTTTCTGTTCAAGTGGAGGTAAACCATAAGGAACAATTTATATTTTTACTAATAAAATTGAAGTGAATCAATAGAAATGGCATACACTTGTATTCATTAAACATTTGGTTGTTTCACACTTTTTAATATTACGGGTTTAGGTGATAATGGAAAAGCAAAGAAAATTTTATTTTGAGTAGGGTATGCAGGAAGAAAAGTAAAAATGCTTTCTGTTCAATTGGATTTAAGCTTGGACCTTTTCCAAGTTTAAGTCTGAAATTAAGCAGCAAAACTATTTTTTGGATCATTAAAATGGATCAAGTTAAAGTGCCTGTATGTTCTTTCTACAGGTTTTACATTGAGAGTATATCTTTCTTAAAAGAAAACATTACCGTCGAGTTATTTTTTCTGAACGCGAAATCATCCATCTGCAATGTAAGTATTTGGGTACTGTATATCAATATTACCATATTGTTTTATTTTGATTGAACCAGTTTAAACATTATTCTGCATACTAGAACTGATATGTTATTCCTGTTTGAAGGGGGTCAGTTGATATTATAAACACAGCATGTAGGAAAGACCATGATAAATAATTCTGTGACACATTTACTGTACGGGTTACATGGTGGCACAATAGTTACCATTACTGCCTTAAAGTGCTTGGGCCGTGTTTTCAATTCCTGAGGTGCTATCTGAGTGGAATATGTATGTTCTCCCTGTGTTTGCATGGGTTTCCTCTGGGTGTTCCTTCACACATTCCAGTAACATACTGGTAGGATAATTGTCTTCTGATTGTCCCTGGTTTGTGTGCTTGTCTGTATCCGTGTGCCCTGTGGTAGACTGGCATCTCATCCAGGTTGCTGCTCTGAACCCGTTACATGCTGGGATAGGCTCTAGTTCTCCTGTGACCCTGCATTTGATAACGCAGTTGGATAACTTTATTAGAATACACTGTGGTGTGGACACAGTCAAGAGTAGTAAAGCACAATGAAAACATGTAAATGTTATAGGAAACCACAGCAAACATTTGGTGAAACTAAGGTAAAAGAGTAAAATGCTGTAGTATGTTTGCAAAGGTAAACTTTAAGGATAGGCTGCAAACTAGATAAAAACATCTGCAATTTGCCTGCCAAAAGCAATTTTCAAATCCATATTAGATGGCAGCTTTACCCAGTGTTGTTTTTAAAATTGTTTAGATTTAGCAAAATTTGTTTTGCTAAAACAAAATTGTTTAGAGTTGCAAATGGAAAGATTTTGGTGTAAGGTACAGAATAGCAATGGACAAATTGAATGTTTTGCTTTTCATTGCGGAACAATCAAAAATTCCTAATATTAGTGAAATACACCAAATTATAGGCTCTACAAAAACCTCATGACCATGACTATTTTAAATCAGCTTTTATTGTTTCTAATTCTTCGACTTAGTCATTTATAAATTCAGGCTTGGTTGGTTCCAGTGTGGTTATGGTGTTTAATTAAGTGATTTTTGTGTTTTTACAGTGTCATGTAAACTGAAAGTTATATCTTGGTGAACTTTATGTACAAGATAAAGTTTAAAAATAGCATAGCAGGGCTGTGTTCTTAGTTGACCACTTGTTCCGTTCCATTCAAGTACTCTTGCAGTCACTACTCCATCTAACTTATTCAACAACAGATATTTAGATAGATTATATAAAGTTTGGGTTTACTTGCAGAAAGAGAAACCATAAAGAAAGTATCCAAAGGTCGTTCTTGTGAGAGAGTTAGTTTTAATCAGACAAGTAGATCAGAACCGCTGTTGAAAGTTAAAAAGAAAATAACTTAAGGACAAAAATACTTTATGCTTTCCAGAGGTCAGATCCCTCCAAAAAAGGCATGTTATGCCAAAAACAGTTTGTGGTCGGAGAGCTCCTTTGTGCACATGGCATTTACAGAAGACAGCCGTTAAAAGCTAAAGAGCAGTTTTAGTTTGAAGACTGGCTGTCCTCCAGCTCTAACGGACTGCAAAGGCATTGCGGTGTGACTGTTTAAACTTCTGAAATCTTGCAAGAAAGTATCCTGATATTCGTTTGCACTTGAACTGGAAAAACACCGCATTACAATTATATTGGGACATCATTGAACAATCTGTTTGTTTCTTTATGTGCTGAAACTTTGTACCCTAAAATGTCAAGCAATGGCTACATTCTACCTATAAAATATATTACATTGTTTAGTCGAATGTTCAAAAATGTCTTCTGATTGACCTCTGGAACTTATTTAAAACAATGAAAGTGTTAACCGTAGCTATGAATTAACACTATGTACTAAAATGCAGAAATCTGTAATTCTGTCTTAAACTCTAGGTTTTTAGGAGTCCCCACAATTACGAGTCCCACCTCTAATACAATATTGTTGCATCTTTCCTGTTACTGAAAGTCAAGCTCAGGCTTCCAAATATGCACCCTAATTAAAACAGAAGGAAACTTGTCTCTTCTGAGGAAGCTATTCAGCTGTTATACTGTACACTTGGCTGTTTTCCTGTGGAACTCAATATAGACACCTGGAAAAGACATGCCTGGTAACACTTAATGGTAGCCATATGGAAACATGTACAGTGTGGCTGTTTTACGTAACTCACAAATGTCTGTTTTCCACGTTTTTTTTTAATAGATTATAAAGCAGGAAAAATAATAAGCTCCAAACATCCTATAACTCTGATATATTATCTTTACACTGTCTTAGAGATTTTATTTTAACTGGGCTACAATGTTTCAAGTCCTATTGTAATCAGTTGTTGTAACATTACTTCCTGAAAAAGATATGTGGGATTTAATTCGTCTTTATGTATTCACTTATGAATATTTCCAAAATCATTGGTTGCTACAGTTTAAGTCACATCTCTTTTAAATGCAATTTGAGCAGGAATGTGAAAAGAAACTAAAATAAAAATTGTAATGCTTGAAATTGAATGCATACTTTCAGAATATACTCACAAAGCCCAGTAATGTGATTGCTATGAAGACACAATTTATGGATGTGTTTGGCCTTTACCAGTATGGTTTGAGCGACAACTACTTGACCACATGGATGAGAGAATCAAACTGATGGAGGGTTAGGTGGAGTTGAAGGGTGTTCAATAATGGCCAGTAGCATTGTTACCACCTGTAAGCCTGATCTCATCAGTTTGCAGAAGCTAAATTAGTCTGGTCCTAGTCAGTATGGGATTTAAGACACTTTAAAAAATAGGTTGTTGTCATATGTATTGATAGACCAGTAGGGGCCACCCTCCCCTTTGGAGCAGATAATCTAAATGCCCCAGTATGGAGACACTTTCAGATGAGACTTGTTTTGTTACATTAAGACTACCTGATTGTTAAAGATCCAATGGCATTGTATGCATGAGTAGGGGTGTTAATACAGCCTTTTTTTTAAACAAGTGTTGGCATCAAGAATATTTTCTGGGTAACTTGTTCCAGACTCCAACAACTGTTTGTGTAATGAAACAACTTATGTTCTTGCACTTCCCCTTATTTTCCACGTTTCACTAATTCTGAAAAAATGCCTCCTGCCATTGTGTTTTTTTTAATACTTGAAATGGGTTGTCTCATAGTCCTCTTTGTTGAAGACTGTAGATATAGTAAATTTAGTCTATCAAGAGTAGCTTGCTCTTTGTCTTCTTTCAGATCAATATCTGTGTTGTGTCTTGGTAACCAAAATTTAAAATGTTCTAGTTGAGATCTTGCTAGTGTACAATTTTAATGTCTATTAATTTAAATTCTGTGCTTTAACTATATGTATATACTAATATTCTTTGTATTGCTTTCTCACGTTATCTAGAAGATAAAAATATCATAAAGATTTTTTTTAAAGATGTATCTTCTTCAGGCTCAGCGTTTTCCCATGTAATATTGGTACAGCAGTTCGTATTTTCTACCTGCATTTAAGTTATTTTATAGCAAACTTTTCTATTTCTATATTAGAGGGAACCGATAAACGGATTGGTTAGAAACTCCAAGAAATCTATATCCTAAGAACAATTAATCATAAAAAATAGTACTTTTATTGCCATGTTATATTAAACTGGATTAGAATGCCTTGAGAAACAGGCGAGTCATAGTCCATACTACTAGTTCAAATATGTTATTTTTTTATTGGACATAATTTTTTTAAAGCTATTTAAAATTAACTGGTCAACTTTGTAAAGCACGTTTATTTAAAAGGCAACATAAGTGCTCTATACGTAAAAATGGCAGCTCAGTTACAATTATTTTCAATTCTACATGCGTATTTTAAAATAATTCAACATAAAACGCGTTTATTTGAGGTAGTTAATGCTTAGTTGTATACGTATAGAATTGATGCAAAGTTAGGGAACTTTATTCGCCCCCATGGAAATACCGGTCACGTTTCTTTACATGTTTATCAGAGCCTACTCTCAGCAGGACTCCATGTCTATAGTCTCCGCTCCACTGTCAGGGTCTTTAGCCTGGTTAATGACCCCCCACAGACTTGACGCAGATGGTGAGGTCTGGGCGGTGTGGTGGCAGGACTCAGACGTCCATGAAATGACCTACGAAGTCCCTCGTTTTGAACTTCCCGCAAATAATAGAAATTCTCTTCAACAACAGATAGCTTGTAAAACATAAAATGCACGTAGATTAAAATTTCACAGCTGGAGCCTTCGCTCTTTAAAAAGATGCCAGTGTTGAAGTACGCAATGGCGATAAAGGGGAGGAATGTTATCTGGACTGCGCTTTGAGAGTGAGTGCTGCGAAACCTGCTAGGTTAGGACAAACCAAGTTGTAAACTAGTGGGGGATTATAGAGTCGGTAAAAAGAACTTGAACGTTTTCGTTAAAAATGCTACTTCTCGATGCAATTTTGTAGCCATATTTGAATTGCCTTTTCAACACGTCGAGTGAAGCAGTGTCCTTTAAATTAAACACGGGCGCTCCCCCCCCCCCCTGTTTTTGTGCTTATGGTAGGGTCTGAAGTGGAGTAGAACCTGTCGGTACGGGCTAAGTGACTGATTCAGGCTGTTCTGGAGTTGTGTTCTTAAACTTGGCACACCCAAAGTTTTCGCATTTTCTTCTAATTACTGATTTTTTCCCCACCTTCTAACGGTGCACAGGGAGACATAGAAGTGGAAAGTGAAGATGTTTTCAAATTAGCAGCTTACACCTTGCAGGTAAGTGCCCTGTTCCGTGTTTCATTCTTGAAATTATGTTGCTTAGACAGGAGGAGTCGTTAACTCCAGTTTCCAGCAAGTAATAGTATTGTGGATTTAAGAAATTTTAAATCCCCGAGAATTATTTTCTTGATTTTACTTGCATAGGTACTTTTTTTTGGTTGCATTGTAGATTGACAATGTTTTCCTGCTTGAAAAAAGTTTTTTAACCGCTCGTAAATCACTAAATGGGTTAAAGTGGTTTTGCATTTTGTTGTATTCTCTTTATCAGACAGCATTTACTAAATCTCCATAATGCTGTTTGCACCGGCGAATTAATTTCAGAGGATAATCCTCTAGCAGTCTGGTGTGTTCTTTTTACAGGGGTGCTTAGAACATAGCTTCTCTGTTCTGTTCCAGCTTCTTTAACAATTATATACCATTATATAGGATTCTCAAACTGTGTGGAACCCTTGAAAGAAGTTGTAGTCTTAGAATCTATTGATTTTCTCATTGTATTTTCTGTAGTGACTTTTTTCTTCTTCTTGCAGGAAGCTAAAGGAGACTATACAAGGTAAGATTGTGATGTGTATTTAGTTTAAGTGAAGAGGAACTTGGCTCCAAGTTCTACAATTGTTGTAAGGGAGGGCTGGTTGGTGTGGGCGGTGATTAGTTGCTAATCATGTATGTGAAAGTGCAAACACCGCTAAGTGATTGTACGTGGTGTCCAGCTTGCGAAAGACCGGTTTTACAAGTGCGAGCGCTCGTGTTCTTGGGCTCGTTTTTGGAAAGTGGTGCCATGGCACAAGAAATGTTTCCGGCGTCATGCAATGAGATACTGACAGCTACAGTGTGACGGAACAAGTCAAGATTTATTCCAGGCTGAAAAGAAAAGAAACAATGTTTCGGAACACACCCGAAGAAGGCTCCACAGCCGAAACGTTGAGTTTCTTCTCTTTTCATCATGGAATGAAACTTTACTTGTTCCATTGCAGCCTACGCATGGTGACGCAGCTACCTACTTAACTGCTACAGTGTGAAAGTTGGTGTGGGGATTTGTACAGCCAGCGGCAGCCCCGCAAATGATCCAGTAATGTATGCAAAAGAAGATAAAAGTTTGTCAGCTGCTTGCTGCGGACATCAATGCGGTTCTTTCTTCTGTGGCTGCCCTTTCTGGGCCTCACCCTCCAATACATACACTTGACCTGACAGTTGAATTGAAGCCGGTGCGTGGGGGTATATGCAGCTAACCGCTGTTTAAATCGGCCTAAGCAGTCTGGAGACAGCACCAAGTTTTTTTTACCTTCATTTCTCTGCCGCCGCATGTTACACTGGGTCATTTTGTTTTCGAACCTGAGTAAATGAATTAAACAGTTCTTTTAAATGCAGGAAATGGGAAGAAAAAGTATTTAGTGTTGTGTAGTAGGGAGGATAGTACACTGTAAAACTTTTTTTTTTTTCATTTTTCCACACGGAGGTTTCCTTGACAGTGTCTGACTGTTCTCTGAGGCTTACCTGGAAAGGGTTGATTTGTGAGGGTTGTTGTCTTTCATGTGGTTTAAGTGTTCATTTTTTTTCAGTAACGCAGATCAATTCTATCAGAGAACATCTCTCATCTCAAAAGACACAGCTCATGAAGTTACAGCAACAACCATTTATTCTACCCATATTTTAAAATGTGCACACAAATTCAGAATTTAATAATTGTCAACTGCCCTGCTGTACATCAGTGCGGTTAAGACACCTGCTGTGGATTCTGTGTTCTGTTCTTTTGACGCTATTTAAGTTAGTTTTCCACATGGAAAAATATGAGCTGTTATGGGGAAAAAAAACAAGACAGGTTTTTGACATCAGATGTGTGAAGGAATCCCAGGTTATTGGGGGAAGAAAGAAAATCTAGAAAAAAAAGTTGCTTGCTATTGATACTCATCAAATTATCATGTTAACAAATTACTGATAATTGTTCCTCCTTCTGATCAGTATTGCATGTACCTCCCTCACGCAAAATAGCACAAAAAAGCCAAGAATCCTGTAAGAAAATCTTTACATACCTAATGATTAATGGAAGGAAACCATGCAGTAGCAGTTTTCCCAAATTGCTGTTGCAATCTGAAAAAATAGAGATAATTTAAATGTTTTGTCACACAGAGAAGAAAAACAAATACATTTAACATGAAGGGTGTTAGCATATCTGTACCTTAAAGGTCACATGTGGTCTTTTGTGTTCTTTGAGGAGATAAACTTTACCTTTTAGTTGCAGAATCAGGATATTGTGTAATGTTGACCACAGGGCTTATACAGTAGATGGCCATTCATCTCTATTTTTCTCTGACCAATGGAGTTCACAAGTCTTGTAATAAATGTGTGATTGTTGGCACGCTCACTGGAAATGCACTGAAGTACAGAGATTAGGTGTGTGGGAGTTTGGATCATAGGATCCCAGCTATGTGCTGTAATTAAAAATCACAGTACCCTGGAAAGGGCTGTTACTTGCAGAATTCATTTGATTTTTTCCCATCAGAAGAGTTGTCTGTCTTGTTCTGAGTCAGTGGATAAGTGTTAGAGTTTGTTCTTTCCAACACACACATTATACCTTTTAACATATATTTAAAGCACCCCTGATCTTCTTTATCTTAAGAACCTGCCATTTAAATCTATGTCCACTAATTATTCATTTGTTTGCTGCATTTATCCAAGGCTCTTAACGGGTACTGTATATCCATAAACAAAATAAAAGACAATATAGAAGTCAACTGAGGAAACCAGTTCATTAATATTCCAAGAATAAATGTATAATTTCTTACAAGAACCTTTATAAGGGAAAAGAAAACTATATGCAGTGGACTATGTATGTGACAAAATCTGGTAGCATTGTATATAAAATGTTATTGTTAAAATGATAACAAAACCAGCACTTTTAAGCTTTTAAAGCAGTTCTTTGATAGGGCATTTTATTTTATATTAGCATAAGATATTAGCATTGCCTTACTTAATAGTTCACCCACCAGACTGTGAGTATTTCATTAGGTCAAAGGACATAGACTTGCTACAGTAATATTCCACAGTGGGGGAGGCCTTTGTTGTAGTTAAATAGCTGACGCATTGCTTTCATACACTTGCCAGTGGGCTGAAAAGATAACCACAGGCAGCTGCAGCATAACGCAGATATGGTAATGAATTCCAGATAGCTGACAGGCAGACACTAAAAATGCCGCTGATCATCACAGAGTGGAGACACTCTGAAATTGTAAAATAAGGTTTACTTAATTGAACCCACTGAACTACAATAACAAATTCTTAAACCCTGTGCTAAACACTGAGAGGCAGTATAGGTAGTCAGTGATTAATTGAGATTATTTATACCATCTTCTGGCTTATGTACACAATTATAGTAGAAAACTTCAATTTTGAGGCTTAATAACTGAAGTTAAGGTTGACTTACAAGCTATGAAACTCCTCTCACATTGTGATTGGATGTTACCTACTGTGCTTAATGAACTAAGTTACTTGTAAAGTTATGTTTATTTTCAAAATTGCAAAATGTCTATCTTTGCTGTTTATTGTGGTTTTCATTACTATTTTAATTCATAATTAATGTAATGAGTTAATAGGGAACTAAATGTTTACTCTGGTCTATCTGTTCTTCTTTATTGAAACACTTAATACATATTGACTGTTCCTGTCGTCAAAACAGTGGTTCCTTCCACTAAACAACGATGAAGAGTTTTATCCGAGCACAGTTGTGCTTTACATGTCTACAGTAGGCACTATCTGTGTGGTTGTTCTGTGTGCACACATCAGCAACAAAAACCCACTCACAGAAAGTCTATTTTTATTTTTTGCAGATATTATAAACACTTTTGATGGACACTTCACATTTTATTAAATTCAGTTCTCCACCAGGTGATAAGGTTTTCAGTCACATCTAGCTCTTTTATTCTATGCAAATTAAGCAAAATATACTCTTCAGATTATTACCATAGTTTCAGGCCTTTGTTGGGAAAATGTTCCAAGCTTTCAAAAGTTAAAACATACAACAGAGCAATAGTTAAATCTTTTTGCTATAGGCGATAATGTGATTTATGACACCTTTTATCAGTCAGTGATTCTGAAGCTCTTTAGGTGGACTGTACCAATAAATCTGTGTTCTTTTTTTGATGGAAGACAAAAGCCACTTTACTTCCCTTTTATTCAGAAAGTCACTGTTAACTCATCTCAGATATTGACCTCTATTTATTTTGGTGTGATATTTGACTTGCAGTGTTTTAGCACTACCTGTTTATCTGACTTGTGCTTAGTATTGTGTTTACTGACATAATAAGTAATTGTTCATGTAGTTTGTAATGCAATGCAAATAAAAAGCTTAAAAAATTTAATTTAAATTAAAATATTTAAAGCTTAATGTCTATATTACAGAGGAATTACATTGTTTTTTGTGGTGTTTGAGTGCCAATTAACTAGTTTCTGAAATTCCCTGCCTTTTGTGGCAATGAGTGCATTTACAGTTTACTAGTAGAGCCCTGCAAAATGAAGAACTTTAGTTTTGCAAATGTAGCTGAAGGCTCTCGAGTAAAGCATCAACATGTTTAAGCAAATTAATTGTTGAGATGAAAATATCTAAAGATCTATGAAACAATGTTGGTAAGAGGTAAAAATGAACCGCAGACATTTCAACAAGAATCTACAAGATGAGGGATTAAGTCAGACGAAAGTTATGCTTTTTCCTTTCTATGTGTATTGTTGGTTTGCCCAGACTTAAGAAAGTTCCCCCCAAACCAGCTTTGCATTACCTAGTTTATATAACCACAGCTGTAGACATCAGTGTTGTGAATTCAATACACAATAGACTTCTGCATGCCAGGCGCAAACCACATTCTTGAGGTTTAGTAAGGTCCATATTTGATCTCTTTCTTCCTTGTGAAACAAATCATAATCCAGACAGTATATAATTGTATTTAAATAATTTAATAAGAATGTACATTTATTTTGATCACAATATTTTTAAATAGGTTAAAGCTTTTGTACACTTGCATTGTAAACAATTCTACAAATAAGTTAAAATCATTTTTGATTCTGTTGTGATTCTTACTTTCTTTATGGAAATTTGCATGTCACAGTGTAAAAAAGTCAGGCTTTGTTTAATGCAATTAATATGTCATTAATGTTTTTGAGATCTTCTGTTGCTATTACATAAAATATAAGTGACAGGTTTAAGTTCCCAAAACAGGTGTGGGTGTAGTGGGTCCCAAACTGTATGCAGGGTGCTTTGGGTTGAAAAGAGCTTTATTCAAAATAGAAATTATTATTATTGCTGAGATCATTAATAATGATAATGTAATAATAAACATATATAAAACACTGTATAATTGTCTGATACAGGGGGTGGCCTATGTCAAACATCTGTGTTTTAGTTGCCAATTTTACCAGCTAGAATCAAATGCATGAAATGATAACTGTAAATGTCACAGTATTGTTGTTTCCCTAGGTATCGGCTTAATGAACAAGTCAGAGAGGTGTCTTTTTGTCCTTTCATCTGTTAATGTTTTAATTTCAGTGACGAATGTACAAGAACTGACCTCAAGAAACTCCCTACTCTGCCTACCAAAGTCCTTAAGGAACACCCTTCTCTTGCTTACTGGTAGGTACTGTACATTGTACAGGTTAAAGTTTCATTTTAGTATCTTATCTTTCTGCAATAAGGAACAGGTGACAAATGGGAGGAGGCCATTAAAGCTGAGTTAGCTGGGTTGCTTGAATAAAACATTCCTTCCAAATGGTTTATGCATTTGGTGCAAATATAGTGATATTCGGGAGCCCCTTAATTACTGGTTGCAGCTAAGACACACTCAATGGTGAAAATATTATGAATCCTCCACAATATACTGTATTTACCTGACTATAATTCACCCCCAGAAATATGGTCTTTGGAAATTGAGAAAAGAACCTGATAAAGCACAAGTTGCTTTTTCTGAATAAAATGGTAGAAATGAAAAAAAAATAGTTTTTAAATAAAGAAAAATGGTGAGGCATTTAAAAGATAAAATGTTAATGTCCGGCTAAACAGCATGCTTTCTTCCTCTAAAACTCTTGTTACTTCCCTTTTCAACTGAGAGTTCTTCCCTCATCCCTCTCTATCGTCTTATGCTCGTCCACTCCAAACTGCCATCGAGTATGATGATTCCCATGCTGTTCAGCACACAGGATCACCTCTTTCTTGAACACAAACGCATACTGTGATGTCTTGTTCATTTTGGATAACTAAAAATGAATCAAAGTTTTTTGTCTCTTCATCACAACATGCCTGACCTAAGCAAAATGGCAGTCTGTTACAGTAAACACACTTCAACACCATTCTCTCTCTGGCGGTAAATGTCAATAACTAGATTAACTTCTGAATCTTTTTTTAACTTGTATTCAGATATAAGCCACAGACTAACTATCACTTTGAAATTTGGTGTGTTTTATATTTAGGTAAATATGGTACCTTCTGTGAGCCCTTCTTCCCACACGATTGCCTTCAGTTGAGGTTTTGATAAGGATTAATGGTGTGTGGGACTGAACTTCACATTTCTGTCAGTTTCACCAGTCTTCAGCAGAAGAGACAGGGTTTTTTCTGGCCATGGAGGATCTGTCTACTGCACCTCAATCCAGCCACCTCTTGTCTGCCTCTAAGCGTATCTAGCTACAGTATTTGGCTGATGGTCCTAGTATTATGTGCAGTGAGTGTGTGCAAACATAAATGTTTGAAGTGAAGAAATTTCGTATGCTTTTACCAGTGGTCACAATTGAAAGTTTCACATGTATGTAAATAAAATAAGAAAATCTGTGAAAAAATACAATAGAGTAAATTTTCAGCATTTGCAAACAAAAGCTTTTCACATGGTGATTTCCCGTTACATAGAACCATGCTCATGAAACATCCTCATATTTGTTTTAAAAAGCAAGCTTTTAGATTTTTGGTTCCTCTGGGCTTATAGTGCCTTAACTTCACTAAATGTTACTGAATGTGAGCCTGCTTATCAAGAAAACTGCTGAATAGAGACAATGTGATTGATGTCCTGGCCTTACACGCTGAATAAAGTCACTCATAGAAGCACTATGTTTATTACAGATGATTCTATGATTTTTTTCTATGGTGTCTCTAGCTGTTAGGACACTGTTTGCATTATCTGCTCTGCCCTTCAGAGTTTATTAAAGAGGCTTCATGTGATACTGTTTTGCTGGTGAGCTAAATAGATGCACTCTGATTGTTATCTGTCTGATTCTCTGGAAATTAATATAGATCGAGCAGGATCGATAAGTAGTTTGGAACTGGGAGCTGATTTTATTTTTTCAATCAGCATCTGCAGGATGCGCATAGGCTGTGTTGTGGAAGAAAAGGAGGCAGAAGAACAGGCAAATATGATAAACTACTGGGATGGTGAGCCAGGCTGTGTTTTCTTGATGGTTAGGCATGAGAAGTATCTGTTAGGCAGAGTCTCTCATTAATCAAAATCTCCTTCTTTGTTACAGAAGTTATTTGGCATACTGCAGTTTTTTATCATGCTAGTTACTCTTTCTTTGTTCCATCTGTTTGCAGTGAAGACAGAGTGATAGAGCATTATAAGAAGCTGAAGGGTATCACTCGAGGACAAGCCATTGTGCAGTAAGTAAGAAAGTCTTAATGCAGTATTTATTGTATGGTTCTTGTTTTTTGTTATCACATATTTCAGTCAGATTCTTATGAGGCTCATATTTCCAACATTAAACCTGCAATAATTTTTGAATTACATGAATTATGCGATAGTCAATAATTTACCAAATTGCTCTTGATCAAATTGCATTTGTTCTGGAAGAGTGTAGTTAGTGCAGCTTTCACATCTGTGAACAGTAAAAATGGAAAGTATTGCTATGGAAAGATAGCACCCGATTTGCAATTATACTAGCAAAGGTTGAACAGGGGTCAAAAGGGCTTATAAACTTTGTTCTTGAAGTAATAGAAAGTCACATCCTCTGCGCTACACCATAAAATATAAATTCTGTTGCTGTTACCAGTGGTGAGCAGATGCATTCAAATGAAGACCATGCACATATAATTCACTTCATATAGGTGCCACACATGTTTACTTAATGCACAGTTAAATTCTGTATTATGTTAATTCAGTATCAAATTCTTTAACTATGAAAACATTAATATTTGTCCTCTGTTTTTACAAGGTATTTAACTCTAGTGGAATCTCTTCCTACATATGGTGTTCATTATTATGAAGTAAAGGTAAGATTACGTTGTACATTTTGTTGGTAGGTTTAAAGTGCAGTGTTGGAGAAGCCGGGTTTAACGATTTCAGTTTTCTTAATTAAATCCATACATGTTAAAATGGCCTAGAATAAATACCTATTAAATAAGAAGCTTCAAGCTCATTCTTTCCTGTTGACATCTTATGTTCATAACCTCTGGCTAAATTTCCACTCATATGTGTTAAAGCAAGTTAACAAATTCTTGCTTGCAAGGTTAAAGATATCTTAAAGCAACAGAATAGTTTCAGCAACATTCTTTGTTTTGGGAACTGTGTTCTAGATCTCATACTGCCTTATCGTTCACTATAATGATCAAATCATCTCTATGGACCCAGTCTTTTTCTGTGCATTTATCCCCCTCTGAGACAATGTTCATTGGTCCTCAAGGACTTGCATTGCTCAGCATTTCATTCTTCTTTAAACTAAGTTGCCCTCAAAAGTGGCTCCATTAAAGACGCCTTGAAGAAATATATGGGTCAGTGGAATTGTGCCCTTCATCTGTCTCCGCAGAATATATTGCTCAAAGCAAGGCAGTAGAAAAGGGAGATACACTGAGTTTCCTAATGTCTTCTGGACATGCCTCCTCATTGAGCTAAGCTATACTTCTGCATACTTCTAGAAGGAGCAGGTGACAGATCTAGTTAGCAGTCAATTTGTGCGCATTTGGGGGTGGGGGAACAAAACATGTGCCTTAATACCCTTTATCTACTCCAGGGGTGAGCCTTGCTGGCTCTGGAATGCTGGTAGGGCTGCACATTTTCTAGGTCTTTTCAAAGCAGCAGCACCTGAAGAGCTTAGAGAAGCTGTTGAACTGGCCCCATTAAGCCTAGTGATGAGCTGCATTGGAATGAAAACCCAGAGAGACACCGGCCCTCCAGGATCAGAATTATTCACCCCTGATCTACTCTATGAGCAATAGTCAGTTGTTCTGCGTTTTGACATAACATTATTCTAAAGTGATGACATGGGAAAGACTGAATTTTATTTTATAACCTATACAGATGGTTTGTTTTCTCCGATCTTCCAGACTTTATGTACTTTCTTGCTTAAAGTTACTAATGTGGGAGTTACTGAAAACGGAGTCTTTGTTTCATAGGACAAACAGGGAATTCCTTGGTGGCTTGGAATCAGTTACAAAGGAATAGGCCAATACGACTTGCAGGACAAAGTCAAACCAAGAAAGGTAAAACCATTAACTTTTTCTTTGTACTTTTTGTGTGCTGTTTGCTTATACATATTATATTTGATACTTGAATATGAATGTGTATATTTTTTCCATATATTGGGAAGAACATGATAAATATCAAAAAATATTGCACTCTTTTTTAGCAATTCTTGTAATTGAAGTATCAAGTGTAGCTTTTATAATCCTCTATCTCTTCATGAAATTCTTTAAGACAAGAATAATGGATCGTAAGTGTAACATTTTAAAAATTTTAGTGATAATCTTAAACAATTTGAATTAATAATGCTCCTTCTATCTGCAACTGTATAAACAGTTGTCATCTGATGAATAGTTATACTCATTTCTTTTCCTGCAAAGCTCACAAGGCCTGTATGTAGTAGATTTCTCTGCCTTGCACTCAGTGTGCTAATTTAATTATGCAAAGCTGTATGTCACTCTGTGTGGATTTCTCACGGAGAAGAAACAACTGATCAGGTAATAAAACACAATTATGTTGACAGGGAGCTGAAAGGTGGGGTGGAGAACTAGAAGCTGTTCATGATTGTCTGCATTCTCAAGTTGTCTTTTGTATGAATGACGTCTGAACTCGAATGTGGGTGCAGTCTTTTCAGTGTATTTTGATGAGTACTGCATGTTATCCATTGTTTGAAATGATGACTTGAAATTTTAAGTTTTGGAACAATGGAATAATGACTCCTACTATATTTGAAAGTGTTTTTTTTTTAAGTATAACGCTACACAAATTAAAGTTAAATATTCTATTAACTGCTGAAACTTTACTTAGTTTGATTACATTTGTGGGTCTTTGGAACTAAACAGGCAGCAATGTGAGACTGTGTTTATTTTGGACATTTGAAACTGCAGTGCATTGCAGGGTTTTTTCCTAGTGTTGCTGCACGAAAGTTACATGGTTGCTGAAATTACCGGTGTAGGGACTTGACAGCATAGTTGTAATACTGGCATTGAGGAAACATTCATACATGAATGAATCATTGGAAGACGCTTACTGATTCGTGTTGTAATCTGTTCCCTTTCTGTCAGGGTTCCCCCTCTGCCACTCAATCAGGTGTGTCTCTGTCATACTTCCCTGTTTGACATATCGAATGTCAACAGTGTCCTTTAAGGTGGTTTTGTTACTAGTGGGTAACATTAGCTTAGTCATTTTTTTCCAGTAGCCATTTACCGTATATCCTGCTTGAAGCCCGAAGAGTTTTTTTTTTCCTGTCTGCACGTGTTGCCGATGAGGTGATACCTACAGATAAGTGAAGAGTTCTTTATTATTGCCCTGTCAATTCAGTACTACCTTAAACGTTTTTCTGCTAATACTGTACAAGTATTGCGTCATCAGCAGATACAGGAGGCCTCCTTGCCTTTTTATAGGCAGCAGGTACTTTCACAGCGGGGACAGGAGGGCAAAGGAATTTAACCCTCCTAACCATCTCTCCCAGCTCCTGTACAGTAGGTTGGCCCTGCTCTGGATTAAACTGCTGAAACGGTGCATCTCATTCCTGAGATGTATGATGTTGTGTTTTCTTCTTCTCATTTAATTGGCTCCCGATCCTTTTTCTTCAATCAGCAGTTAACAGTGATAAAGCAAACCTGAAGTCTTAAAATATTCTTTTACATTCTCCTTCTATTGGTGCATTTGAAAAAGCTTTAGGTTTAACAAATGTAATGTCACATTGCTTAAAAAGAATTGAAATGCAACATAAACATTTGATTGGCTGATACAGGGGTTGAATAATACAATAAATGATTAAAGGTCCTTCATTTCCTTTATACATATTGGAGCTTTCACAATGAAAAGATGTTTTATGGTGTATGACATAAACAGATGGAAGACCCCATCTTGACCGTAGTTTTCAGTGAACTGTGTAGTTACAGACACGGTTCTGTGAGTAACTTGAGGTTGGGTGAATACCCAACTTAGGTGTAGCAGACTTTTGAGTCACCGCCTTTCACAGACATCCTGTGCTCTGTGATTGCTCACTGAATCAATAATAACTACAACTGGAGTTGAAAAAGCACAGCTTGTACAGGCACCTGTACTGAGCAGGAGTAATACTGTATTTTGTAAAACCCTCAGGTCTTGTTCATGTTCAAAAAGTTCATGTTTTGAAGTTATTTTTATGGAAATGTTCAGAAACATGTAACGTAAAATTTATTTTTAAGCAGTATATTTCTTTCCCTTATCCTTTTGAACTTATATTAGCATTTATGTAAGAGAAGACTGTGTAACTATAATTACTGGAAAAACCCATGAAATAAAAATATTCAGTTCCTTTAGTACAATTGAATTGTGCAGCTTCCTGGTTGAGGTCTTTGGTGTAGAAAGTGTCTTTGTTCATTAAGCTCTTTCATCCAGCTAAGACACCTTTTCCCAGTTTTAGTGTGCTCTTGTGGTGGGAGATATGACACCTCCAGGTTCTTTAGTCTGCTGGTGAATCTTTAATCATCCACTGGCTGCTGATTCTCCTCAGACTTGCTGAAGGAGTCTTTATGGCTTTGAATACTTGAGGTATTCAAACAAAGGTAAACAGTCAGCCAGCTGGAGATAAGTGTCATGTTACACCACATTTACTTTGTATATGCTGCTTACTGGGAATTTACCTTTTTCTTAAACTGACAGAAATATGTTTGGCTTCTGCTCCGTTTTATTTTAAACAGATGTTAGTGGTAAGATTGAGGGCTTCCTTCCATCATTGCCCTTTTGTTACTGTACTGTACACTGTTAAGGTTGACTCAGACTTGAACTGCCTTGCGGTTTGAAACGGCAGCACTGGTCAGGCAGAAAGTGTTCCAACTTCAGTTCACCTTTTTTCATTTCATTTCCATGTTGTTGGGTTCTGGGAAAAATCATGCTTCTAAAAATAAATTGCTAGTCTTCTTTACTGCTATCAAAAATGAGTACTAATTGGCATTCTGAACAATAATTATAATGGTCCCAAATTTTTGAATTCACTCAAAAGACAGTTCAGGTTCAAATGGATTGTCGTTGTCATTCATGTCCATAACAGATATGTCAAGTAGTCTATACTTGAAAACGAAGACTGAATAGTAGTCACACAGTCTTATGAAATTTATCATGAATTTCTTAATCAAATAATATAATCTAAACAGATGAACCGTGAAGAATATATAGATTATATGCTGTATATAAAATATTTTAATATATGTAATATTGCTCGAGTTTGGATCCTAACAGTAAATGATCCATATCCATGGAAAATTATTATTTTATAAGCATTCCATTAATATTTAGTGTTTAAATGTGTATTGGTGAAATGATCTTCACAATTACCCAATCTCATTTCTTGTCCTTTTATTTAATTGTGATGTGCTTTTCTGCAGCACCTGGACTATTTTTGTCCCTTCCAGTCTGCTACTTGCAACCAGTATCAATAATCAATATTTTGATCCTGTTGTCAATTATAAAATTGGGGAGCTGATTGACAAATACATTTGCTGCAGAATGGATAGAATACCCCAGGTTGAAGGGTTAATGGAAGGTTTGAGTGTTGTATTTTATCAGATTCCTCAAAGATCAGTTCTATTGTCCTTTTGCACATGACTGGAAACAGACAAAAGTTTCCATTTGACAATAATTAAGCAATATGTAGTTTGAGACCTGCACTCCTTTAAGAACTGATTTGCCCAGTGGGCTCCTGATTAATGATTACTCAGAAGTAGTAGATGCCAGAAATATTTGTGTTGTGAGGTAGAGGACGGGTTGAACAACATGGGGTATTGAGCCATCCTTAAAAAAACAAGGAAATAATCAAAGCATACCTGGGCTGAGAACACAAAAAAGAAAACTATATAATGGAAAAGAAAAAGTACACAGTTTTTTTTTTATCTAGAGACAATATAAAAGAAACCTGCATCGAGCCTGACCTGTTCTTCTTGTTTGCTGGTGACAGAAGTATGTGAGAGCTGAAGGTTTGGAGCCACATTAAGTTTGTACGATTTGTTTTTCACATATGTTAAAAAAGAGTTTATTTCCTGCAATTAAGTGGACATTTTGGTAGCCGGTCGGCTGAGATTTTTATTCTAGTGTGGCCAAGGTTGGTTAGAGCAGGGCAGGCCTATTTGTGGTGTCTGATGTCAGAGACAGTAGGCAGTGGGCAGGACTACAGCAGCGGAGTGAAACTTCTGCTGCACCTTTAGGCTGTCTGAAACCAGACAAGGGAGTATTGTTTGAGGAAGCCACGCTCCTGTGGGAAACTATTCTGTGGATTTTAATCTGTCCTTGCTGTTACACTCAGGACATGGTAGGCAGAAAAATTGGATTTGGTAAGTAGCTGGATAAACGCATTTGCATTTATGTTTGCAAATTTATCTAAAACTGTGGCTTGGACATGTTTTCAATATTATAAAAATATATAGATAAGTGGGAAATGTTTTATTGTGTTTTGAGATATTAATGACTGTGGGTAGTACTTGTAGTATATATAGTGTACATAGTTTTTATTTATCTAAGCAAAGTGAAACAGTTAAAATGGAAAATTGCCTGAAAAAGAAACCTACACAATTTTGGGTTAGTGTGACAGGTGTTGTGTGTGTATATATATAATAAGGAATGCAGAAATTAAAACTTTCATAAATAATTGCTTTTTTTGCATTTTAAAGAAATTAAATCCAGTGCAGTAAACCAGGGAAAGGAATATACTGGATTTCCTAGTAATTATTATTTTAAAAGAAAAAACATAATGTTCCCTGTATTTAATGACTGAGCTCTACTTAATGTTAGGTTGGTTTGAAGAATGACTCGTCCATTCAGTACACTTCTCATCTTTTTAACCTCTAGTTTCACCTTTGGAACTGTGTTATTGTTGCAGTGTATACAGCACTGAGCGTTTTGGTAAAACTTCTTAACCATTTTCTTAGGTAATCGAAGATGTGATCTGTTTGTACATTTGAAAAATGTTTTCTCAGTGAGGAAATGATTTAACTGGTGCTGTGAAAGAGGCTAAAAACTAGCCTTATTATTATGTATTGGACAGCTTTCTCACCTCATTATTTGCATTGTTCCTCCAGGCGAAATGTAATGAGGGTGACATATTAGCACACAGGAGTTCTAGATTTGACAGAGGTTTAGTTTAGTTTCACAGCGATTTTAGAAAATGGGAACTGTGCTGTTTTTAAGCTCCTCTGTTCTTTTAGAAATTAGATGATGGTGTGGGTTGACAAACAGTATTTTTTTTATCAAAGTTTGAGAATCATCCAACCACTTGATCGTTCATTTGAAATTACTTATGCGACAGGCTGCGCAGTGTGTCAAATGCAGAGTGCCTCAAGGACGTATTGGTTTGAGATGTGTCTGATATCCCGAAGATACAGTACACCTAAGTTTTCTTCTAATACCGGAGGACCAAAAGGGAGCGGAATGTTCTCTTCTGCTTTTCCAGTGGATAGAAGGGATTTTTGCGCTTTTTTCTTATCCTGAAAAGGCCTTGCTGATAAAGAGTCATCTCTTCGAAGGATTTGGTAGGAAATGGAAATAAGATATCACATTTTTCTAGGCAGTTCCAAAACAGCAGGCAGTGTCAGTATTGCTGTTAATGATTCAAGTCACCTAATTGCGTCATTCCATGTCTTGTTTTCTGTCTCATAGTTGTACCAGTGGAAGCAACTAGAGAACCTGTACTTTCGTGAAAAGAAATTTGCCGTTGAGGTTAACGACCCCCATAGGTAAGACCAAGTATGGTGATGAACATTAGACGAGACTTTATCACAGACACCCACTTGAACATTTATGTGGAAAGCTTTCGAAATCAATAAACCTAGTTTTATGTTCCTCATGATTTGCTGGCTAGACATATTCCAGTACTACATAAAAATAATATAAATGCAGAAGGGTAGGAACTTCTCAGGCTGCCGCTAGCTGTTTATTCTTGCAACAAGAATCTAATGTTTTGACCAAATGTATTGTGCTGACTGGTCACAAATATACTACATTTTTTTCTTTCCCCATGTCCAGGGAACATTATGAATGAACAGCATGTTCACATATCAGTAAATTGAGCTTGTGAAAATAGAGAACACATGAGGACTTGTAAATCTTCCACTGCTCTATTGATGTAGTTAGTTCCTCTTTGTGAATTAGATCCTTCAGATGACTACAATTGTGCACAGTTTTTTTACTGTAAAACTGGATTATACTCTTCCTGGATTCCACTGTTTGTTTTTAAAAGACTTTGCTGGGTAAAAATGCTGTTAGTTAAATTTACAGCTTGAGCAAGTTTTTTTTCTTCTTTTCCTTCAGAAGAACAGTTTCTAAACGTACTTTTGGACAGACAGGACTGGTGATCCACACATGGTATGCAAGCCATTCTGTGATTAAGACCATCTGGGTGATGGCAATCAGTCAACATCAGTTTTACTTGGACAGAAAGCAGAGCAAAGTAAGTTACCAAACCCTTGGGCTTATCTAGTCTCACGACTAATACAAAGGGTTTCATTTTAAAGGATAAAGAATTTTCACAGATATATCCTCATAGACAGCACCTGGGCATTTCCATCTCTTTTTAAATCTATCCATTTATTTAAGTTATTTATATTCTGGTTTTTTTTTAGTTGCAAATATTGGAAAGTTAGGAGTTTGGTTTCATATGCTAATACGGTAAATTGGGACTGCTTATGCTGGTCCAGATGGGCTGGGGTGTCTGCAGATTTTCCAGGTCTCTGAATGATCACATTAGGAGCTGGGTTACAATGAAAACTTGTAAATACTGTCCATTCATGACCAGGATTGCACAGCCACGCTATTAATGCTTCAGACTCCCCTTTCTAACACATTTTGTTTTAGAAATTTGATATCTTACATGAATCATACATTTTTGGACCTGATAGACTGTACTGGGAAACAGGTAGTATGTAAGGGCTCTACCAAGAATGCGTAGCACGTAGAAAAGTGAGATTATGAAAATTCCAGCAATCGTTTTGAAAATATTCCAGTAAAATGATACTATTGAGATAGGAGGAGGCTGAAGTGGGCTATCCTAGTTTAAGATATTCCCATGAGTGAAATTTGATGGTAAGTTTACTTTTTCTTGTAAAAGGCAAAAATACCAACAGCAAGAAGTTTGGGGGATATTGCCATGGACCTGACTGACACAGGAGCACCAAAGATGTCAAAACTAGGACACATTGAAGGCAAAAATCCACTCATCATGGCCAGCAATGGGAGTCTTGTGTCCTCAGGTAGCTGTCTCTCTGTACTATTAACACAGCTAAAATTAAAAATTCTCATGACAAATTAATGTTCTTTGGGACATTGTTTTAACAAGACAACTCAACAGCTTTGTCTGAAACATCATAAAAATCTAAACTGCAGTGGGAAGCATTCTAGAATTTGTGAGATCAGTCATTTGTTTTCTCTTTCCTTTTGGTTGGAATGGAATGTTAATCTTTCGAAAAATAAAATGTCTGTATGATATGCCTGAATTACTGTTAATTCTTTAACTGCTGCTGTGCTTTTCCACATTTACATGAATCATTCATATAGTGTTTAATTATATGATGTAGAAGGTACATACAGAGTATGAGTCATTATGTGTTATTCGAACATGTCCTATGTTCTGCTGCGGTGAATCTTTCTGGCTTTATGTGGAATCTTAGATAATTCTGATCCCCTTAGTGACTAAACATCACTTTAGCAAGTAACTGAACCCAAGCTTCAGGAAAACCATTTCGAGCCTAGATTTAAACTTATGCATTTTAAGCTGCCTTAAGAAACATTTCAACGAATGCGGAACAGTAACTGGAGACTGAAAGGAGTGTGAAAACAGTAATGAATTCTTAAGTAGTCATGTGCTAAATGAATGATTCCTGAAAATTAAAACAAAATCATGCTGAGAAAAGCTAAATTTATGTTTCAGGGTCTCAGGACTCCGAGGTCAGTGAAGACCAAAAGAAAGAGAAGATATGCGAGCTGAAAAAGAAAGAGAAAGATTTACAGGATGTGCTGGCTCAGAAATTAGAAGAATTGAAGAAGATATGCTTGAGAGAAGCTGTAAGTATACATATAAGCTTTTTAAATACATATTTGATGCAGACAAATATAAGATGACAATCTGGATAATTGAAGGTGATTAAAGGAAATCTTGAATTGGTGAAGTTGACTTTTAAATGTTTCTTTAAGGAACTGACTGGCAGGCTGCCGAAAGAGTACCCTTTATCTGCGGGGGAAAAGGCCCCCCGTGTACGAAGAAGAGTGGGCACGGCTTTCAAACTGGACGACCTTTTTCCTTATGATGAGGTTTGTGCAGAATGTAACAGGAGATGTAAAATATCTCAGGTCCTGATTCATGTCAAGATATCTACAATGTTTTTGTTTGGTATGGTCTTGAGTATGTGGGCTGGGGGAGAAGAGTATTCTCTCTCCATTTCTTGTGGAAACCCGGATCCTTAAAAGAATGTTTGCAATTAAGAGGTGGCGAGTGAATTTCTTAAGTCAACTGTGTGTTTACTTTAAATTCACTCGAGACGCTGGTGCTTTCAGGATCCCTATCTGCAGAACCTGGAGAGCAGGTTTGCCCTGCAGCAGAAGATTGTAGAAGCTGCCAAGAAGCTGGCCAGTGAGACCGAACTATGCAAAACTGTGAAGAAAAAGAGAAAACAAAACTGTCTCGATGCACTGAGAAGACTGCAGGAGATAGAAGATGAAATCAATGATTACAGAATCAAAAGTGGCAAGAGGCCTACGCATAGAGCATCTCTGGTCATGGCAGGTAAGAGTGGCTGCACACACTCTGGGAGAACATTAGTTTATGCCATTGGGTTAACATGAAAGGCTTTATCTCTGTTTTAAATAATTTTTAAGTCAGAAGTTGTTGTGTTCTGTTTTGCCTGAACTTGTCATGACAGTAAGCTTTAAGTTTTTTTTTTAAATTGGGATTTGCCTCCCAATCCCAGATCTCCTAGATCCCTCCTATATCCGTCAATTTATATCCACCATGCTTTGTACTTAAACATGCAAATTCTGTCTTCACGGGTTACTTGTTGGAGGATGTTGGTGTAATTTCTCCTCCTTTGGCCTTCATGATAGTTGCTACCTTTTTTGCTAAGGTTTAACAGGGTATTGAGATTATTAGTTTTGGGCTCTGAATGAAAAATTACCATGGTACCATCAATGATCCTGAAGTTTATTATGTTTTATCTACTTTTAAATTAGAACTCAGAATTCTACTCAGACGTATTAGCTGTTAATAAGTAGTGTGACACACCTTTACGGCTGGAAAAATAAATTGAGCTAGTCTTCACAATAAATTTAATATACTGGTAGTATTTTAGATATTTCAGTACTCATGCACATGCCTGCTATTATCCTTGATAACTGAAATTTTACAACATCAAATAATAAATGCATTCTTATTAAGTTTGTGTATTCATTTTCAGATGAATACATATTCATTTTATGAAAGCTGCCATGTTTTTTTAATTAGTAATATATGGGGCTACAGGGGAATACTATTTAGAAACCAAGACTAATCTTTTTTTTTTTACTGGTGTAAGCTGTGAAAACACCTTTTTAAGTGTGAACTCACCATTCACTACTGCCACCATTCTTAGTTTAAGTGCTTCAGAATATGTTTTTGTAATTTATTAAAATGATAAAATAAAGTTGCATATCTTACATTTTAGGAGTATTTTAAAACATGCAGTAGAAATTGACAGGTTCAGATTTCCCTTTCACATTTCCTTTTAGAACAAGTTAATTTATATTAATATATTTTTGGATGTAAAATTTTTATATAAAATATAAACTACAGTATATGAAAAATCTACATGTCTATATCTGTTTATTGTGTATATACATTAAATATAAAATTCTGTGGTATCTACAGTACATGCAGCCTTTTAAATATGTGCTTCAGCAGTTATGTGATAGGTTTCCATTTATATAATAGTAGATTATATAAACATATTTATGACTTTACATTAATTTAAACCTTTTAAAAATATATCAGTTATACAAATTTTTTCTGTCTAGAAAAAACAGTTGCATTATAATGCTTTATAACTTTGGTATCAGGGTAGTGTAAAGAGCACATGGTAAGGGACTATCAAAGTGCACACCTCTTCAAGAGCAAATAATAATAAACTTTATTTTATATAGCGCCTTTAAAGGTGGCTTCTCAAAGCGCTTTACAGGATGACAATAACAATAAATAAGAAGACTACAACAATAAAAAAGAAAATTTCACAAGACAGGACACAATTATAATTACAACAATACAACGATAACAATAGATAACAAATCTTGACCTACAGCTGATGTACTCATGGGCACATCTGGGTAGCTTACCTTAACCTGAATAACAGCTTAAAACCAGTCAGAGATCAGGAACTAGATCATAATGACAGTGACTCTGCTAAACAGCCTACATATACGGACAGTTTTTAGATTAATATTAAGAAGTGCTATCTGCAGGTGTGGATATTACAAGCTTATACTTTTTTATAAGGTGGTTTAGGCACTTATGTTCATTTTACCGTGATGGTTCATATTACAGTTAATCATAGTTGTGCAAGAAAGCATTTTCTGGATAAAACCCAGAATGTGAACTGTCATATACTGTTTGCTTGAGTTGCCACTTGATATTTATATAGAGACTATTAACAAAGTTCAGTTTTTATGCTTCATTCAATTAATGTAGTTAGTTGAAAAGAAGAGTAGTCTATCAATTGAAATCAGTAATCCTACTGTATTTGGGTATTTAAAGGTCTACACAGTACATTGCTACTTGCAGACGTAGTTGAATATAAGCCCACGTACATGTAAATTTTCTTTTTTTAAATTACCTGTGCTTGGAGTTCTGGGTACGAAACAGGAAAAGGAGTTTTGAGTTTTGGAAGCATGCCCATCTAGCTTTGTATTGTGTATGTTTGCTATGCTCACAGTCTGTTTCCATTATTTTTTCAGATGATGTGATGCGTTCTGAGTGCAGTTCCTTGTCTGACAGCCTTACACTCGATGATGGTAATGTAGAAAAGCTTTTTTGTGTTTTTGTGGTACTTTGAACTTTCCAATAAATTAAGTACTGAATCGATCCTGAATTGCTCCATTAACCTTGGTGTTGAAAACTAAGTTTTTTGCTGGAGCAAAGACTTGCAGTGTCATAAAATCCAGAGACATCCCCTGCACTAGCCTGTACTGCTTACATTCCTGAAATCATATCCAGCCAACACCTACTACTGTACATCCTGAAAATCAAGACGTGTGCACAGAACATTGAAACGTCAGACAGTGAATAAAGATGACAAGCCAAAAAACTTTGTTTTCCTTGACCCTCAGATTTGATTAAGGATGAATGATTATGAGGAGTAACATATCGATCTAGGAAGTGCGCAGAGACACCTATCAGTATTGGTGCCTGTACCTCCAGTCTTTAGGACAGAATTTTCTGAAAGTGTTCTGCTTTGTTTTATGCCAGATGATTCTGCTGGGGCTCAGAGAGCCCGGTCATGCTCTGTTCAGTACTCACCCCGGCCCAGTCCCCCTCAGTCTCTGGGGATCGAATATGAGCCTGAGGGAAGAGCATCCTCCAGTGACCAACACCATGACAAAGGCACCACCAGGCAAGACCCTTTTCGTGGTTCAGGCACCTCCTGAGATATCACAATTTCTTTCAGGGAGAATAAAAACACTGTTTAGTTAGATGGGAATCTTTTTTTTTTTTTTTTTTTAGCGCTGTAAAAACAGTGCTCAGTATGAGCCTATAAGGAATGGCACACCACCTTAGTGCCAGTTGTCTGACTTCTGCACAGCAAAAGAAAAACACACACCTGCTTTTTAGGTGTTTTAAAAAATGTTCCTGAAAATGGTTTGAGAATGTCTGACTTGAGACTTAATAGTAATGTTTTTTAACATTATTAAAAAAGCCTTGATTTCATTTGAGAACACAATAATGTGTTTAATCTCAAATTCTGCAAGTTAATCTTTTGCATTTAATGTTCTGTTTACTTAATAATACATCTTTTCTGCATATCTGCATCAGGACAGGTTCCAAATAGCTGTATAAATGTTTTATTCCAGGAATTGAATATCTAAAATACTATCTGCCATGTTTATTTTCAGGTGAAATCAGTATAACTTTGAGAAGAGTATGCATTAATCTCATGGCACTGCGTGAGTAGGGGCGCTGGCCTTTTTAACCTGGCTATATTTCACATTGGGCCTCCCCAGACTTTGTACAAGTCAAAGCAATTGTGGATGAAAAGCGTGAGACAGAAAGATGTTATAACAGCAGCACGCTTAAAATGCATCTTACAAGAAAAACTACCTTATAAACATCTGTTTTTGTCTTTTGTTTGCTGATTAGTGTTGCCTGTAAGAAAATGGCCTGTCAGTGTGTAAATAGCCTGTATTTGTTGTATCGTTTGCAGGTTGAATTACAGTGACATCATTCAGGACTCCCTATCTTATGATCACAGAGAAGCCTTATCGACACACAGCAGCCCTTACAAAATTCCAGCAAGGCAGCCTCGTGACGCGAGGAGCATGCCACCAACACCAGTCATGACACGCAATGCCTACAGCAGCAGTCAGCTCAGGTGAGCAGCTCCAACACACCGATTTCCAAGTTTAAATAGGACGGGTAGTGGCAGAAAGGGTTCTGGAAGTATGGCACTCACACCTGTGAAATGCAGTCCACATTCTCATCCAAGAAGACAACAAAAAGGTTTTAATCTCAAGAAAATGTGGCTCAGCAGTATTGAAAAGTCACAACAAAGTCAGTTATTTTCTGTTAATAAGTTTCACAAAGTGAACTAGTATAAAAATAGTATTCTCAGAGCTACCTGAAATACTTCCATTTGCAGTTAGCCAGATAGGTATGTGGAAGACAAAGCAGTCAGTCCTGTTTTTTGTTCCCTTTTCAGGTCTGAAGGGACACCCCAGCACTTTAGGCAACGCAGTGGGAGCTTGGAATCTCAGACGCTCCTCCTTTCAGATGCCGAGCCGGAAAAGACGATATTTCCTCTCTCACCGGCCAAGAGGAGCAACAGCACCGAGGTCCTGGACGATGGGTCGTCGTACACCAGCCAGTCCAGTGTGGAGTACGGCACAAACAGCCAGCCACACCCGCAGTACCGCACAGTGGACTCTCGCACCAGGGACCGGCGGCGGCACAAGAAGCCCATCTATGCAAACACAGGGAGCATGCCCAATCTTGCCCAGAATGACTCCAGGTATTGCGGGTACCCAGCCCGACCGCATCCGACTTCCACCGCCTACTATGTCACGGGCTACCCAGCTTATACCGACCCTGACCCCTACTCCAACGGACCCTACATGTACGAGAACGAATCCGAGGGTCATTACAACGTGAATCCCTCGTACCGCATGTCGAACTATTGTGGACACGAAAGACAGTGCCGTTACTTTGAGGACGAGACGGACAGCCTCTCCCAAAACCCCTACGCAACCTTCAGACCTCCCAGGAGCAGACCAGGTGCTAAAAACGAACAAATAACTAAAAACATCCAGAAGGCACTGGTGGCCGAGCACCTCCGTGGCTGGTACCACCGTAACACTGGGCACAGGGACCAGGGACGCAGCCTGCTGGCAGGCTACGACTATGACAGAGGATCACAGCAAAGTCTAGGCTACCCCACTATGCATGTTCCTTTCTGCCACACCAGTAGGGCGCCATCATATTCTTCAGGTAAAGACCGTCTACCATTTATAGTCATTATAAGGGAAAGCTATTACATTCTCTTGCATTGCAGTGCTGTACCTTTTCATTTTTAACTGCCTAAAGGCTATGCTTGCCTTAACAAGCAAAGTTAAATGAGATTTGTTTTCAGTGGAACATTAATAGCAGCACCTTTTAATGTGCATATTTCTGAAGCCTGAATGTTTTAAACCAATGTTCCGCTGTTTGATTTTACCTCATTGTAAAATGTGTTTTTTATCGCAGTTTCTTCGGCTGCCAGCTCAGCAAACTGGCGCAGTCACCTGGCAGTAGGCCTCACTGAGAGTGATGCCCTGTTTTCTGATCGTCAGCCGTACCCCAGCTCTTACAGCACTGCCTGCACCCCCACCCCGACCCACAACAGGTGAGGAATGAGCACAGACACTGCTGTTCTTGATGTAAATTCAGAAAGAGAACCTCGTTCTAATCCTTGAAGCCTTTTAACCACTTTGTACTTTTCCACCCTTTTCTAGAACTACTTTAAAGCACCGTTTCTCAACCTGTGTACTGCAGAGATGTTTGGACTTTTCATTTTGGGGAATTCCCATCTGAGAAAAATAAAAAAGATTAAACTGTTTTTATATAACAGGTTTTGTGGAGTAACCAAAGCGTCAAGCTGCTCGTTCTGTGTACACATGTGAGACAGAAAACTGTTTACATGGGAAACGTGTGTGATGTTGAGTTTAGGTGTTCAAGTTTGACAGGCATACAAGACAAAAATATCTGAGAGAGACTGACCAAAAGCTCTGGGTTTCACTGTCATCAGTTCCTGTCAGGATAAGTCAACTTCTAGGCAAAGTCAAATTAAACATTGAAATAAAGTTTAATCATAATATTAAAAACACGCTCAGGCCTGTGATGTGATTGTGTGGAGGAAAGTGTGATACACATCTAGATTGTCGTTTCTGGAAGTGTACTATGGGATGGGTAGGGTTGAGAAACACTGGTTTAAAGTAACTCAGACCTTTAGATCTATGACCACTGAGATCTATTTCCTATGCCAACTCTGGGCGACCGCAACATTTCATCACCCAAACATCAATCCATATCAGCTTTCTTAAAAAAAAAAAACAGCCTGCTATGAGGGACACATGAAGTATCTCCAGTGTTCTGGATTCCACTGCACTTTCTGTGCCCTGTATTGAATTATAATCCAATCAACTCTTTTTACATCAGCTTTAATAAAAGGCTGAAGTGGAACCTATTTGTTTATGTAGCATATGAAATGTGTTCAGGCTGCTTCTTATGATGTTTTCTTTAATGCCCCTTTTCTTATAGCTCTAGATCCTGCCTCTACTCAGCTGGCTCTTATGGTGCTGAGCGACAGCAGTGCTGTTCCTTTGTCTGTGGTCCAGTTAGCCCCTCTTCCTCTTCCACCCTGTCATTCCTCTCTTCCTCCTCCGCATGCTATCAGACAGAGTCCCAGGTTTCTGTCCTTGAGCGGCAGCACATCTGCAGAAATGAGACCATTATTAAATACTCTCATGTTAAGTTTAACCACCAGTAGTAAGTAACATCATATGGTGTGTAGGGGGGGGGGTGTTTGTGTGTGTGATTTTCTGGACTGTTTTTTTTAACCATGGGTTGCCTTCTGAAGTGAATAGGTGTGGTAAGTAGGAACTATAATGTTTTTCTCCCAGAAAATGAACTGTAACTGCACGTTTTTTTAGGTCTATATTATAAGACCTAAATATTCCACTACTATTTCCAAGGAAACATTCAGAGGTCACATTTCTTTTGTGTGCTTTGTACAAAGCAATACCTTATGGTATTTTACTCACTGTCAAACATAATTGTAAACTTCTTGCGTGCAGATATCCCGCTGTGTATATGTCAAGGAGATATGATAAGATGATGATGTGTGCTCCAGGATCAGTAGGGATGTTTGGTCCTGTTGCTTCCAGTTGTACTACAGAAGAGAATTAACAACTAATCAATAAGACTACATACACAAAGGGTGAGCCAAAACAGCAAAATGAACAGTGATTCAACAACAAAAAAAAAATGCTTTGGCTTGAATTGCTTTCAGTTTAAAAAAATGGTGGTGGGATTGCTTTCTAAGCAAGTGTTATTTTTTTTTAAATGCTGGGCATTTTTATCGTGAGGAAAAAATGTGACCCCTGCATATTTGATTGGACGAAGTGCTTGGCTTTTCGCAATGCAAAAGTGTGTACTGCATCTTTTTTAGTATGTAAATTTAACCTTGTGTTGCACAGAACACTGCACAAAACGGTTAAGCAACCGTCAAGCTTTTATGATAACATGTTTTAACTTGGCTGTTCTATTGTGTGAAATGTGCTGCATATTTCATTGTGTGTTCAACACCTTTTCATCCAAGAGGCTGACATTTTTTTAGTTATTGCAACATATGGTTAAATTTGAGGAAAGGAGTGTTCTTATGTTGAAAAAGGCATGCATGCTCTCTCTCCTGCCTTACAAGGAGATGGGATGATCTTGTTGTGATTGACTCTTCAGTGCTGTTTTTCAGATCCTACATAGATGTGAACCAAATGGAAAACGCCATGAGCAGCCAAATGGAAAACAGCTTAGATCCTGAAGACCAGATGTTGTACTGGCACGAGGATTCCAAGCCTGGAACAATAGTTTAGTCACCAGCAAGGAACTGTTTTGTGATCATGTTGGATGAAACTTCATGTGCCTTGGATGACTTTATTTTCCAACAAGGATTTCCAAAAAAGTATTCCAAGAGATGGGAGGTCTACCTGTGAAATGAGAAAGCTCTGCAAAGATATCTTACAAAATTCTTGCACAAGCATATCTTATGCAGATGTCCAGTAAGACATTGGCCCGAGAAAAGCTTGCTTTGGACTTGTGTATCAATGGCACTTGGTTTAAGTACAGAAGAGCACTCCAAAGATACTGTCATTATGTTGTAGTAAATGTGCTGTGAACAGCAACAAAATAACTATAGAAAATAAGGAATGATAACTTCCTTGTCAGTCAAGCGTACTGGAATCCTGAAGGAGCTTTTCTTACAATAGGTACTATAAAAAATTCAGGACCCTGTTGAAATGAAGGATTGACTCTAACTGGAAATTAAGTTTTAGGATATTTTGTACCGATCTTTTGGTTATAAGAACTAAAGGAACTTTTATTAGAACTGAAATGCTGATGTAATTTTATACAGCTACTGAGGTGAATTGGGATTATTTTATTTTGGCAGTTACCAGTTTTAATGTGTACTCTGACTACATATGAGTTTTTAAAACTTTTGTGTATTAAAGTGCACAACATGAATGGTTACCTCAGTTTTCCACTGAATGGATGCATTGTACAATATTTTTTAAAACCATATTTTTGCAAAAATAAACATTTGCATCCTTTTTTGTTTGTCTGATGCACACAAGATTTCAAAAAGTTGCAAGATTTTTGCATTATTACAAAAGCCATAGAGCTAAATACCAGTATTTTTAAAATTATATCCAAGAAAACGTGGTGTGTTTTGCTGAAGCAAAACATTGAGCCTTCCCCACTCGGTATTCGCAATAAATATTAAATATTATCATATATATAATTATAATACTTACCTGGCAATAAATATCACCAGGTAACACCTTCTGAAAGAAATCCCTTTGCAACTGCAATCCAAGCCTTTTTTTCCAGATTATTTTGCTCATGAGGGCTATCCTACCTCTTTATTTTGAAGAAAGTATTCTTTCTTTGAACTTCAACTGGATATCCTAGTTCCTTAGCTTAAACAGTAATGAAACAACACTAGGCCTGTTTTTTTAAGCAGTTATTGCATTCCATGCTGGACTCCATGGACAGGTGCTCTACTTCCTCCCAAGAGAAGGAATGTGTACGTAATTGTCAATAACGTATATAGATTGTATTTGGTTTTCTTTATTTGTGAGCATTTTTATTATGTGGTTTACAAAGCATGTAATATATAGTAAGCCATCTAATTTGGTAAGCTGGTTCTTGGTTGTTTTAATAAAACCTGCATTTGAATTAAAAAATGGATCTTCAAAAGAATATGCCATTAATTTATTCTTTTGCATATTTGTACAGCATTCTTTTAAACACTTTGTCTACTTTTACCTGTTATATATGACCTGTTTTTGAACAGGATGTCAATAAAAAAAGTATGAAATGAAATCCTCATTGTTGTATGTCCCAGAAATGCACATGATCATAAATTGACATTTAAAAAAAACATTCCCTCAGTTATTTTCCGTTCTTACAAATTTAGCTGATCTACCCTCACTCTTGTTGCAACATGCTCAGTGTGTCAAAGTGCTATACCTGCTTTCTGTTAGAAGGAACTGTCAGTTTGGCGATGTTCTCTTTAATTGGGTTTTTTTCAAACATACATAAGTGATTTGAAGTACTGTTTTAGCCTTATCAATAATGCTGTGTATACAAGAGAGATTGTATCCATTTCCATGTGTTTGTGGTGGTAATGTAGGTAATCTTTAATTTCATTAGAAAATAATTTAGAACGAAAGCATTGATGGCTTTAAACCCCAACCAAATAAATTATGTCACCTATATTTGTCAACAATCCTCAAAGCAGTCTCTGGTAATTTGGGTGGACTCTTGACAAGTAAGTAAGAACAGTCAAATGAAGATTCCCACTGAATGCATTAGTTAAAATGTCTGTTTTGAGTGAGAAACTGAAATATCTAGTACAGGTTTTTCAACCTTTTCTGGTTAGTGGATCCATTTTCAAGAAACACTCCCTCACATTAAACATTAAATCAAACTCAAACTTATTAGAATGTTAAAAATAATTTAAGAAGAGATCTGCATGCTAAGAGTGACAGTAAGCTCTGTGAAAGTGTAGATTGTGCACTGTAGTACCATAAAATGGGGATAAAGCATTTGCCTTTCTCTGGAGACTCTTATATTGCCAGCAGCCATATCACTCTGCAAGTCAATACTGGCAACCCAGTGAAGCTAAGCGGGTGTGAGCCTGGTGAGTACCTGGATGGGAGACCTCCTGGGAAAAACTAAGGTTGCTGCTGGAAGAGGTGTGAGTGGGGCCAGCAGGGGGCACTCACCCTGCAGTCCATGTGGGTCCTAATACCCCAGTATAGTGACAGGAACACTATACTGTAAACAGGCACCGTCCTTTGGATGAGACGTAAAACGGAGGTCCTGATCTGTGGTCATTAAAAATCCCAAGGCGTTTCTTGAAAAGAGTAGGGGTGTAATTTCCCATTGGCCCTTACCAATCATGGCCTCCTAATAATCCCCTTCTATGAATTGGCTTCATTACTCTGCTCTCCTCCCCACTGATAGCTGGTGTGTGGTGAGAGTTCTGGTGCACTATGGTTGCTGTCGCATCATCCAGGTGGATGCTGCACATTGGTGGTGGTGGAGGGGAGTCCCCATTACCTGTAAAGTGCTTTGAGTGGAGTGTCCAGAAAAGCGCTATATAAGTGTAAGCAATTATTATTATTATATTGCCTTATATTACATAAATCTCTTTTGCAGATACACATGTACATAGTTTTCAGCCAGGAGTGCTGGACTCCCGGAGTTCTCCAGAGGGGATGTTTATTGCTTAGGTGTTTCACTCTTGCTCAAAATATACTGAAGGCCATTTGAAGCTTTCTTAAATATAGCTTTTTAAATTTTGTTCCCCCCATAAACTCAATCACCCTGCTCCTTTCCTTCATGTGCATGACCCCATTGTTTGTTGTTAGCTCATATTGCACATGGATGTCATGATTGAATGTAGTTCAGACCATTGTTTTGGGTTGCAGTGCTAAGATCAGGGAAGAGTGGCAGCTGTCCTGTGGGCAGTGTCAGTGCTGTTTCTCATCCGGGGGTGTTGCCCAGCCCATTTACTTATCAATGGATTATTTTAGCCACCAAGTGGAAGCAACAGAGTCACAGAAAAGGTGCATTAGTAAATGTAATGGATCTCCAGTGTTCAGTTAGATTAACCCATTAATACTGATAGCAGCCCTTTGTCCTTCTTACAGACTTTAAACTCTGAAACTGCATAGTAAATGTCAAGGCATGTTTAAACCAGCTCAATTTGGATTATTCAGTCCCATGAAAGTCCATTTTCAGGGGGAAGCCCTGACAATTATTGTTTTGCAAGGTTAAATTGCACTCCTGAAAAGAGGCTTGGGAAAGATGTGATATTGATGCCGGTATGATGTGACGAGCTAGGCAGTCATGCAGAAGGGAAGCTTTTGGCCTGGTGAGTCAGAATGTTCTTTCCTTTCTTTTCCGTCATTTTTCCGAAACCAGCCAGGCAGATTTGCGGAGTAAACGGGACATCCCAGGATGCAGCATGACTCTCGCACCCACTTGGAGAGCTCTAGCTCATTTCCTCCTCATTAAAGTATGAATGGCCCACACAAGTTATTGACGAGTGTTTGGTCAAGTCACACTCAGACATTTTCTGCAGATCCAGACTGGTTACCATTTTCAGGATTATTAAAGAGACACAGCAGGATTATTTGAACATTTACAAGGCTTGTGCTCTGCAGCAACGCAAGTTGAAGTCTGCAGAGTTTTACAGGCTGGAGTCTGATCCAGATTTCCAAATGCACACCTGCTGCTATCAGTATTACTGCTTTGAACAGTCACAGCTGCTACAGAAATATCAAGAAGGCTGGTACAGCTGACACAAGCTTCTGAAAAAAGAATATGTTAGTAGCTCTCCTACATGTGGCATAAATACCTCCCACTGTCATTTCGAGGTTTAAATTAGAACAAGTGAGAAGTGGGGGGACGCTGCTCTCCCACTTGAACCTTGATTAAAACCAAATTAAAAATCTCTTGCTGTATTTTCTAGAGTTCCAGCTATTTAGCCACTCTTTCATAAATCCAAGCTGATCTCACAATGTCAGATCGCAACCAGAACTCTGACCAAGAGTCCTACGGAGGAGAAATTGATGAAGATGAGATCCTAGCTAATCTTTCTCCTGAAGAATTGAAACAGCTTCAGAATGAAATGGAAGTTATCGCTCCGGATGAAGAGGTACCAGTTGGGATGAGACAAAAGGACCAGACTGAGAAACCCCCAACTGGGTCCTTTGACCACAGGTCTCTAGTTGATTATTTGTACTGGCAGAAGGAGTCAAACCGAATGCTGGAGGAGGAAAGGGTGCCCACTACTCTTCTACCGAGCAAGGTGAGCTATTTTGTTAACAGTGATCATAGGATGACAAAGTATAATACTGTACTAAAAAGTCAGCAATAACTGCATTGTTAGACTCTTATCACCCAAATATCCTGTTCATTTAAGTATGATCTTGTGGAATCTAAGTTAAAATATGTATTTTTGCATGAGCCATAAAAATCACAAATGTCTATATTTTTAAATATACTTGCAGGCTAGAAGCTGGACCTGTTACGCGGCACATATAAGGTCTTACACATTCACACTATTTTTTTGCAAGAAAATATCGAAAATACATTATTTTGTGTGATGTCTTGATATGCTTACTAGTTGCATCATTATATCTATTTTTAAATTGTCAGAGAAATACAAGAGAAGACCATGACAATGAAGGTGTAGCAGATAAAAAAGAAATAGAGTGCTATAAAGAATATGTAAAAGTGTGTGACAAGGAAGAAGATGTTAATGATATTCACAAAGACATGCAGAGATGTTCAGTGAAACCTGGTGGAACGTCTGCCTGTGTTACTAATAAAGCTCAGGAAAATATGAAAAGCAAGAAACCAACAGCTCGGTCATCAGAGTGCCCTGTGGTAGGCAGAAAGACAGAGGATCAATGTTTCAAAACAAAGGAAAAAAGATCAGAAATATCCAAGAGTGTGCAAACCAATGGACTCCATTCCAATTCAGAGATTTCAGCCCCTGAGACAAAGTCAATGAAGAAGAGCAGTGAGGAAACAGGTACAGCAGATGAAGTCCCTGAGAAAGAAGAGAAGAAAATTTCCAAACTCAAAATCCCAAACAAGCTGACGGCCGGTGGTAATTTCATTAAGCTAACAGCCAGGCCTTCGGGAAATGAAACCAATTTGGAAAAAACCCTGGAGAAGATCCGAAAAAATAGCCCTGAGATCAAAGACGTCAATCTGAACAACATTGAAAACATTCCTAAAGAAATGCTTTTAGATTATGTCGATGCGCTGAAAAAGAACAAGCACGTTGTGACCTTCAGCATAGCCAATACCGGGGCCGATGAGAATGTGGCCTTCGCTTTGGCGAACATGATGCGTGAAAACAGGAGCATCACCACTCTCAACATTGAATCCAACTTCATCACAGGCAAAGGCATAATTGCCATCATGAGGTGCTTGCAGTTCAATGAAACGCTGACTGAGCTAAGGTTCCACAACCAGAGACACATGCTGGGTCACCATGCTGAGATGGAGATGTCCAGGCTACTCAAGGCAAACAACACTTTGCTTAAGATGGGCTATCATTTTGAGTTACCGGGCCCACGGATGGTGGTGACTAACCTGCTGACCAGGAATCTCGACCGGCAGCGTCAGAAAAGGATGGAAGAGCAAAGGCAGCAGCAGATGAAAGAGCAGGAGCAGACGATGTCTTTGTTTCAGAACAGTTTGGAGATCCCACCTGGCCTATGGGAGATGTTGGGAGGCTACCTTCCCGCCGCTCCACCTACAGGTGCGTCTCCAGACCCACCCCAAGCACCCCTGCCCCTCCTGCAAATGAAGCGCAGACGTGAGTCCACCCCACAGACGCAGCACAACACCCAGCAGGCTAACCTGCTGCGGGAGGTGAAACTGAAAAAGACTCCGAAGCGGAGAGATGGAGCCCATGCACTGGACCTGAGCGAGAAAGCCAATCTTAAGGATGTGATAAAGACTCTGAAGCCTGTCCCCAGGAGACGAGAGCCCCCGAAGGTTGAACTAACGCCTCGAGATCAGCTACTTAACGACATTCGTCAGAGCAATGTGGCTTATCTCAAACCGGTAAGCTTACGGGGGGGTTCACTGATGAGCAAAGACGTGAATGACCAATCATTTTGTATAGCAGCTGAATTAATCATCTTTGTGAATAAAAAGCATAAAAGGGAAATATATAGAATAAAAAGGAACTTCTGAAATATTGGGATTGTTAGGTGTTCTCAAGCCAACCCTTTCAGCGGCTTTAATCACAGATACAAGTAACAGAATCAATGTTCAAATTGTGCCGAGATTCTTTTCAAAATGAACTAAATGGTATGCTTTAATAAATGTAATTTTTAAAGTATGCCTAGAAGCATGCATAGAGGAAATGTTAAAAAACAGTGATAAGATAATATTTTAAATATTCGCCAGAAGTGAACAGGAAGTTTTGCATTTATTCCTGACAAATTTTAATTATTTATGTTGAGTCCATTTCGATCACTTTAACAAAACAAAACATTCCAACTGCATTTTTCCCAAGCGATTTCTGAATGGTTGTGTTAAAACAGACTTTCATGACGTTGCATGCTGTGCGTTCACAGATAGCCGAGTCACCTTGGATAAGAATGGTGATTGAAGAAAGCTCCTATTTAAATCCACATTAATTATGTTTCCTTCTGGATTCTTCCTGCATAGGTCCCTTTACCTAAAGAACTGGAGTCACAAGAAACCATGCTTTTTTGAAGGAGCTACTGTTTATATCAGTGGTGAAGAGTGTGGGAACAAAGGACTTCCAGTATCTGCACTGAACCCGTTGAAAGACTTTGACAATTATTGCCTGCAAATCTATGTATACGTTGTCATTTTGGATAGTGCAATTTGCCTTCTTATTCTTCAGGAATCAGTAAAGGAAAAATACTGCAAGAAACGTGTCCACTTTTAACAAAAGCTTAGGCAATGAACTTAACAGTGATGCTCCATGAAACATTGAATTTAGCATGTAAGTTTCTTTCATGCAAACATAAGAAAATGTTTCATTTTTTATGTTAATGCCTTTTGTAAAGTGTAATGATTGAAATCCGATATAAAATTATATAAAATCTCTCTCTCCTTAAATGCCTAGTTTTCTTGGGGGGGTGAGAGGACATTTCATAGGTAAAGCAGAAACCTATGTTAAAACACAGTTCAGACATTAAACACTTTGCAGGTCAAGAATTCCTGAAATATAAACTGGCGTCATGGGTTCGTGTCAGAGACTTACAGCACCTTCTAGTAGCACAATTTCCTAGAAGACAGTATAACTTCCAGGTCTGTCTTGCTTCTGTATTGCTAATTTGAAACTCTGTCCCTGGGTAGTAGTAGTCAGTAGTCTTTCACTTAACAAAGCTGTTGACCTCAACATGTTCAGCTGTTTTATGCAAACCCCTTAAACTTCAGGGATACTTAAAGAAAACAAAAACAGAAATTTGACTGGTGCTAAACATATCTGGGTACTGTTCTGTGGAATAAAGACTTAAAGACTTGGAGTTCCCCCACTGATCCAAATAGGGAATTAAGACATAGTAGCTAATACACATATTCTTCCTAAAATAAGTATCCATAAATCTGTTACACAGAGCACAAAAACAACCTCGGTTAAGTGTCTCATTCAAAGGGCAGCACAGTGCTTGCCGTTACATTTTGGCAAAGAAAAGGAAGAGTCCCTCTTAATGAATCATTAAGCGGCGTCTTTTCCAAGTACCATTAAGACAAAATGCTGATGCATGAATAAGCTCCCTTCACAACCCTCTACATCTGAAACAGATCTGAACTGTGTAATATTTCTGAATCCCTCTGTAAAACCTGCAAAAAAAGGTCGATTTTTTTTACAAAGTAAAAAACAACCTGGAGACCACGCACACAGTGAAAATTTGATGTCTGCGGTTGAAAATTTTGTTTTAAAAAAAAGCAGTGAACTTGAGCACATGGCATGATTTTAGTTTTTATTAGCATGGAAAAATGAATGGATAGCTTTCCAGTTAATGCATTCCTTAATATTTAGTTAACAATTGAAATTAATTGCATAAAATCAAACTTCAAACTTCTTACTTTGACAAACCACTATGCTCTTGTCTATTTCAGCTTTCTCACTTCATTAAAGCAGCATGACGTACAGCTACATGACATACCCAGAGAATTTTCATATGAAGACAATTAGGCTGACATCCATAATACTGTTATTTGTGCTTCCAAGAAAGGAAAGTGTCTTGATAGCTGCAAATTGCAGCCTGTGTCTTTTACATAAGGTGCATTTACTTATTTGGTATGAACAGAAACGTGAATAGTACTCATGTGTACATGGATCATTTTTGAGAGATGACACCATTAGCTCCAAAAGGGAAGTGATGGAAACTAGACATTGGCCACTCTGACCTAACAACATAATAGCAATATGTACTTCAAAATATGTTTTCTTAAGATGATAAAAGATTAATAACGGAGGCAGTTGCAGACAGTGCAAAACAAGGACAAAGGTACCCAACAATGAACAACTATAATCTGCTCCTGAACTTTTAGAAACTATACAGAGAAATACAGCCTTGTATCCCCTCCTTAGATCACTAAACTTCCATGTTCACTTGGGGTTTGGGATTTGAAATTGTGCACCACCCATAAACTGGAATCAGATTTCTTCTGGTATTTGTCTGAAGACTAAACCTCCTCCCACCTGCCTACTAACAATAGAATAGACTAGCTGATGCCATTAGCTGAAGCCAATAAAGTTTATGAAAATGTGAGAGACAAAACATTTATAACTAAAGGAACAAGTAATAGGTTTATTCCATGCTGAAAAAAAGAAGAAAGAAAACAACATTTCAGCCGTGGAGCCTTCTTCAGGTGTGAGCACCTACCTGAAGAAGGCTCCATGGCCGAAACATTGCGTTTTCTTTCTTCTTTTTTCAGGATGGAATAAACCTATTACTTCTTCCTTTGCAGCCTACGCATGCCGACACAGCTACCCACCTGAACTACATTTAAAACTAAATATGTAGTTGCTATTATACATTTAAAAAAAAAGGTCTTTATCTGTCTGACAGTGGTTTGGCCAATCCCTGCTGTAAACAGAGCCCTTAGGTTAAGTGAATTACAAAGACTGCAAAGTTGCAGACACTGATCAAACACTTCCATCATTTCAGTGAAGAAAAGAGAAATAAAGATTAACCGACATTTTTTCAAGCAATTGTGTTTTTATATTTTGGAGTTAGTTGTGATTTGATTTGGTACCTTTTATTTGGTGATGGGGCAAGTATGACGGAATCTTCCCCCCCCCCAATCTTTTAAACATTCAAACCTGAAAGCCCTGAATAAGATATACTCATTAAAAAATTATTGAACAACAGGAATAGAAAATGCTGCTTTTGGTGATATACTTGTCCCACTACATAGATATCATCGGAGACAGTAAGGCTGCTGTTTAATCTTTTTCAGGGTTTTAAACTAAAGTATTACTACAAGTGTTGTTTTGGAAAAATGCCCCAGCTGGAAATGTGGTGCTTCTGAGGTAGTGCATCAATGTAATTTTATCTCACTCAGGAAATACACAGCACGTATAGCTGTGATAATTCTAAAAATAGCTACCGAATAAAGGAAAACTTCTAATAGTGCATTAAACAGGTACAAGTCAGGCATGTTGTGAATATTTCTGCTTAGATTTATTTCACACTAATGCATTTCCCTTCACTGATCTTTTTAGTCTTTTCCTTAACAGAACCTAGAGGACAAGGATTCAACCTTGACTGGTTTCTATTGCACATGAGTTGATACTGTTGGTGTGGGTCTCCTGAAAGTGAGGATGCTGAATGCATCTTAATATTTTCCCTTCAAGTAAGCTTTTGAGAACGCTTCCCTTCAAAAAATATGAAACTGAGGTGCACACAAAATACAGAGGATTGTTTTCCAAAATAAAGCCTTTTCCCTTTCTTCTTTTTACTTAAGGAAAATGGCGATATGAGGAATGTGGGTTTTTATCCACTTAAAAAAATACAAGGATTGCACATTGTTTTTTTACTTTGTTTTTCAGTCTATAGGAAAATAGTTTTTTGGAGTATTTGGCTGTTCTAGTAATCACAGGCTACCACATAGCACTGTTTCCTCTTTGTTAGGGGACAGAGGGACAAGATAAGCAGTGCAGTGCTGTCTGGAACATATCAGGGGTTGGTTTTACTCTTTCACTTTGCTGGCCAGGAAATCCGTGATTTTGTTGAGGTTTTCTTCTTGTTGCCCCAGAGCGTCCAGAATCACCCCCATCGGTGACTTCTTCAGCCCCGCTCCTTCCAGCTTATTCTCTAGCTTATTCTTCACGTTGCGTAGTCTCAATGACGCATGGACAAACATCACTGAAATAAGAGATTTTCAGTTGCTTTAATCAGGCAGGAGAATTTTCCACATGCAGAATTCCACTGTGAGGTCATGTTTGAAGAGGTGGAAACATTAAAAGCTGAATTAAAATAACACTTAAACCTATTACTTTTTTTAAGAGTTTCAGACTGTACATACATTTAGAAAATGTATATACTGTACATACCATATGCACCATATATTTTTGGAATATAATACCCCTTGCATTAACACTCATGTTTAAAGTGTACAGAAGCCTGCTGGGCTATAGTTATTCTGCCTGATGCAGAAACAGCCTTTTCTGTGTTGTTGAGGTTGGCCTCCTTAGCAACCAGTAAACAAAAGCCTGCTATCATGCGGTTAACACCTTAGGAGGGGCTGAGGTAGCAGGGTTTAGTGTTCAACGGCACTATCAATTACTTCAGTCAGCCCTGGGTCCAGAGATATATTTGTTAAAGGCCTGTCCTTTTTCTAACAGGTACTGTAATTTCTGGAAAACAACTTTGGGTCTTCCAGGATGATAAATCTTCATCAAAACTGTGAATTGCGTGCATATTATAGAAGCCTTCGAGGTTTTAAATGACAGATGTGACCTTTTCCATGATACATTTATGGAACAATAGCAAAAATGATTATATATATCAGAGGAACTGGAAGATTAAGCCATGTAGGCAGTTATAACAAGAAAATATAAAAACCTTGGTGGATCAAAATGCATTCATTTGCCAGGAAATGATAAGGAGAGAGAAACTTACAGAGCAGGGGGAAAGTGATGCCGAAAATGAACACCATCACACCTCCGAAGAGGGATATGAGGAAATAGCTAGCGCCCAGTACGCCAATTACAAACAAAGATGGGTTCTGCTTCTTGAAGTTCTTGATCACGGCTCTGTCGTCAGCTGCCCACACAGAACCAACGAATACCAAAGCCACTACCGCTCCTCCTAGGATCATGGACACAGGGTTCAGAAATCTGTATAACAAGACACAGCAAACAACAATCTCAGCAACAACTATAGAAAATCAACTTAACATATGAACTAGGCTGCATTCCTACAAACAGAGCCTAAACACACCTAAGTGCCACATTACCTTTCAGTGACACAAAGGCAGGTGTTCTTTTCTTCTGTTTTTTTTTTTTAATTCGTAGCTCCATCTGCTGACCAAACATTGCTAATACACTACAGATCAGGATGGAATGTTTTATTCCAGGCAACTGAGTTTTTCAAAGCTTTTGTTCTCAGTACCGTCCTGGTGATAATGCTTTAACCACATTTTAAACAAAGTTTCCCTCGCTGGCATTTACCAATGTCAGACATAAGCATCTTTCACACGGTGTGTTTTACAGTATTTTCTGTGGATATTCTGAACCTTGTTGTAATTAAACAATTGTTAGAAAATGAATTTCCCCACTACAGTAAAGTCAGACACGCAGTACTATCAGATATACAAGCATTGCTATTTTGCTATCCTAAACTAAACAAACCCCCCCTCACTCTTCAACTACAAAAGATCACTGCATCTTTTCATGTACATAGAAGTGGCCAATTTTTTATCGACTTCATGTACTATAGACCTTTTGTTCTGCTTTGAAGGTTCATCTCTCCAGACAGATGCCAAAATATAGCAGCACCTGTTACTTCTCCAAGGTAATCACATTTTATTTTATCTGCGGTAGCAGCTGATATAATTGGAGGCTGTACAGGACCCCTGCTGCCTGTGGCTACCATGTGTCATCACAACCCCACTGCCAAATTCTATATTTAGAGAAACTGACTCCAAGTTTCCAATCTGGAAAAAAAACAAACAATACTGCCACAGCTTGAACCGTACAGGCTGACTCACTTAAAATACACTGCATTTGCTTTCTCCATTCAAGCGATCTCCAGTGTCTGGAAGTGAATGCTCAACGACTAGACGTGACAGCATCACTACTCAGCACCTCTGTATCTCAACAAGCTGGAGAAAGCCTTACAGTACATCTGCAAGTATAGTACAGAATGTCCTTACTGCGTGAACAATACAGAACAGTATTTAGTACAAAAAAAGATAAATGTAGAATTTTGGACAACACCTGTTTAGTCACCGGGCTGTTGTATGAGATTTTAAATGGTAGAACATCATGTCTTGATGTCCAAATTTTAGTTTTGGAACACAAAGGTAATGATTAATGCTGCCACACCGAAACCTATAACACAGTATATACCGTACTTCACAGTAGAAATGAAACCAGGGATTTCATGTAAAGGACTACATTAGATATTTAGGGATTTTGTGGATATTTTAGGGACCAAGATATTTTATGGATTTCAAATTTAAATTCTTAGTTAAGTTTGAAGGGACAATGTGGAAAGTGATTTCCCATAATTACTCTACGCTTGCACAATTATAGTATGGGACAAAAAAGTAACAAAACTTGAATGCACAGCATGTTGTTTTCATCTTTATCATTTCAGCCAAACATTTTTATTAAGGGGCGATATATTAAATTTGTACATTGTACCAGCAAGACACATGTTTCATTTTGATCACCACAATAACAACTAAGATACTGCTGCTCTGTTATCCACCCAGAGAAGAGAAACAAGGTCCATTATCAGGCTCAAACCACACTGCCAGGCTAAAGGAACTACATATGTTTAGCTCTGAACAGAGACACTATAAGGGGACTAGATTCAAGTATTCAATGTCCTCTGAGACATAGGCAAAATCAACCCAGTGGACAGCCATGTTGCTGAAGGTGATACCCTACTTCAAATCCCTACCTCACATCAATTAGCTACAACCTACCAAACAGACCAGACAGACCACAGAACTTATCAATTGTAACATTTTTAAGTCATGTTTTTGAAAACCAAATGATTTAGACTTGCCTCTTGTTATCTGTGAACTTTATGTTCTTATTATACCAGCTGCTATATCTCTCTGCAATAGGAAAGCTAAGGTTGCTGCTGGAAGAGGTGTTAGTGAGGCCAGTAGGGGGCATTCACCCTGTGGTCCGTGTGGGTCCTAATGCCCCAGTATAGTGACGGGGACACTCTACTGTAAAAAGGGGCATCTCGGATGAGATGTAAAACTAGGGTCTTGACTCTCTGTGGTCATTAAAAATCCCTGGGCATTTCTCAAAAAGAGTAGGGGTGTAACCCCAGATTCCTGGTCTTTACCAATCATGGCCTCCTAATAATCCCCATCTATGTATTGGCTTCTGCTCTCCTCCCCACTGACAGCTGGTGTGTGGTGAGTGTACTGGTGTACTTAGGCTGCCGTTGCATCATTCAGGTGAGGGCTACACACTGGTGTTGTAGGGGAGTCCCCATTACAAGTGCTTTAAGGAATTTATTATTATTGCATAGTGGCACAGTAGTTAGCACTGCTGCCTTGGAGTGCTGGGGTTTGATTGCTAGGCTATCTCTGTGGAGTTTGTATGTTCTCCCTATGTGGGCTTCCTCTAGGTGCTCCAGTTTCCTCCCACAGTCCAATAAGATACTGGTACTGTAGGTTAATTAGCCTCTGGTAAAGCCGGCCCTGGTGCAAGTGTGTGCTTGTGCCAGCGAGTGCCCTGTAGGGGACTGGTGTCCTGTTCAGGGTGTATCCTGTCTTGTGCCTGCTGCTTGCAGGGATAGGCTCCGGCTCCACCAGGATCCTGGATTGGATAAAGCAGTTAGAAAATGGATGGATGTTCTAATTACAGTACATTATGAACACTTAAGTGTAATTTGATTAAATATTAAATGAATAGCTTTAAAATACATAGCACTGCTGTGAGGTTTGAACATTACTGTTACTTAAGGTTTCTTACATGTCTCTTTTGAACTACATTTCCATTAGTGTGTATAATTGATTGCAGGGTAAAGATGATATGATAAAGCTTGAGCAGTCTTGTACATTCTCAAAAGCATCTACAACCTTTTTTGGCTATTTTTTACTATTTATAATGTGTTGCGTTATATCATTAAATATTGGTATTTGGTTTTGGTGTTGTTTCAATTCATACGTACAGTGCAGTGTAAAAGTATCCTGATTTCCTCCATGTTTGCAAAATTTTTACACTGAATGTTTTCAGGTCTTCAACCAAAATCTAATATTAGATAAAGGGTACCTGAGTGAACAAATAACACATTTTTTTTTACTTATTTCGTTTATTTAATGAACAATGTTATCCAACACCAAATTTCACTGTGTGAAAAATTGCTCCCTAGTTAAATCAACCCAATTAAAGGGATAATTTAGAGTCGGCTGATTGAATACAGCCACTGTATAAACCTCACTTACTGTATTTTGAGTCTTACCATCAGAGTCAAGTTGCCAGCACAAAGATTCAATAAGCATATTATGCCACGATCAAAGGAAATTCCTGAAGACATCAGAAAAAAGTCTGGAAAGGGTTACAAAGCCATTTCTAAGGCTCTGGGACTTCACCGAACCACAGTGAGAGCTATAATCTCCAAATGGAGAACACCTGGAACAGTAGTGAGTCTTCCCAGGAGGGCCAGCCTGCCAAACCTTCTCCAAGGGCACAGCGTAAAATCATCCAAGAAGTCACAAGGGATCCTAAAAAAACATCCAAAGAACTGCAGGCATCTCTTGCCTCAGCTAAGTTCAGTGTTCAACACTCCACAATCAGAAAGAGACTGATTCAAAAATGGGCAAAATGGGCAAAAATGGGCTTCATGGGAGAGTAGCAAGGCAGAAACCGCTGCTAACCAAGAAGAACATAAATGCTCATCTCTCATTTGCCAAGAAGCACCTGGATGAGCCCCAAGCCTTTTAGGAGAATGTTCTATGGGCAGATGAGTCAAAAGTGGAACTTTTTGGACAACATGGGTCCCACTATGTCTGGCATAAAGCAAACACAGCATTCCACAGTACGAACATCATACCAACAGTCAAACATGGTGGTGCTAGTGTGATGGTGTGGGGATGCTTTGCTGCCTCAGGACCTGGACGACTTGCCATAATTAAAGAGAAGTGTGAATTCGGCTCTGTATCAGAAAATTCTTAAGGAGAATGTCCAGTCATCCGTCCGTGAACTGAAGCTGAAGTGTAGTTGGGTCATGTAACAAGACAATGATCCAAATACAAAAGCAAGTCCACATCAGAATGGTTCAAAAGAAACTAAATTAAAGTTTTGGAGTGGCCATCAAAGTCCAGACCTAATCCCAATAGAGATGCTGTGGCAGGACCTGAAACAGACAGTTGATGCTGAAAAAAACCTACCAATGTTTCTGAATTAAAACAGTTCTGTAAGGAAGAGTGGGCTAAAATTGCTCCACAGCAATGTGAATGGCTGATATTGAATTATAGGAAGTGTTTGGTTGCAGTTATTGCAGCTAAAGGTGGTGCAACCAGTCATTATTTACTTTTTTACTCACACAGGGGATATGGGTGTTGGATAACTGTGTTTATTAAATGAATGAAATAATAATTAAAAAAATGTTACTTGTTCACTCAGGTTCCCTTGATCAAATATTAGATTTTGTCTAAAGATCTGAAAACATCTAGTGTGACAAATATACAATAATAGAGGAAATTGTGGATATTTTTTCACGGCATTGTATATATTTACCTTTAAGGAGTATGTCCCTCTTTCCAGTGAATTAACAGTAGTATGTTTGGCAAGATAAAGGTAAAAGGTCGGAGATGTGTTGTTGATAGTAGCGTTTAGCATCATAAAAGTATTTTAAAAAGTACTTCATTTTTATAGAAAAGTTAAAGAGAAGCCCCCGCCACCCTGAAATGGAAGAAGCGGTTATAAAATGGGCGGGCGACAGTTAACAGTAGCAAATAACCCCCCACATTTGGCTATTTTTATCGAGACGGTCCCGTCTTCCTCCTGTTTTACTGATACTTGCGATTCCAAGTTCCACACGGGACGAAAACTTAAAACATCTATGTTCTGTATGTTAAAGGACAGACAGAACTGTATGTTAAAGTATGATAAAAATATCATATGATAAATATCATGTACAGTACATTGTGGAACGCCCACACATCGTCTATTTGTTAAAAGTACTATTACGTTTTATGCCCGCATTGACAGCAAAACATTTCTACACACACTGACACGTATACAGATCTCTCTAATACATAATTGCATGTCAAACTAGGAAAATGGCAACTTTTGAACAAGTTGCACTGTTAATATACTGTTATTAGAAACGACGTTTCCAGTTCTATTGCTTTGCCTCAGACCTCGCATTCCTGAGCGCAGCCCCTGAAATCGACTGTGCCTATTACAAGGCATCGTATAAATTATTACAATACTACCATTACACACACCCCAGCACTCTGTATAATGGATTGCACCAACAACTCTGTTTGCACGTCGCAAACTTTGAGCAAGGTGCAGGGTGTTGGAGGAACTTAAGTATCTCGGATGTCCTTTTCTGGACGAGCTGCACAACATTGAATTCCGCATCAGAACACTACAATTTTAAAGTTGTCGCATGGCCCTAAATTCGCATCCGGTTTAACATTCAAACCTGTCAATCAGAAATAGAACGCGTTAACAAATTTAACAGGCTCACTAATGTACAGTACTGTAAATACTGAACGCTAAAAATGTTCATAAACATTAAATTAAGAAACGCCGTGAAACAACCGTCTCAATTACAGCTGGCATCATAAAGAATCGTGCACAGAAGAAAAAAATGCAGTTTTGGAAAAGGGTGGGGAGAATATGACTAACAGCGGACTAAGTGTTGCCAAGTCTTCAAAGGCTACTTACCCAACGATCAAAAACACGACAATGGCCATTGCAAAGTAATTGGTCTGATAGTAGAGCAAATTGCTGACGACTCTGTTGTTCCATTTTGCTAAGTTACCCACGTCAGGTTTTGCAAAGCGATCTGAACCGGGAAGAAAGTCGTCCCAGGGTCTGAGCGGTGCGAGCTCCATCCCAGCCATGATCGCAGCGGCGGTGGCTTGCAGGCTTCTGGGCTGGAGCGAGCATCAGCTGGTGCGCTAACGTCACGGGGCTGAGTGGGCAGGGTTGTCTGGTTCTCGCGATAAACAAACCTGTGCATCTCATCCAGAAGATACAAGATGCCCAGCTTCTCTGTAATAATAATAATAATAATAATAATAATAATAATGAAAAATATTTAAACTGGCGGTGGGTTTTAGACAGTGTACTGAAAACTGCATTAATGAAGCAGACTTTTACGTTACCCGGAATTAAAAAGTAAAGATCACAAAGAATTAGGGTAAATGGTCTTTTATCAAAGCTGCTTTGTTCTGTGCTATTGCCCATCCTGTACATTCTGCATACTGACTGCTGTAGGTCTTTTGAGAAAAAAACAGGTGTTTAAGTCTGCTCCTAGACATGGGCCTGAAATGGAGTATTTTGTTGACTGGTGTAACAACTCCTGTCTTCAACTTAATGTATCAAAAACCAAAGGCATGATCATTGATTAAGAAAACAACCACCAGCTGCGAAACCAAAAGTTATCGAAGGTCTGAAACTGAATAGTCATATATTACTCTTATCTTGGCACTAGTGTTAATTACAAACTAACCTTTGAGAAAAACACATGCCATATGTAAGAAGACTCCACTCTATTAATTTGGGTGCTACAACTATCACTTTATCCCAAGGAACTTTCATTGAATTTGCCCTGTTCTCTGTGGTAGATTGATTTGGTAACCTTAATAAACACAATAAAATCAGACTGAGCAGGACAGTGTAGCCAAGGTAGCCAACAACATAATTGGTGGATGACAGCTACAGCTGTCAGACAACCAGGGACGGATTTTGTTGTTTGTAGGCTCTAGGCACTTTCACGCCGAAATGTGCAAAAAGAGGAGTATATGCCAATTGAATTACGTTGATTTACATGATGCACTTTAAACTATTCTAATGCTAAACCACGTGATTGATGGAGCGAGTTGAGCGACCATCACTCGATACTTCTAGTTTCTAGAACAGCCGCTAGATAGCGTAAGATTATTGATTGGGAGCACGTAGAGTCGATCACAAGCATATTGTTTCAGCTCATTTTTCATTAGTCACTAGTGTTTTCCACCTTCGTAGGCACTAAAAAGATTATAGGCCCCAGGTACTGTGCCTACAGTGCCTTGTGCGAAATGCGGCACTGCAGACATCTACATCAGACAAATAGTGTGTCTATCATGGACTGTCATTACTACCCCTTGTATAGTGAATTTGAGCTCCTTCCATCTGGGGACTGATTTAGACTCAAATGCAATAGAACTACATTATCTTTTAATCCAATGGCTAATAACTTGCTTAATTTGGACAATTGATTGTATATTTTATTTTACTTATATATATATTTTCTTATTTATTTATGAATTCATGTTGTATTACTGTACCTTGTTGTTTTTTACCAGACCATGAAGCAAATTTTCCATCTGGGGCAATAACAGTAAGTATCTCAAGAGTTCTGTATCTTAGATTTCTTCTTTTATTTAAGGTGATCTCAGATGTTTTCATATACTGTACATTGTAAGGAAAGGCAGGGTAAGACAAGGTGTGGTTGCTAGATCTTCTGGGTTTTATTCCACACTGGAGTGACTTTTGTGTGGAGTTTGGTTGTTCTCATACTTTTATTTTTCCAAGTGGGTTGCTTTCCTGTCACCTTCCAAAAAAAGCTGTCTAGGTTGACTGGCGTCTCTAAAATGTTCACAGAACGTTTTATGTCACGTATGAGCGGGGTGACGCGAACATTGCCAGCAACAAAAATCTTTCTGATGCCGTATAAATCTTGAACTGGTTGGTTGGGGCTGGACTGTTGGCTTGAATTGGCTTGAAAAATCTTTCCATTGTGCTGTTTCAAATCTCCCTCCCTCAAACAGCTGCAGCTCCTAACCACCGCGGCATTGTGGGAGGAGACGGAGCAGGAAATATGGCGGATGTGGAGGAACCGTAAGTATCCGTGAAAGGAGAGGACAGAGAGATCTGCAAATTAGTGCTCATAATCTCATGTATTACCTGCTGAAAAAAAGAGAACACGATTGAACCTTCTTTTATTCTCTCTTTTTAGGGAGAAGAAAAGAAGGAGAGTAGAAGAGCAGACTGAGAAGTTAGTACTGAAATGCTAAAAATATAAAAACTGCCAGCAGGTTTGAGGTTACACAGCGCACGGAGTAGTAGAGCATTAATGTGAAAATTCTTTTTTCCATTCGTTGACTGACACATTAATGTTTTGTCTATAAAAGGACGGAAAATTGAAATATTCTAAAATTTACAGTCGATTATAGTAAGGCCTCAGGCTGCTCAAATGTATCGCAGTTTATAGTCACGCTTATAGTAACTAGTTACATGTTTTTAATAACGTGTTCATAAGGAATTTTCACATCTTAATGTTGCGCTCGTTTCTTATTTCGACTGCTATTTAATTAACTCCATTCTTTTATAGAAACATTGCATATAAATTAAAATTATACAATAGCTGTAATACAGGCCTCTACCGATTTCTAATTGTGTTGTTTGGTTACATTGTTTTGTAAACTTTCAAAAGGGAATATATTAAACATAACGTGCTTGTTTTATCAGGATTGTGATAACGATGTTTAGGCTGGAATAGTAACTGTTACACCCCAACAGTTGTTATTGTGAATAGCATGTCAACCAGTAATATATCTGGAGAATTAATCAAAACGTACCAGACAGATAATTATTTCTATTAATTAAAAAGATTCTTAACCCTATTTATTGATAAACGTTCTTCTGGCAAATTTAGTTTCCTCTTGGTAACAGTAATGTCTTAAACAGACTTTATACATAATAAATAAGTTAAACAAGCGTAATTATGGCCAAATACCATCTTATTACAACCTCTGTTGTATTTTGACAAAAAAAAATGTACCTTAGGTGTGGTTACTGTGCGATTGGTCAATGTATGTAGGTACTTAAAGCTACATATTCTGAAGTTATTTGTGTCTGAAAGGATAATATATATTTTTATTTATGATATACCTACATTGACATTTGAAGTATTAAAAAAATAGTACAATAGTACAAATAAAGGTACAAGTTTAGATGTTTGACCAACAATGTACTGCATACTCAAAAGCTAACAATACCAGTTAGCCTGTATGTTAAAGTCTTTGCACACGCTGCCAACTTTGGTATTGTGTTTTCAAACTACAGGCATTGTGAGCACAGCAGACACGCAAGTTGTTTTCCAACTGATGTTTGTAGCTGAGTTCCTTGTGTTCTGTGCAGAATGGCTGTGGATGGTGGGTGTGGGGACAATGGAGACTGGGCAGGTCGCTGGAGCCATGTCAAGAAGTTTCTCGAGCGCTCAGGACCATTTACACACCCCGATTTTGAACCAAGCACTGACGTGAGACAACTCCACTTTCTCCAGTTGTGTTTTGTACTGGGGGGGGAAAGGAAAGCACAGCAAACGAACCCCCACAAGCTTTAAAATGTTGAATGTTTTGAATTACATTTCTTAGAAAATGCAGTTGACAGTTTTGCATGATTTCCATCACATAGTTTTAGTTCCACCTATATACATAAATTCTACAAACGGCTTCATACTGTATTATAAATACGATGCCATGAATTTAATACAAAAATGTTTGCTAACTCGGTACCAATTGATCATATAGTTGATATCAGTTGAAAAGCAGCCATTTAATTTACTAATAAAATAGTAAAAATCCAGTACACATTGTGGTCTTTATTTCAGACTCTACTTCTGTTTTACAATGTAACATGTTTAACATGGTAAAGTTAAAAGAAATCAACACTTAAAAGTGATATTTCCATTTTCAGTTTTAAAATACATTTTTACTCTTTTAATTATGGTCAGGTACATATTGTCACCTGTTCTTTTTAGTTCTGTATGCCATTTGTGTGCGTATTCATAGTAACTCTTTTCTGGTTTTGTGTTTTAACTATAGTCACTCCAGTTTTTATTGGACACATGCAAGATACTAGTCATTGGAGCTGGAGGGCTTGGATGTGAACTTCTTAAAAATCTGGTATGATGCTGATTCTTTTTTTAAAAAAAAACTTTAGATCAGTGTAAACTGGTGTGAAGTTAAGATCTTGTGTGTTTCAATGGGCAGTCAAATGCTTTGCATTGTTCTTAGGGTGAAAAAATGCAGGGAGCTTTGAACGCTTTGAATTTTTTTCATGATGATTGTTTTCTCCTTGATGCTTCTGTTCATGAAATATTTCATCTGGGAGCACAAATGTTTTAGAATGACTTCCTGAACTGCGAAATGCACGTATTAAAATGCTTCTTGTACATTTCTTCCATTTCATGAAGTCTTTTGCATGAATGTTTTTTCACTTATAACCGGAAATGATGTTAAAATTATATTTAGAGAATAGGAAAGAAAGTTGAACAAAATGTACCTAACATTCACATACTTCAAACAGTAATTGTCAAATATCTGTGTTTGATAGATTGTTTCTCTTTCAGTATGAATGTCCACGTGCAGGAAAGTTTGGATGAAAACTGTTGTTTTACAATTTAAGCATTGTTGATTGCACTGTACTTTTTTTTGGAATAAGTGACTACTTAAATCAAACGCTGTTGGCATTTGTAAACCTTTTATTCAGATCAGTTTTTACCATTATGTTATCAGGCCCTGTCTGGCTTTCGCCATATTCATGTAGTTGACATGGATACCATCGATGTCTCAAATCTGAACAGGCAATTTTTATTCAGGTGAGCTGTGTTTGTTAAGAGCTCTTTTCAGTTCACTGATATAGTGTATTTTCACAGTTAAATAAATCACACATTCCAGACACTCTCTGCTCTTGCTGGCTTCTGCACACTGAAATTGGACATGAAATTCCCATAAAAATCAACAAAATATTGGGAGAGGTGTTCCTGTCCCAACAAAATCAACAAATTGTTGGGTTTTGTCCTGCTTTATTATGACAATATTCTGGTTATTGCTTTTAGGTCTTGCCCTTTTCATCTATATGTTATTTGTGAATCAAGTAATTTACAGAGAAAATGACAGGGGAAAGCTACAGAGGTGCGGACATGTGAGCCCTGAGTGATAAGTTAATAACAGTTAAGAAGATGGCTAAGTACAGACGTCTTACCGACACGTTTTAAATTTTAAGCAATTTTAACACCTCTGTAGGTTGTCCAACAACTTTTCTCACATCTACATAGATGTTTTGCAAAGTCACTTTGTGGTAGCTGGGCAGTATCACGTATTCGCTCATTGATCTCATTCCTCTGAATCGCTTTGTATTTTTACTATTAAGCTGATTTGTCCAAGTCCTCTTACTGTCATCAGCGCCATGTGGTGCACCATCTGTGCTGGTCTGCTGTGGCTGATGGGCACAGTGTAACGAGCACAAGTGGTATTTTTGTTCTAAAGTTAAGCATATTTTGGGTAGCAGACTGCAACTGTGGTTATTGCTAATGTTTTTTGACATGATGAAACAGAATATTATTGATAGCATCAGGTGTCTTCTGTCAGTCTCCTCCCTTTCAACTAAGTTGATGTTAGTGTAAAAATTCAGATTCTGATAGTTTTCCTACCTGAACATTTTTTGCCTCCCAACATTTCCTCAGACCTAAAGATGTGGGGAGGCCGAAAGCAGAAGTGGCGGCAGAATTTATCAACAGTCGTATTCCAAGCTGTGGTGTTGTGCCGTATCCTTTACTTTCAGTTACAGTATGCCCTGAACAAAAGGAGCAGGGTGCACAGAACTCAATTATGGTAAAGAAAGGAAACATTAGTTAATGCAGGGTGATCCTGTAAATATCAGTAATAGCAAAAATGTCATTTTTGCATAGTGTGTAAAAAATTAACTCAAACCTGTTTCTAATTTCTTAACAACATGCAGATATTTTAAAAAAATACAAGATTTTGATGATTCATTTTACAGACGTAAGTCTTTCATTGTTTGAACACCTTAATAAAGCTGTTGCAGATTATATATAAGGAGGGTTGCAGTTTTAAATACTGAGGTTTATGCTCCAAAAACAATTTTGCCATCAAAACGCATTTTCCATCGACTGTTATACATAAGGTACATACAAAAAGAAGATTGCAAGTCATTGTTACAGCAGGGAAAACATTCCTTTTTGGAACTGGTCTTAATCCTCTTTGTAAAAGCTTGATCTGAGTTTTACATGTTTTTCAATTTGTGATACTGAGATATCGGGAAAATATAAAAAATTGAGTCTCACTTCCAATACTTATTTGTGTTTCCTCAGAATTTCATATAATTGTATGCGGCCTGGATTCAATCATTGCAAGGAGGTGGATAAATGGCATGCTGGTATTTGTCAATTTTTCATCATCATTGAAAACATTTTCATATTTTTAATATTCACAACATTTAGTTGTACCTAGTATTATACTTTTTTTTTTCCTGTGAATTTTGATCTTCAATTTGACCTCATGAGTCAGATGTGATTTAATTTTGGAATTTTAATTAGGCAGGCGACAGTGCCGTAATGGTTATCATTGCTGCTTATCAGCGCTGGGGCCCAAGGTTCAATTCCTGGAATGCTATCTGCTTGATGTTTTTTTATGTTCTCATGTTCACGTGGGTTTCCTCCGGGTGCTCTGGTTTCCTCCCATAGTCCAAAGACATACTGGTAGATTAATTGGCTTCTGGGAAAATTGGCCTTGGCATCCCATCCAGGATATTTCCTGCCTTGCACCTGTTGCTTGCTGGGATAGGCTCTTCTGTGACCCTGTAGAACCTGACTGGTTAGATAAATGGGTGGAAGGATTTTAATGAAGCACACTGGAACCAGTACATAGTAGTAAAGATCTAATAAGTGAGATCTGTAAGTTTCAGTTGCTCAAAACTGTTTACCTTCTCTTCAGATGTCACTCTTAAGCTATGAAGATGGTGTTCTGGATCCTAGCACCATTATCCCTCTTATTGATGGGGGAACAGAAGGCTTCAAAGGCAATGCGCGTGTGATATTACCTGGAATGACAGCATGTATTGATTGCACACTTGAACTTTATCCGCCACAGGTACTCTCAATGGGTTTGTCCTTTTTAAAATTGCAAAGCAAATGCTGAGTAATTATGTTTTTCTTTTTAAAAGTCAGTGTTTTGCATGAAGTTCAAGATCAAACTTTCTCAGACATGTAGAATGGAGGTGTCTGCTGTATTTGGTGCGAGGGTGGGATTTAATTGTTTTTCATTTTGTTTTTTTTCCTCCCCAGATCAATTTTCCCATGTGTACTATTGCAACCATGCCACGGTTACCAGAACATTGTATTGAATACGTCAGGATATTACAGTGGCCCAAAGACAAGCCATTTGGAGGTGAAGTTATGATTAACTTATTAAACTATCATCTATGTAAAAAAATTCCGTTCAGTGTTTTCTTTACTAATTATTAACTTGTAAATGCTTACCATTTTTTTTATTGTGTTTTGTTTTGTCCTGTTTAATATGAACAGCAACAACTCACTGGAAAATGTTGCTCACCTTATGAAAACTCTCCGTGTATTAATGCACAGTTGATGTGAACCGATTAAAAATGATTAATCTTTAGATGGAGTAGCTCTGGATGGTGATGACCCCGAACATATCCAGTGGGTGTTTCAGAAGTCTCTGGAAAGAGCAGCACAGTTTAATATTACTGGGGTTACATACAGACTTACACAAGGTAAGGACTGCTGGAGAGATTGGTACTCGGCTTGTCTTTAGTACAGTAACTAAAGTAGTGTGTAAGCTTAATAATATATTGTGTGTCCTGATTTCCTCAGCCCCCATTTCCACAACTTGAATATTTTATTTTGAGCATGGGGTATTGCTAAACAATAGGAGATTCATAAAATGTTTTAATATTCTCTTAAAACTTCATAAAACGTATTTTTTAAAACCATTCAGTGTAATTTTCTTTGATTTATGCAGTTCAGATGAAAGTTGCTCTTTTTTGTGTTTAAAGGTGTGGTGAAAAGAATCATCCCAGCTGTTGCCTCTACAAATGCTGTCATTGCTGGTAGGCATTGTGAAAATACTGACTGAAACTGTTTGCTTCAGTTACCGTGCATGGTTATATTATTAACTGAAGGCAATCTTAATTGTTTGAAGTGGAGTTCTTGTAACTGGAAGGTTGAGTTTTCAAATCTTGGCTGAGGCACTGCTGTTGGATACTTGAGGAATCCCCAGTAAAATGCCCAGCTGTATAAATGAGTACAGATATAAGACTTTTGATAAATAAATTCATCTAAATTAATATTTTGAGCATGTAAATAAACATGGTAATTTCAAAGAACTCAAATATAACTAATCTTTTGTATAGACTACTTTAAAGTAATGGAAACTTGTGTTGTTTCAGCTGCATGCGCTACTGAAGTTTTTAAAATAGCTTCCAGGTAAGCTTTTTCAAAGGTATTCTCCTCATTTTATAGTCCCTAAAAATGAATAAATATGTATGTAGCTGTATTTCAACCATAAATATTTGATGCCGTTACTTTAATATTTGCTTTGTAAATAGTAGAGTGTTTCTACCATTTTAACTTAATTATTTTAAATATTAAATAAACATTATTTGCATTCTTCCCTACAATAGTAATGATTAATGTTTATATTGTATTATTAACAAGGATGGGTAAATGGAAGTTTTATTGTTAATAATAGAACCTTACAAAATCATCAATAATTCTGTGATTATAGCTGATAGTATTATTTTAAGACTTCTTGCATTTGACAATGTTTTTTCTTCATTATAGTGCATACATTCCTCTAAATAATTATCTGGTGTTTAATGATGTTGATGGTCTTTACACATACACTTTTGAAGCAGAAAGAAAGGTGAGCTTTTTTTTTTAATTCTTTTTCCTGTTTGTTTGGAGAAGGTTCAGAAAGCAGTAACCTGACTGAGCAGTGGAACAGCAGTGAGGCAGAATGGGAGAGAATGGGGAGGGCTTTAACAAATTGAGAGATTTGTGTTTCTGGATGGGCGTTATTCGTTATGAGCGTACTTACATGTTCTCAGAGGTGAAATGGCAGTTACATCCGATTTTCATGGTAATAGATTATTCAGACATACTTTGTTTTGTGCTACAGCTTCAGTGATACATTTAAGAATTAAAATAATCCTGTAAATGTTGCTGTACTGTAGATATTTTGTTTGTTTAAATATTGATGTGCTAATTATAATGTATAATGGAATTTTGTTAACCAAATCCAGGAAAACTGCTCAACCTGCAGCCTAGTGCCTCAGGAGCTGCTGTTCCCTTCATCTGCCAAGCTCCAGGAAGTGCTGGATTACCTGACTGAAAATGCATCTTTGTAAGTGAAGAGATACTGGTAGCGTGGTGCATATCTGTTGCTGTCAGTTGAGCAGTAATAGTGCACACGCTTACGACTGCTCTGATTTCTACTACTCTTGCAATGTTGTAGGCAAATGAAATCTCCAGCCATTACTGCAACTTTGGAAGGGAAGAACAAAACCCTTTATTTACAGGTGAGGTTTATGTTCCTGCATTTAAATGTGAGCCATGGAATCGCCTATTTTTATTTTCTCCATTTTATTTTTTACTATTTATTAGCAATAGTATTGTATTTGCTTCAACTGTTAAAATGTAAAAGCGAGAACTTGTATACTTTGAGAACTTGAGTGCCAGTCTTGCATTGCATCATGGCTGATCTTTGATCTGCCCTTAGATCTATTAGCTAAAGTATTAGAAGATGAAAGGTTGTAAACTAATTGATTGGATGTGTTGGATATTAAACAGGTTTAAATAAGCAATTTAACAGGAAAAAATCTGAGGAAATGTCTAGTATTTCTGTCTGTAAATTAAATGAATATCTGTCTCTTTTTTTCAACACTTATGTTTTCTTGGTAAAGACTGTAGCCTCAATTGAAGAAAGGACAAGACCAAATCTTTCCAAGACTTTGAAAGGTGACGTAAAACCTTTTTTTTATCATCATTAAATAAAGGCCTTTATCAGTGTGGTAGTCCTCCAACAACTTCAAACTGTGCAGTTTTATAATTCGGTAATTTATGGGGTTTTTTACGAAGTAATTGTGTTTTAACACTTTATTCATTTGTTCACAGAGTTGGGCCTGACTGATGGACAAGAGCTTGCTGTGGCAGATATCACCACCCCTCAAACAGTGTTATTTAAGCTACATTATACATCCTAATCAGGAACATGTAAGAGCTAAGAAACTAGTAAATAAGTGAATTTTAGAATAAATGTGAGAGAATCCGGCATATAACAGAGCAATTATCATTTTTAATAAGTGAAACTATTTAAGGCATTGCAAATTAATTTATGTAAATAAGCTAACTTTATAGTAGCTTCTAAAACAAAACCTTTTAAAAAGGATAATTTCAAGTTGGGTTCTAGATACAAGTTATAAGCCTAATTGATCAATTTTCTATATATGATGAGTCTGATCTAACTCTGAGCAAGTTGTGGTTATTTTCTTTCTCATGTCTAAAATATCCTCTGAAACTTGGCATTACCTAGTTGCAGCACTTATTTTATTCACTGTTGTCAAAAGAATGACCCTGTAACAGGACCAGGTTGGATAATAACATACCTATCACCTGCCTCCTTTACTTTTATGAGAACGTTGTGTATGTCATGTGTTTGTTGCGGTAATTTTGTTTTGGATGTATATTTATGGAAAATGTAATTAAAACATTTTGCTGAACAAATACTAAAGACATTGTTCGAGATTCTTTAACTAAAACGTTTTTACTGTAAATGTGTTTGTGCTTTCCATCAAAAGTGCACATAGAAAATTATTTCCAGTCAAAATGGTGTGATTGTGCAAGATTCTGCCGTGCATTATTTTTAAGTGTGCATAACAAATGGGCTTGAGCACTATAGACTTGTGTGTGGTGTTACAAAGCCCAGTACTTTTTGTTACAGATTCTGCTGTTTTACAAGTTTCATAATTATACAGTATTTTTTATTATAATATCATATAATTATGAAATTATACATTTTTTATTTACTCCTGTGCTTGTTCAAACCAAAAAAATATCCATATACTATGGACTGTATAGCTAGATTTAATTAAGTTGTTAATTTGGTATGGTATACACTGGTTCAATGAGCAGCAGACATTGATGTGCTGTGCAGCACCATTTTTAATAGATGACACGCTATTCAGATTGTAATATACTGTAGGCCTACTCTCGTGGGTCTGAGAAAAGGATGTACCACTACAATACATGCTTTATTATGTTGTTCTTGAAAATAGATGAGAAATGTTCATCCTTATTACTATCATTAACAGATAATATTTTCTTTGAAGAGTTTTTTAGTGTATTTCTCAAATTTGTGCTGTTGAATTGGTCTTACCTACTGTATATGTGATGGTTAAAGCAACAAACATCATGCTAGTAAATGGGCTGGTATGATTTTAAATTTCAATATTCTTGGAAAAACTCACTTTTATTAAGTGAAGGATAAAAGAAATGCATGTAGGTATACCAAAGCTTAACTCTCGAGCTCCTTCATCTGTCTTCGACCTGAACTGCTGGAGAGAGGCCCCGTCTGAGGTGAAGGATGACAGACAAAAGAGGCAGCAAAAATGTTTAGTACTTGGAAAAGCTCCTGTATGTACTAGGGGATTGAGAAATGCACATATTGTATGCATGAGTTTGGGGGCATTGGAATATCCCATTTTCACCATCCCGTGTCTCTGAAGCATCGCTAACTGGTTCCTGTTGTTACATTACGCCAGTAAAATAACGTTCAATATTTTTTTCTTCCAGTGTTTTGTGTTTAACCTAAACGGTCCTCAAATGAGGAGGAAATAAGGGAGCTAGTTCGTGGTACAAAAAACCGCTAAGAAACACTGCTCTAGTGAAGCTCAAATCTCACCAAAGCCCTGTTAGCTCCGTATCAGATCTCAAAGATCCTCAGCTAAAACTGCACATACAACAGCTCCACCTAGACCGTCTTGTTACGAAAGCGATTTTGTTAATTACAATTTGTGATTTTGTATATATATGTACGTATTTAACTTACAATTACAGCTTACGTAATTGTAAATTATACTCTTCTCTAAGCATCTGTGCAATTTTAAGATTTGTTATTACGGTTTCATTAACTCAGTTCTTACATATACAGAAAATAGGGCATACGTCTTCAGAAATTGGGGTAGGAAAGGAAATTACGTCTTTGACCGGCCGGAAGCTGACGTCACCACAGGGTTTGTTTGGTGCTACGTGGAAAGGAAGTAGGAGTTGAAATTGTCAAAACAATTCGGTCATGCACTAATCAACGCATACCTTTCGAAAATATTGAATATTTATCTTGGGGTCTCACCACGGTTCTACTGAATTTGATCTGGGACATTGCATTTCGAAAATCCAAAGAATCAAACACAATGACTATTTTCATGTATTTTCATGTTTAGCCTTTGGAGTTAGTGGAACGGCCTAGCTGTTGTAGAAGGCAAGAAAGTAAGTTGTTGTGATCCGTAGGGCTTCAAATCTGTAGGGTCGGGAGAGGGAGCATCTTACCGGGTTATAAATGTAGATAAATATGAGCTGGTTCAATGCCTCGCAGCTTTCCAGTTTTGCCAAACAGGCTCTGACAACAGCTCAGAAATCAATCGATCGGGTTTTGGACATCAAGGAGGAAGACCAGTGGGGGGACACTGTGCTGCCGTCCTACGATGGTAATTATGTTATCTTTTTTTTAATTTGTAGTGGTTGTTTATTCGTTTGCAGCAGCATCTGATGTAAGGTGAGAGAAATGTTAATCGATTCCCGTTCGAGAAGATTATTCCTAATGCATAATTCGTCCTAAGCGATTATGTAAATTATACAAGCGATGTATAGATTTTTAATTTCGGTGTTGACACTATGAGAAGTGGTTTTCGCGATCCCTGATTGTCGCGGATCCCTACTGCCCAATGTAATGTGTGTGCTGAAGCCTAGGACCTTTGCTAACAGTGGAACAGTTTTAGTATTGGGTGATGTCAATGACCAGGGTCACTGTAGTTGGGTCATTGTCATTAGATAAGACTCTGTTTCGTGGTTGAGAATTGACAACCGTCTCTTACTGAGAATATTGGAAGCAGTATTTCTGAAAACAAATGTTCTTTAGGCCAGTAAATACTTTAGAACGTAAAACGATTTTCGTGAGTAAAAGCTAGGACAATTTATTTTTAGTGAACGCTGTGACACCCAAGCGTCCATTTAAACTATCTGGGGTTATTTGTGGTCCCAAGGCATTATGTTGAGTTTTCTAAAAACCTCTTGTGCTAGTTTCTTTTGTATTACTTGTGTTGTTGTCCTCCTGGTTTCTTTTTGCATCTCTTTATGCAGTATAATGTTTAAGAGTTAGGACTTATTGCTCTGATTCAATGAACTATGAGAAATGGATGCTTCCTTAAGACAAATGTTAAGTTACAAATGAGATGAAACCAGTCGGCCCATCTTGCTTGGCTGGTAGGGTCTTATTGATCAGAGGTTCTTAACCAAACCTCTCTATCAGGATCCATGGTAGTCTGCTTGCTGTAATGTATTTGTTTTAGTCTCCCAATAATCCTCTGCATAAAGAGATGTTTTCAGTGCTACCTGCACATTCTCTTAATTTCCACAGGTCCTTTGACACATGTTTAGTCTTCTGATTGGCTTTGTCAATAAGAAACGTTTGCGTTTCAAATGCCTGTATCAAATATTGCTCCCTCTTTTCCTGATTAACGTGATTCGTTTAACCTTTCTGTGTGTGGTATTCCTTAATGGTCAAAGATGAACATTTTTGAGATATCATTTTTATTAATGTGGTGACCGAAATGACATTATATTGCAATTATATCATCAGTATATTTAACAATGTAAATACAACATCCCTTCTACAGTTTTCACCGTTTATCTGTAAAATCAGCATAGTTTCAGTAGCAAATAAATTAGCAAAGCAAAACAGAGGAAGGTCATTATCTTTTGGCATTTCATCAGACTGTTTTGTCGCTTGCACCCTTTTTCCAGATTTGCCTGGAAAGACATCTTTCTCCAGTGAGGGCTGGAGTACCTCGCAGTGGAATTCCCCGTTAGAAAAGTGCTCTCCGGCTGCTCCTGCGTCCACAGAGGCCATCACCACTCCTGTCACGCGCACTGTAGTGGACGAATCTGAGAACTTCTTCAGTGCCTTTTTGCAACCAGCAGAGCCGCAGAATGTGAAGAACAGCCAGGTCGTGTCCGTGCCTCCTGCCAAATCGCCCAGGCCCGAAGAAGAGAAGCCCAGGACTGTTGCGTCGAAGGAGAATTTAGATCCTCTCAAACCCGGTCCTGTTAAACCGGGGAAACTGGAAACAAAAAAGCCCGTAGCATCCAAACCTGTGAGCGTCGAACTAGCAAAGCCTGCTGCGGCTGCTGATACTGGTGGTCACAAGCCAGATCCTGAAAGCTCTCTTCCGCAAAAGTCTACTCAAGAAACTGCTGTGTGTGTAACTGACGGAAAAAATCAAGTGGAGCTCTTAGATGGAACAGCTGCTGTTTCGGAAGTGACAAAGGCAGAGAAGTCTCCCTCCCTTTCGGGTGTCCCAGTTGAGGACGGTGTCGTCAATGGCAGCTGTGAGGGGACACCACCAGAAAGCCCTTCCAAACCTCACTTGCCTCCCTCAAAGGAGATGCTGTTGGAGTCGAAAGACCCCAAATCTGAAGACCGACAAAGCAATACACCTTCACCCCCCGTGAGCACTTTCTCTTCGGGCACGTCGACCACCAGCGACATTGAAGTCCTGGACCACGAGAGCGTGCTTAGCGAAAGCTCTGCCAGCTCCAGGCAAGAGAACGCCGAGTCCAAAGCCGGCCTGCACCTGATGCAGACCTCCTTCCAGCTCCTGTCTGCTTCGGCCTGCGCCGACTTCCCACGGCTCGACGACTACCAGAAGCTCACGGAGAGCTGCGGCTCTTCCGACGCCTTCGAGAGGATCGACTCGTTCAGCGTGCAGTCGCTCGACAGCCGGAGCGTCAGCGAGCTGAACTCGGACGACGAGCTGTCGGGTCGGGCCTGCACTCTGGCCTCCATTGCCACTGGGCCGGCTGCTCCACACGTGGCCCCGGCGGACCAGGACGAGCAGAGGAGTGAGGAAGAACTGATGGAAACCCCGAAGGACAAGTCGCTGGAAGACAGTGAAATGGAGGAGAGTGGCCGAAGCGCGACTCCGGTGAATTGTGAGCCGGCTGAAGAACTGGTGCACCCTGAAAGTGCTAGGGATGGCTCGTCCTCAGCGATGCACGTCAAAGAAACGGTCCCATTCCACCTGGCCAGCAAGGAAAAAAGTGAGGTTTCCAATTACCAGTTGCTCGAGCTGCAGAAGGTGATCATTTTATCTTCTTTGACCCTTAAATATGCAACCACGTCAGGCTTAACTTTTTGTTTAATTCCTCTGTTCATGCTGATATCTCAGTTCCTTAAAAAATAGCGTCTCCCTAAATTTTGAAAAATGGATGTTTGAGTTTTGAATAGAAAATAATTGTTGAACATCTGAGTTATATTTTGTTTCTCTCATCATCCATGATAAAAAAATGACCTTCTTTCTTGAGGCAGGAGAAAAGAGAGTCCAAATTTAGATAGCTTCCTCTTTCTTGTAGCTGTAAGATACTGGTGGCCAAAGGCCAGGTCCTGTAAGTTTTATTAAATGGTAATAATTGATTATAAAATCTAAAGTTTATATATTTTTTATAATTCATAATTAATATTTTGTGGACATTTCCTTTTTTAGATTATGAAATGGAATTGTGTTTTTGGTAACAAAATGAGCGTTAATCAGAGACCTAACTGCCTTGGTCCCAACATCATTTTCAGTTGGTTATAAACATCTCTCCAGTTTATTATAACTTTTATGTTTTATATGACAATAATACATACATATGTATTGGTACATTTAAGAAGTAGAAATCTCTTTTCAGACTATTGATGAGCTGACAAACAGACTTGAAAAGAGAGAAATCCAGCTGTTAGCTGTCAGTAAAGACAAAGCAAGATTGGAAGAGGAGCATGACAATCTTAAAGAGTAAGTGTTGATTTTCTTTAAATATTAGCTGTCTTTGGTCTTCTGCAGCGCAGATTTTGCCCTGAAGTTCAAACACGGCTCACTTTGTGCAGGTTTCAGGTTCAGGCAATTGTGCAGGTTTTGTCTGCACAATTGCAATTGCAATTTGCTGGGTGCTGCCAGTATTTGAGCTTGCCGGGTACTAGAATATTCTTAGACTATGAGCAGCAGTGCTCCCTGTCACTTGCTAGGGGGCAATGCTTGTGCAGTGATGTTACCAAGAGCTGTGTTACTCCTCCGATCAGTGGTGACTGTCTTGTAGGCACAAATAATTGCAGAGACAAGTCCATGGCCTGATTTCCCCTGTGCTGATAGAAGGCCTGTAATAATAATGCCAGGCTATATGAAAACTCTCAGTTTGGAGAGTATAAAGTAAAAAACATTAATCAACTAGGGGAAAAAATATTCTGTAATGCCTGATGTTGACAATGCATTAGGGAAGAAAATTAAATTTGGTAATGTTAACTACAAAATGTTTCAGCTTTTGAGTAATTTCTTTGAATCACAATAGAATTCAGCTAAGCAGGGAATTTCTAGGTTTGTTTGTGCTTTACAAGAAACTGAACATTTCTGGACAAAGGTCTTGTCAGTTTCCCCCTTTCCATTTACTATTGAAGGTGGTCAAAAAATATGCCAGCAATAACAATATGATTTTACCATTGTATTTAATGCCAGCGTTTAGAGAGCTGCTTGTCCCATCAGACATGTTCCAACAGCAGAGCCTTGCTGTCTGTGTTCACAGTGAAATGATCAGTCTGAAGGAAGAGAGCTCGGGCGTGCAGGCTCTGAAGGAAGAGTTCACTCAGCGGATTGCAGATGCAGAAAAGAAAGCGCAGTTAGCCTGTAAGGAACGAGATGCCATGAAAAAGGTAGAGGCATGAATGGACACCTGTTATAAAACCCCACTTTCTGCCATACTGTGGTTGCTGTAAATGAGACCATGGTGTTGCTTTTGCACAGGTTATACAGCATCGTGTAATCTGGCGTAAAATTGTGTTCTTAAATGACAGTAAATATTCTACACTGATATACTCGAGCTATATCGGCATAAATATGATAAATGCATAAATAAATGATTTGTAATAATTTATTCCATGCTGAAAAGAGAAGAAAGGAAACACAACATTTTGGCTGCTTACACCAGAGAAGAAGCACTTACATCCTCACAGCTGAAACGTTGTTTCCTTTCTTCTCTTTTCAGCATGGAATAAACCTATTACTTGTTCCTTTGCAGACTACGCATGCTGACACAGCTAGCCACCTAAATAAATGATTTATCAAGCTCAGATTGTGAAAAATGAATTCCCGCTGTTTTGAGTTTTGAGTGTCAATAGCTGAGGAATGGCTAGTTATTAACATTTGACAGTTCTATGCATTTTACAAATGTAAAGTTTAAAAACAATGTCTTTATGTTCCACATTCATTTGTGATGCATAGGATTCTGAAAGTACACTATTTGGTGTTAATATAATTCAGTTTACGGGCGCCAAGGGAATTGCAGATGTCATTCTCAAGAATCTGTCCTGCTTGTCTTGCAATTTCATAAACAGGACCTTAAAGCACTGAAAGAGGAACTGTCAATGAGACTGAACTCAAATGAGACTGCCGAGATAATGAGAGAAAAAGATGAACAAATCAAGGGCCTGCTAGAAGAAGGTGAGGTTCTCTAGAGGCAGACCTTATTTTGTGCGTGAACACCAGAAATTATGGTGGAATTTTAATTCCAGAACTCATGGGTATTGACCCATTGCACTGGCAGGTGAAGTGAGAGACGTCTCAATAGTGTGTTTGTAGGATGGAGAAAGGGGCAAAGTTTCATCCAGGGATGACATCAAAGCTCCTTTGTTTCACTGTAACCTCTAGCTTATTGAATAAGAATTGTTTAATTCTTGTGATTCCAAATTGTCTGCATATGGAAAGTAAAATACAATTAATAGTGATGGGCCATTCACATTAGAAATGCTGCTGTTGTTGTGTGTCTACATTCTAGAAGAATATACAGTGATATTTCATAACTTTTCATTATGCATGTTAACTAGTTTTTAAAGGTGACCTTCAATGTATTAGAAGCTAGATTGTATAAGTACATCCATCACATGAGAGCCAAAATTTTCATTTTGTGTGCAGGGCTTGTTTGCAGTAGCAGGTATTTGAAGTTATGTGCTTTGTGTTGATGTATTGTGAAGCATATAGAGAGAGACATCCAAACTGTCCCTGCTTTCAGGCGAAAAGCTTTCCAAGCAGCAGCTTCACAGCTCCAACATCATAAAGAAGCTGAGAACAAAGGAGAAGGAGAATGAAAACCTGACGATAAAGCAGAACAGAAGGATAAAGGAGCTCGAAGAGGAGCTGAGGCATCTACAGGAGGTTGGTAGGGTGGCGGCCAACATAGTGTTTTTGTTTTTACAACCATGGGGTGAACAAAAACATTTCACAAAGTGAATACAGCTCTTTGCAGCTTTAGGATTCCAGTAGAATTGGCTGCATCATGTACATTTCTAATTTTCTATTATTAGGATCAGGGGTGGGGAACGTCCGGCCCGCGAAATCATTTGGTCTGGCCCTGCCAAGGCAACCGCAGGTGTAAAGCCTGGCGATAAATCGATAATGATAATTATCGCGATATAATTTTCCTCGATATAATTTTAACAAAAGATCGATGAATGTTCATGCTTTACGCGTGGTACGTGCATGCGCACTACATAATACGCGAGTGCGCATACGTGTTGCAGACCGGGCAGCTAACAGATTTGTTTAATGTTTCTGCTGTTTGGCAAGTGATGTGTTCTTAAAATGAAGAGTTGTTTAATTCACCAATTAACTGTCTGGTTTCTTCAACTTTCACTCAGGAGAAAAAAATCTGCCTTTAAACTTGAAAGAAATAATGATTTGACATTTATCGTGATAATTATCGATATCAACTGATATGACATTTTTTATCGTGATAATGTTTTTGGCCATATCGCCCAGCCCTACGCAGGCGGGACTTGAAATTCAATAAATCTAGGAGCTTTTTTCATAGCAACATAAATTTATATTAAGTGAATCATAATAATAATGTTAATTTTGAGGGACAAGCAAAGAACGTCCATTATGGGATAGACAGGACACATACGAGTACATGACGGAACAGACACATGACGCATGCTTTTTGCCGGCTACCCGCGGCCCGTCTGCCTGTATTGCGGTGACTCAGAGGGCAGTCAGTGCCAGGCAGGCTGGAAGTGTACACGTTGCGAAAGTGTTAACACACTGTGTTTTACGAACTGCGGGATGAAGTCAAGCTGTTCATGGAGGTGACAGGGAAAACCTGTCACCAAAGAGAGGCAGTTCCAGCCATCACATTAGGGGTGAGTTAATTAAATGTTTGACCAAATATAGCAGGCTAATTTTTAAATTGATAATTTTGTATGGCCCACGAATGATGTTAAAAATATCCAAATGGCCCTTGGCAGAAAAAAGGTTCCCCACCCCTGATTTAGATGGATGAAATATAGAATATTTGATTTTTGTCAGGTGAAGTAACTTGTCTGCTTCTTTAGTGTCCATCTGAAAGCGTATACATTTTTGGCATCACCACAAAAAAACTACAAAAAACAAGTAATACTCAACATAAAATAAACACGCTAAGAACAAACAGTATAATGGTAGTGTAATGATTACACTTCCTATCATTACACTAATCTGATAGCTTCATTCATGAAACAATCACTAAGCAGCATTTAAATACCAATTACACAGGGAACAAAAGACTTCTTTTATACATTTTTCTTGGCCATAGGCATTCTCAAATATCACCCATGAAGGCAGCAAATGAAATGGAAATGAAGAGGGTGGGAGGTATCATCGGCAGTAAGCAGAGCTTTCCTTTGAACTGCAATATAATACAGTTTCTGTGGTCGACCAATTATTTTACTAGCAGTATTAACAATTCTGGCCAGTTTCCCCTAATACTAAGGCTATCATTTCACATCGGGATAGCAAAAGACTCACCTCAAACTCTTTCAGCTTGCTGATCAAAAATATGTGCTGACTAGCCTTCTTAAAATTGCAGTTGGTATTGTCTGCAAAATTTAAATGTACATCTATTACTAAACAACATTCCCATGTTTATTTGGTGTAGAGTTTCTTTCATGGGCTTTTTTGGAGTGATTTCAAGTTCAAGTTTATTATCATTATACTCATACACAGGTATATGGTATAACGAAATGCTATTTAGCAAGTAAGTAGTACAAAAAATAACAATACAATTGTATTAAGAAAAGAAAGATGGAGACAACAGGCATTGTGCAAAACAACAACAGGTAACAGGTAATGTGCAAAACTATACATCAACATAATGAAATAAAAGATACAAAACTATGGGGGGTGAACTTCTTGGTAGAGGGTCAAACTGTGTAGCTGGGGTGTGTGGGGTCTTGGATGATGCTTAGAGCTTTCCTCAAGCACCACCTGTCATAAATTACCTGGATGGATGGGAGAGCATCCCCAGTGATGGACTGAACAGTTTTCACCACCCACTGTATGGCTTTGCAGTCAGGAATACTGCAGGTGCAATACCAGATAGTGCATCTGTAAAAGTTAGTGAGGATCTGGGGAGATATCTTACCCTTCTTCAACCATCTTAGGAAGAACAGGCGCTGTTGTGCTTTCTTAATCAGACAAGTGGTGTTGAGAGTCCATTTGAGGTCCTCGGTGATATAGATGCCATGGAATTTGATGTTACTGACCTTTTGCACTTCTGTCCTGTTGATGTGGGTAGGGGCATGACCGCTTTGCAGTTTTCTGAAATCAACGATCAGCTCCTTGGTTTTGCTGAGGTTGAGGGTAAGGTTGTTGTCCTCACACTACGTTGTAAGGAGATTGACCTCCTCCCTGTAGGCCCTCTCATCATTGTCTGTGATCAGACCCACAACTGTGGTGTCATCGGCAAACTTGATGATGGAGTTGGTGTTATGTTTGGCCTTACAATCGCGGTTGTAAAGCAAATTAAGCAATGGACTAAGCACACAACCCTGGGGGACCCCAGTGTTCAGAGTTAGTGTGCTGGATGTGTGGTTTCCAAGTCTTGACAGCCTGGGGTCTGCCTGTCAGGAAGTCCAGAATCCAGTTGCAGAGGGTGGTGTCCAGACCCAGTGCACTGAGTCGATGAATAGTAGTCTTGCGTATGTGTTCTTTTTATCCAGATGGGATAGGGCTGTGTGTATGGTGATGGAGATTGCATCATTGGTGGATCTGTTGGGCCGGTAGGCAAATTGGAACGGGATCAGTGTGTCTGGAATGGTGTCCTTAATGTGCCCCATGACCAGCCTCTCGAAGCACTTCATGATAACAGGGGTTAGTGCCATCGGTCGGTAGTCATTAAGACATGTCACTGTGGTTTTCTTTGGTGTTGGGATGATGATGGTTGTCTTAAAGCAGGTGGGGACTACAGCTTGGGCCAGGAACATGTTGAAAATGTCTGCATAAACACCTGCCAGTTGATTGGCGCAGGCTCTGAAGACGCGACTGGGTATGGCATCAGGTCCTGCATCCTTGCGTGTGTTCACTTTTTGCAGAGATCTCCTCACCTCATCTGCAGACAGCGAGAGCACCTGGCCAGCTGCGGAGGGTGCAGCTCTGTTGACTGGTTCTGTGTTGCTGCCTTCCAACCGAGCATAAAACTGTTGAGCTCGTTAGGCAGGGAGGTATCATGGGCAGATGCAGAGATGTTCTTCCTTTTGTAGTCTGTGAGGGCCTGTATACCTTGCCACATGCTCCACATGCCACATTTCCACATTTCCTCCCACCTCTCAAAGCACTACTGGCTAGTTCAATTGGCATTTCTTAATGATTCTTGTGTGTGTGCCCTGCAATGGATTGGTGTCTGATACAGGATGTGGTTCTGACTTGTGCCCTCTGGTGTAGTGTAGTGTGAATAAGTGGCTTTCTATTAAACAATGGATGTTTTTTTTTAATCTTTAGAAATGCTGCCTTTTCAACATTTGCCGTTGTGCATCCTGAGATTCAAGAGATTATCGGCGTGAAATTCCTGTTGTAGGAGTTGGGAAGTAAAGACTTGCACAACTAAGCTTGTTTTAGTCTTAACGTGTCGAGGGGTAAAATCCTGGCGGAGGAATAATCCCAGATCTCCACTGTCTTGCTGCAGGTCCTGGATGGCAAAGAGGAGGTTGAGAAGCAGCATCGTGAAAACATCAAGAAGCTGAACAGCATGGTGGAGAAGCAGGAGAGGGAGCTGAGCCGGCTCCAGACGGACATCGAAGAGTTTCAGGAGAGGAGCCGCAGCCTCCAGGCAGCCCTTGACAGCTCCTACAAGTAAAGATTCACGTTTAGCAGCCGGCATCCTAGAATCCACCCAGTCTGTTTTCGCAGATGATTCTTCTTTATCAGAACCTTGTATTATATCACAGTTGTTCAGATATGAAATCAGAAAGATCCAGATGTGTAAATCTGAGCCTTTTAACTAGGGAAAGATTTTGAAGATGCTTGTTTTCAGAGTTTTGCCGACAGATCACTTCAGATTTTAATATGACATTAAAAACAACAGATGTTTCAAATTGAGTAGATTTTGTGCATTTCTAATGATGCTAATCCTGCTTGAAACCCCCCCAAAGACACCCTGAAAGCATGTTTTAGCTACATTCAGGAGTGAAGCTCATCTTGCTTTGTCACTGTGCAAGATTTTCACTGTTACTCATTCTTTGTTTTATTGTAGTGAAGCATGAAGTGTTTCAAACTGTTTTTTTCAGTGGAATGCTATCACCTTTTTTTAATTAAACATTACTAATGGTCCTCGGTAAATACAAGAGTGTGGTCTGAGGTTGGCGTGTTGTCTGTTATTGGGCTGTGGTTTACATATCACTGGTGTGACACTTGTCACTAGCTGTCTGGTGCTGGGACTTCCCTGGAGCAAAATTTAGAAAAGTGCTACAAGGACACAGAGGGAGTTATTTGGCCATGATCATCCTGCAACTTGTTGGGTGCCTGTCGGTATACAGTGATAACAGGAAGAGACTTGCTGCTCCTTCAGTCTGCGCTGACTCTCCTGTCAGCCACTGTGGAGCCTGCAGCCTGTTAAAGGATGAATGATTCTAACAGGTGGGCATGTCAGAGGGGAATGTGCACCTGTCCTATTTTCTGCACAAGAATTAACTATTGGCTGATGGGCTCAATTAAATCCAAATTCTGAATAATATGGATATATAATGAAAAATAATTGGCAATTACACATTTTTTAAAAGGTTATGGTTAATCTTGGAAGCAAGCAATTGACAATTTTGTGCAAATAATTATCCGATACTCTTATCACTGCAAGAAAGAAGGTAACAAATGAAAAGAAAACATAAAAGATAAACTGTGCTAATACAGGCCATAGCTTGATGTAAGCCTTTTACAAGATGATTTGTTTAAGAACTATAGACCGAAAAAAAAACCTTTTTTTAATTTTCATGGTTGCAAATTGCTCTTCATTTACAGGTCAGCATTTTAATGTGTGCTTTGCTTTCAGGGAACTTGCAGAATTGCACAGAGCAAACGCTACAAGGGACAGTGAAGCACAGGAGGCTGCGCTGAGCCGGGAGATACAGGCCAAAGAGCAGCTCTCTCTTGCTCTGGAGAAGGCACAGGAAGAGTCCAGGACTCAGCAGGAGGCCTTAGCCCTTCAGGTGACTCGCGTCTTGTCTTCACGTTAACATTAGCTTGTAAAATATTTACAGACTACAGATCGTTACTCCTTTCCCATCTTCATCAACAGGTTGCAGACCTGAGGCTGGCATTACAGAGAGCTGAGCAGCAGCAGGCTAGAAAGGAGGACTACCTTCGTGAAGAGATCAGCGAATTGCAGCAGGTCAGGCAGCAGAGCGTAATAAATAAAATATAACAATTTTAAATTTAGTGTACATGCATGGTAATTTGAGTTCTCACTTGGGCATTGGTTCTTTTTTTACAATATGAACAAGTCATGTTCTGTTTTTCCTTAATGATGTACTGGTAACTTATGAAATGCTTTACGAATTGCCTCCATAATAAACCGGATTTTTCTGAGTTCAGGAACATTAAAATTGACAGCATTTCACAATCGCAGTCCTCTCTTTTGTCCGCTGTAGAGACTTCAAGCAGCAGAAACTCGGAACCAGGAGCTCAGCCAAAGTGTGACCTCAGCAACCAGACCACTGCTGCGGCAGATTGAAAACCTGCAGGCAACACTGGGGGCACAGACCTCCTCCTGGGAGAAACTGGAGAAAAACATCTCCGATAGACTAGGTGAGCAGAGCAACTACATGGAGTCGTGCATCTCAGTAGTTGTTCCACACTGGTTAAGCTTGCATGCCGTTTTCAAAATAGATATGTGTGTTCAGATTCTTACAAAAATCTTACAAAAAGGTATTCTTACAAAATAGGTGGCAGAGAGGTTAAATAAAATGTAAATGTATCCAAAAGGCAGGTAGCAATTTCAGGCATGTAAGTTTTTTCTCTGGCACACCTCTGAAAAAAGAAATCGGAGTCAAAACTCAGACAAATATTGATTGACGATGAACAACACAACTATATACAAAACATTGCACTATTTCCAAAACTCAGAGGCCTACGTTCTACAGACCCAGAAACCTGGCATGCTAGCCTACTAACCTGAAACTCCATGCAACACCTGTACAGGCAAAAAAGAGAAGAGAACTCTGCGTCCCAAATACAGTAATATGACTCAGCTCAAAATCTCCCTTCCTACAATAGTTATTCCCAAAAGTAAAGGGGCATCTGCCTCCGTTACATCACCAAACTGAAGAGATTTTAGTCTCAGGTTTCCACAATACAGAAAATCAGAATTTCATAAAACAAATAGGACAGTAGGCTCTCTTTAACAAGGCTAAATTATTTCACCAGTATCTGGTTCCAAGACTGATATGAACAAGGTGTTCTTGCACAAGCTTAGAGGAAGAGGATGGTGATGATATTCGTTCTTCTGATTCATTTTCTGCCTTCTGTTTCACTCTGTGCCTGGTCAGCTGTCTTTGTCATTTTATTTTGTGTTTCTATAAAGACTTATGCGTTATCATCCACTTAATTAACCACAGTAAAACCCCAAATCCTCCTGATCATCTGTGTGTACCTGGCTCTCAACCTGCCTGCATCTGGACAAACACCTCAAATCATGTGCATCGGACTTTCTGTTTAGACCTTGAGTAGCGCAATAGGAGGTGGCCTACAAACATTACCAATTTTGTAACCCCCTCATACTTTGATGGTGACAGTATTTCATCATTACACTTTCCAGTATTCTGTTGTAATTACTTCATATCAGTGAAGCATCTTACAGTTTTTCTCAAGAGTTTGTTCTGTTTGCTTGTAGTGTATTTGAATTTGTCTTCTTGTCTCATTTAGTAGTAGTTTTCCATTTTTAGCTGAAGTAGAAACTGGCTCACTTTTTCTTCAGCTAGTGCACTTCTAGTCTTATAAAACATAAATATCACAATTTGTCTTGCTGAAATACCACTTATTCTCTTCAAAATTAGCTGCAGGGTGAAATTTTAGCTCCTGGACAAAAGCAATTTGATTGCAATATACAGGAACATCAAAGGTTGGCAGGTGCGGTCTTGTCCAGGAAGATTCTAAAATCAAAATTCAGCAGATTATTTCTGAGCTTAATGTCTCCTTCTTGCCAAACCTCTCTCACCACACTACCTCATCATTTACTTCCACATTTAAAAGCAGAGGCTGTCTTCATTGTGAATAGAATGAAGCCGCTTCTCAAACTAGCCTTGATGTGATGTGTTTATTGTCATATGCACAAGCGTAATAAAATGCGTATTTGCATGTATGCCCCAATACAAAGAATAGAAGGACATTAAGGAAACGCCGAATACATGAACACAGAACAGCAGCAGCAACAACAAGTTTAATAACCTACATCAAAAAACACATCAGTGAGAGTGCTAGATCGTGTGAACTCAAAATGTCGCACCCTGAAGTGCAGCAGTTGCAGTTGGTCATCTTTGGGCCGAGCGGTGGCACTGTGGCTAAGGATCTGCGCCTGTGGCTGGCAAGAATCGTACTCCGTTGGGCCCCTGAGCGAAGCCTTTAACCCCAACTGCCTCAGGGGCGCCGTATGACCCTGCGCTCTGACCCCAAGCTTCTCTCCTGTGCATCTCATGGGGTGTGTCTCATATCTTGTCTTGTCTCCTTGCGTAGTGGACGCACAGGCACAGCTGGCTGTTGCCGTGGAGAAAGAGCGGTCTGCTGCGGAGGACCTCCTCAGTTTCAAAGCCCAGCTGGCCTCTGTGGAGTCTCAGAACAGCCTTCTGCGTCAGGAGAAGGGCCGCTTGCAGGTTCTACTGGACTCTGAGAAATCCAAAAGAGAGAAACTAGAGGATGACAGCAGCAGGTATCGTGTCACTGCCATCTTTTTTAATGAAACTAAGTTGTTTGTTGTAACCCCTCATTGCCTTTGCATTGCTTTTCAGCTGGTGGTTGCCTACTAACGTGATTTCATAGAGTCATTTTTTTTCCCCCCACAAACACTGTAGTGCCACTAACCAGTTACATTTTTTAAAGTTAGAAGGCTTTGGTGCTTCATTTTAAAAGACAGACACATTTAAGTAGAATGGATGATCGTAGAATTAGCTCCATCAAGTTTTATTTGGACCTGATTCAAAGGCTAGTTTTTTATAGTTATAATAATTGCTCCCACGCATTGTGTATTTAGTAATCGCTTTTATCCTTTTTCTTTTTTTTTTTTGCTTTTCACGACTGCGTTCCTTTCATTTCCTTAGGGAGCACGCAGAGCTGCAGAACCTTAAAGGAGAGTATGCAAGAGCTCTTGAGGAGTACAAAAAGGAGAAGGTAGGAAACATTCCTGGCAGATACCTTCAGCTGTGAGCATTGCAGGAACATCTGCAAAATTATATCATCTTTGTCTCTGGCCCACTTTAGGTGCTTCTGAATAATCAGCTGGAAATGGAAAAAATGAAGGTCGAACAAGAAAAGAAAAAGTATTTCTTGGTACAAGAAGCACTGAAAGAAAAGGTAATTTTTAGTGATGATGTTGTTTATTTTCCTATTAACTATAACTATTATACAGTTTTGGTTCTTACACAAAATACTGCTATTTACACTATCAGAATACTGCCAATGAATCAAATGTAGATCAGGGTAGATTCATTTGAGCTGTTTTGTGTTTATACTTGGGAACAGTCCATCCTGATGGATGGACATGAACTCTGTTCTGCTCTGTGGAACTGATTTTAAATCCCCCGGTTTCTCTTTATACCCTCTCTCCCCTGTCTGTAACAGAATGTTTTCTTTGGCTTAAAACTGCAAAGAAAACTGCATTTGTGGATTTCAGCATGGATATGACTGTCTTCTGTAGCTAACTCTTTCGTGGGAGTGTTTTTCTTGATTAAGAAGGATACAGAAACCTTTAATGTCTGCCAGACCATAACATATTTCATATTAAATGTTCCATTCTGTAAGTAGTAAAGGCAGTCATCCTTGTCCTTGCTATTCACAAAAAAGGAAACTAATTAGAGCATGGAAAGAGTTCAGTTGAAATTTAACGTGTATTCACTAATCCTTTGGACATGTAGCCAATTATTAAAGTTTTGATTTGACACAGCAGTATCTTTTTTGTATTGGTAAAACTGAGAAAATCTCAAATATTGAAAGAAAACATTGTACACAGAATATATGACATCATAATTAGTGTCAACACATGCATGAACTGAATGGGCATGTGATTATTAATCTCACCTGACACCTTAACCTAATGGGACCATCACGTTCTTAAAGGAGCAAAAATGCACAATGTGGAGTGGTACTAACCTAAAGAAAAACAATAACTCAGTTCAGCAGTTGAATACAGAAATTATACATGAATATATCCAAGGTACATAAATTACAGTGCTGAGCTGAGATTCCACTCTAGTAATACAGTAAAGCAAAAGCACTTGAATACGAACCTCAGAAATCCCGGCAGTACCGGAGAAAATCCAAATCTTCAAGTGTAGAATCTTTGGTCTGCATGATGCTCAGAGAGTATGCTAATAGTGCAGAAATGTGAAGCAGACTGTGGTACTGGTACCAATTTGAAAGTGACGGTGTTCTGTTCTGAAAATGTTCTCAAAAGGAAAGAAAAGCCTATAGTCACCCAGTAGCAGACCCGAGTGCATCAGGCACCCCATCGCTCTCCCGCTCCAGCTCAATCAGTGGGGTTGACTTGGCTGGCTTGCAGAACTCCTTCTACTCGCAGGTATGGCACATGATGTACCTTTCCATTCAGTATGCATTTGCCAAATCTTTTTTTGCTGATCTAGAAGCATTTCCTGCTGTTTTTTAGCTAAATCTTGGAAGGCTGTTTGATAATTAAAAGGACTTTGGTTTCTCAAGGTGTTTTTAAATACAACCCTTCCACAGGATGATTCCTTCGATCACTCGTTTGGCACACTGACCATGTCTGCTAGTGGAAGCAATTTGTATGAAGCTGTGCGCATGGGGGCAGGCTCTAGCATTATTGAGAACCTGCAGTCTCAGCTCAAACTACGAGAAGGGGAGATCATGCAGCTTCAGGTATGTCTAATGATCTCCCGAAAAATACGTTTCACTTCCTCATTTCTGTTTCAGGACTCATGGTCTTTGTAATGCTAACTGATGGCCTTTAATCTATTTGCTTGTTTAGACTTTTGGTTTAATTGTTTTTTGCAGTCAGTACCCAGTTTTATAAAATACCCTACTTTAAACATATTGTTTCCAACACATTCAACATATAGAACTTAAAGCATTCTTTTCTCACCTTACATTTCAGGCAATGTGCCTGAAATGGGGGAGTTATGAATATCAGAAGTGGGTACAATATTAATACCATTTACAATTCTCATTCAAGAGTCAAAAGTAAATAAAAAATGATGCCTCTGAACAGAAATTTGAAATCCATTAGCTTGCAATAAGATCTTGTCTGGAGCAAAATCCATAAGAGACAGCGGTCTCCAGAGACCAGGGCTGGGAACCACTCCTTTAATTTTTAAATTGGTATTAATGTCAATTGTAATAAGTGTGTGGATTGACAAAAATGTGGTAATGTCAATAGAAAATGAAGAAAAGAGTGGTTTGTTGATAATGTTGAAGGTTTTTATTTCTTTTTCTCCAGCTTGAAATTTCAAACCTGGAAAAAACCAGGGCTGTTATGTCAGAGGAACTAGTAAAATTAACAAACCAAAATGACGAGCTGGAAGAAAAAGTGAAGGAGATCCCAAAGCTGCGATTGCAGCTCAGGGTAAGGAGTTTCTGCTGAGAGAAGACTCGTTAACGTTTACATCACACTGTCAAAAAACACATTTCACCAACTTCACCTGTCTGCCTCCAGGATCTGGACCAGAGGTACAACACCATCTTGCAGATGTATGGGGAGAAAGCAGAAGAAGCTGAAGAACTCCGACTTGACCTGGAAGATGTGAAGAATATGTACAAAACCCAAATTGATGAACTGTTGAAAACCAAGAAATAGACATGGCAGCCTTGCGTCTGAATCTCAAGTGTGAAGTTAAAAAAAAAAAACATTTCCTGTGCATGTACTGTATGAAGGGGGAAAGTGGATAGTTTGTAGTTCTGCAGAAGGATCAATGCATTTCTAACTCCTTTTACTTTAAAATAAGGTGGATTAAAACAAAAAAAATGTTTGTAGGAGTCCTCCAAATGTTGGATTTGAAACATTCCTCTTTGCTACATCTGTATTAACAAAAGCATAGAGGTGGTTACAGATGAAACCATAAACGTCATGAAATGTCTTGAAGAACAGTAGGTCTAGTCACTACATTTTAAACCTTTGAATTTATGCATATCATTGAAAAGAGAAGAAAAGAGCATTTTCTGTTTCCTGTTTTTTCCCCAACATGAGTTTTGTCACAGAATTGCATTCACACTACGGGACTTGTTGGTATTAGGTCAAGGCTGCCCAGTCCCAGTCCCATTCAATCTCATCTCTTAACAAGCTAGTTACTGGCTTAAATAGACCAATTTAGTAGATTCTTCTAGCTTTTCAAGTGCTGCTACTTTAAAGAGACCTAGATATTTCAGACCAGGACTGGACACCCCTGACATGCTTAATCTCATGATGTTCTGCTGCGATTATTTGTTTTTCCCAAACACATCTATGTTTTCTTTTCCTTTTTAAGGTTCCAGTATGTCTTTTCATTAATGTTGCACTTTTAAATATTTTTGTATTTGATATCTATTTAAAATATTTTATTAGGTTTTACTGAAGTGGTGCCATTCTTCAGAACAATTGAAGTTATTACCCTGCAGTTCTACAGCTTGCTCACTGTAATTTTTTATGGCTCGTACAGAAATGTGAAATCGGAGGGGATGCCTTTTGATAACGAGTTGGAAATGTCACTTTTTTCTGTTATCGTAATATAAATTAATATGTATGAAGCATGGGTCCAGACTTATAGTTGAAATTTATTTTGTGTTTAGTGTTCTATTTTTTACCATTTTAACTGCACACTTGACATTGCCTCTCTAGAGAAATAACAATTTGTGGTGGGTAAAATGCGCCTCTCTAGTTAAACTTACATGAACTCTCTTCAGGACCTGTACATCTCTAATGTATCTGGAGCTAAATGCATAACCCTTTATGGCCTAAATTGTTTTTTTTGTGTGTAAAAACGTAAGAAGTGCCCATATACACTTTGTATAACAGAGGTAAAAGATTTTGCATTTGGCCCTTTGGGACAAAAACTCTTGCTAGAGTTCTCGATTTTGCAGTCTTTGGGCATTAATATTGGTATTAGTCTGCAGCCCCGTTTGGTCAGAATCCCAAATTCAGAGTTCATAGACTAACAAGTTCCTGTAGACTGTAAAAAAGTTGGGAAAAAATCTGCTTTTACTTTGCAAGTCATGGCAATCTTAGAGCTTGTATTTAGATTAATCTAGAATTCATTCCGTCTGAAGCTGGAGTAAAAAGTGTAACATAATTAGCCACTAAAATATTTTCCTTTTTCTTCTGTACAGAAATACATTAATATATAACAATTTAACTTAACAGTGACTTTCTGGAGTTGCAAGGGTAAAATCAGCTGTATAGAAAATAAAATGAACATTTATATCCTTCTGGTGAATCTTCTGATCTGGTTTAATTTGTTGTATTATCTGGCACCATTGCTTATAAGACGTTTACTGTAGTACATTTTCAGTGAAGTTTAGAAATTATTTAAATTAATGTGTATTGAAATGGATTGCAAAATTTAAAATTTATTCTAGCTGTAAATTGTAAATATGAACAATAAGAATTGATGGGATAAGGAAAATAAATTCTTTAACAAGTATAATGTGTGGATATGCTCGTGTTTTTCTAGGATTTCAGATAACTGCGTGATCTGCATTAAATATTGCTTTGTGTTATAATTTCAAGACGTGGGTATTACACACACAGGTGACTTGTGAAACTGAATATTTGTTGGGGCTTTCAAAAAGCGAGAGCTTTCAAATTAGATTTTTGGATGAACAGTGAAGTTCTGAATTCTGAAGGAGATTTGTTATATTTAACTTTTCTGATGTTTTCGAAGACCTGATATGGGGTATGTCTTGGTATTTTTTTGGTATTGTACTATTGTTTTACAACATGCAACTTAACTAATAATTAAAAGTTTAAATTAAATAATTTAAAGAGTTTATTATCACTATCATATAAAGTAAAGAAAAAAGACGTCCTAATTTACTGTTACGTGAAGACAGTTTGTTTAAGCGTTATTACGATATTAAACTAATTTTAATTAAAATACGTTTAACCTCTTTATGAAGCCGATCTATGCATAAAAAAGTTTTTTATTGTGCAACAGAGTGAATACAAATGGAATTGCAACCTATCAAATTTTGAATACTTTCGAAAAGGGAACTGGTAACATTAGTAGACGGTGTTTTCTTTAACAATGGCAGACTCGAAGGATGTACAGTAATACAAACGGGGAACTCGGAAAACCACCAGTATTATCTGTAAAGCTGGAATACTTTTATTTAAGAAAAAACAAACAAACGATATGAAACAATCTAAGGACATGAGGAACAAACTACACAAAACAGTAAGAAAATATCTGAACAATGAACAATGCCAAGGCCGTATATCTACCCAACATATTATTGAAAATGCGTTAGCATAAACCTTTCAAATAAACATTATAGCCATAAGATACCGTGAGCACATTTGTCCTTCAAAACGGTATGGTATTTATATGGAAGTCTCAAAAATACTTAACACATGAGATGTATTTATAAATTTAATCGTATTTTCTAAAGTTTTCAAAATGTGCAATTACATAAAGTTAATCCACTTCACCAGACAGACAAAAGTAAAATAAAGAAGTCTTTCAGAAGGAATACATTTCCACCATACAAACTTAAATACCACAATTGTACCAGCATCAGATACAGAAGAAAGACATGCAATATTGGATTGTATGTATGAATATTTCCTATCTATATTTGTAAATTAAATGTTGATTCCCTAAATTTTTAGTTTTAAAAGTACTGCAAATAAAAAAGTTTCCGTCTTAAATATAATTAATGAAATTAATGGCAACATTTTGTGTTTTGGCCTGGTATATTGTGAACTATATTAAATATACGAATATACAGTAAAGCTTTATTGTAATTGCTTTCAGTCTCTGTGTTAACAATTACCCTGATTACAACGTGTCAGTGTACACGACTATGCTTTTTAATTATGTCTAGTGTACGCTATGTCTTAACTGTAAGACCCTCAATGAGATGCATAGCTGGTCTCCACAGCGCCATCTGCTAACTAATATACCGGCGCCTGGTTTCCGGTTATGGCGACTTGCTCTTACAGTTACACCAAGTAACTGCATGGTGAGGGAAGAATGAAATACACAGGCGCCGCACGATATCAGCCTGAATGTATCTGCCACCTTGCAAATGTAAGTAACCTTGTAATATTGTAGCATGGCTAGACAGTCAAAGCTGCCTCTGTGCGCAGCCAGTTAGTGGGGCGGTTTTTACCGACGCATTAAACTCATTCTTAGCTAAAGAATGCACTGGTCAGGATTAGATTACCTACCGCATTAAACACATTTCAAAACATCCATATCATTCATTGTTAAATAGAATTCATCTAGTGTATCTAACTTAAGTTTTATTATATGTAAAAACAAGTATTATTCTTTCATTCTTTCAGAATAACATTTAATAAACGTCCTCATAATTTCAGAATACATCATCTGGGTCTGTCTGTGGTATCTGTGGTATTTGACAGCTGTTTTAACAATTGGTCACAGAAGTAAAATATATCAATTTGTTAATCACTGCGGAAAGTTTACTCCGTAAGCTTATAGCTTTTCTTTTGTGTCTGCTTGAAACAGCTGATAAAGAGGGCAGTGCCAAATCTAGTACTTCTGAATGTATAACTGCATTTATAGGTAACTTTGAAAACAAAGGGAAAAAATTCTGAAATACTCTGCTCTACGGCGAATACCAGTAGATGTTCCGGAAATTGTGTTTTTTTTTTCATTGTAAAGGGAGGACGTTTTTGCTGCCCATGTGTCTATCTCTGCTAAACAGGATACCAGTTTTAATTTGAGTCACTTATTCACTCATCCAGGGAGCTGCTAAATAATCTAAACGAACGAGTTTTGATTTATTTTGAACGAAGTTTTGTTTTTCATCGCAGAGGTGAAAAGCACGGAATCAATGGGACTTCTTTGGTAGAAAAGACGTGTTAAGCATCATTTATAGCGAATAACAGTAGCGAAGTATTACCAATACGTCAGATTATATTAATATAAGGAAATGACTGTCTCACTGCTGGTGAATTATATCTAAATAGAAAATAATATAATACCATATATAAAATCTATATAGGTTTGATCTTTTGTTTCCCATTAATTAAGGCAATGAATATCGTGTAACACATCTACGATGAATATCAGTGGGAAAATCGTTTTCCAGCATTTGGGTTTGTATAGCTCAGTGGGCTCTTCAAGTAGTTGTTTTGTGGTGTTCGTTTTTTAAACTGCATATATTTTCAGTTTTTTGTGTAACCCTGATACCCTGATTGAACTCTGTACCCATTTCAAACTTCATCCTTTTTGTCTCTGCAGAAGTAGCTTCCCGTGAATTGCACTGCAGTGCAACTTCCCCATGAGATCTCTGTTAACTGACTATGCTGTTGCTGGTAGCGCTTGGTGCGGTCTTTGGTTGTACTGTGGTTGACACAGAGGACAACCGCTTTAACACGGAAGCGAGACTTTACAAACCGTTACTAAACTATAGCTTCTCTCTACCAGAAGAGCATATCCCCTATTTTTTATACAGTAATAAGAAAATCGCCAAAGTTTGCAAAGAGGATCCTCTTTGTCCATTTCAGGTAAGAATTTCTTCTTTTCGTTTTCAGAACTGAATGTAATTAGCTTTGTGTAGTCACTGTACCTTAACGCAGATTTCAATATTTAGTTCTGTAAAGCAACAAACTGATGTTCACATCATTAAAGGTAAAAGAAAATAATTACCTTTTACTTGTGTGAGATGGCATTTCTTCTTCTTTTCTTCTTCAGAAAACATGGTACAGTATAATAATACCTCTGATCTTGTTTTAGTTTACAAGCCCTCATTCTTTGTATGAGATGTTTTAGTATTTGCTGCACTGTTTTGGAAAATAAGATTTGTCAGAAATAGAAAATAATCAATTGTCAAAAAGAAACATTAAATAACATATCAATTAATATCTTAATTAAAATCGTCCAATTCTTATACTTTATTCCATATCACTGACAGTTGAGTGCAGTTTTGTCATGAAAATTAAACATAAAATGCTGCTAATTGGATATTTTATGATCTACTACTGACGTTAATTAGATGTTTAGCAAAAAACATTCCTATTATCTATTATTTTCTATTTGGATGTCAAGTCTTCTTTCCTACCTCACACAAGCTGGCTGTAGGAGTTTCTCAGAATGTTTCAGAAGTAGTTTTATGTAAATATTAAAGAATATGACACTTAAACCAAACCTAAATGGAACCTCTGGAATGGGAAGAGAGCACATAACTGAAAAAATACCACTACTGTATATATACTGTATATATAAAAAAGATTGAGTTGGTTTTGAAAAACAGAAATTTTGTGTGGAAGTTGGATTTTGATTAAAGTAAAACATACGTCATTACTATGGGACAATGTAAAAGACCTGAACTTTGTTTTAAAGGCAGGGCTTTTATTAAATTATTTGGGAACATGTACATTTGGCATGGCTGTGTTTTCTGCATTCTTTCTGAAATATAAAATGGATAGCCCATTTGCACATTCCTGTTTGCTTCTGAAAATTGCTGCTAAACTGAGATTTATTTACAATTTCCCTACGGGATCAATAAAGTCTTATCTATCTATTTATCTTAACTATAAATTGCATGCAATAAGGATTGCCCAGCATGCATGTTATATTTAACTATGATCCACATGTTGTTAAGAATCTTTCCTTGAGGGAATCAAGGCAGGTCCATGTCTTCCATTTGCTCAGTTTTTTTGTGGAAAATGTTTTCTGCTTTCAAAAAGCCTTCTGTTCGGCTAACAGGAATTCCTCAAGAACACTCAATCTTGCTGGGGATATGAACAGAACTGCTTGCCACAGCACAGGTTCAGCTATCCAGTGTGCTCCAGTATTGATTCAGGATGGTATGTTGTAAGCCGCCATTGAATTAAAGTTGCAGATTTAAGCTGAAGGTCACCATTTGTTACCATTTTAATTCCTTTCCATTTTGTGTGGTATATACAGTATTGTTAAAACTGTGGGTCCTTTTAATGTGCATGAAGCTCTCTGTATTGAGCTTAACCAAACAAGAACTGAAACTTGTGTTTCTGATGTCCAGTCTCAGGAGAGTGTCGAAAAACAGTCTCTTATCTCGCGACCTCACACTACCATTTTTTTAACAGGGCAAACTCTATTCAAGCAGCTCAGGACCTGTTTTGGAAACAAGCAGATTTTGGATATGTGCGAGAACGATTGGATGAAATGAAAAGCTTGTGTAAGCCTATCAAACCGGTAAGGTTTCTCATTCTACTTTTTGCTAAAAGAATGTTGATTTATGGGCAAGGGCAGTTGTTATGTGAAGAGGTATTGTGCAATTATAGGGGCCTAGGGTGATGTGGGGTGGGATGAACCTACAGGTTCTAGTAATTTATGTCTTTTATGTAATGTTGTATTTTTTAATGTAATGCTTATGTGTAGTGTTTGTGTGTTTTTGTAAGTCTCTTCGTGTAAGTCTCTTCAAAACAAATTCGTGAGAAATTAGACAACAAAGTACAGTATTAAAGCAGATTAGATTAACATCAAAATCACTGATTTTGAATCACTGATATTGTCAATGCTTGGGAATGTGAAGATCAAAAAGAAGTATGAGGGAGGGCTATCGGAGAGTGACTGTACTTCCAACAGCAAAAGTTGAGCAACAACACAGCAGAAGTGTTTTTGTACTGTACCCCAGTGTTTTGGAAATTGGCTTGATGGCATGACGAAGGGCTTGAAATTGAGAAGTATTTTGGGTAGTGCAATGTTATATTTGAATTTTTTCTTCCAGGGGGACTCTTCTCTGGTTTGCACTAGCTTTACAAGGTACTGCAGAGCTACCAATCTGTACCTGGATTTCAGGAACCCCAGAAGGGGCCCAGAGAGGTTGGTTTCCCCCTTCTGTATGAATATAGTGAGTTATGACAAGAAAAAAAAATCCAGAAAGATGTTTTAGGTATATATCTGCATTTGCAGACCAAAGTACTGGAAGTCTTCTATCTTAAACCTAAACATCTTAGTTAGCACTTGGAAGGAGGAGTAAAGACTAGAGTCTCAAGTAGCAATCTGTGTCATTGACAAGTATAAATCAATTTAAGTACCACCTTTTATTTCATTTTGTGGTAGAATTTAAAATAGTAAAAGTACACAGTGTATTGTATTTGGCAGGGGTGGTGAAGGGGGCAGCTCAGCTAAGTGGGTAAATCTCTGGTTTTGTAACTTGTGGGTTGTGGGTTCAAGTTCCTGCTGCTGACCCTGGTGTTGTTGCTACAGAAACCTAAATAAGCTCTGGCCTGATGAACTACTGTGGCTCAGATATGGAAATTAAATACACCGTATTTAGAACTGCTTGTAGTTTTTTCCGAAACAATCGTCTGGGACACTTATTGTTCTTAGGATTTTTAGATTCAGAAATCCTTAGAAAAGTATATCTGCAGTTGTAATAGGCAGTTACTATCTTGCATCTATGACCCTCAAGTCAAGAAATAGTGGCTGTTTGAAAGATAAAAAGAGATCCTGCTAGACGATGGTACTGTATGAATGTTGATTCTAGCTTTTTATTATGTAGTGCTGGTTAATTTCTGTATGTTCATATTTTTTGGTACACTTTTCAGATATAAAGAAGATTTTTTCCAGGAGGGTGAGGTAGGTGGACACTGTAACCTGAATAAGGAAGACTTATTATCTGAAGGCCAACATAAGAGCCCTTTGCAGTCATGGTGAGTTTCTGAATTTGCTCAAACCTCCTAATCTGTGTTTTATTTCTTGGTAAAATTCCATGTTTATTTTGGAAGTTTTTTTCGTGAGAATCACTTAGATTATGATGATTTAGAATTTTGGACCCTTATTTACAAAGATATGTGGAATTTTTAAATTGATCTCAAATGAAATAGTACATTATTCCATTTGTCTTAGGTTTGCAGAATTGCAGAGTTATACACAACTGAACTTTCATCCGATAAATGATGGCAAGTGTGATCTTATCATTGAAAAACCTACCATCTTCATGAAACTAGATGCTGGTAAGCATTTCTGTTTCGCTTTCATTCATTTGTAATTTTTGAGAAGAAAAAGCACCATGTAGTGAAAAACAAAGGCTTAAAAGGTGATTTATATATAAACAAACACCTATGATATTTTCATATTTGCTCAGGAAGTGAGGTGTGGCTTAGTGTAGTGGACTCTGGACTCATGACTGGTGGGTTGTGGGTTTGAGTCCCTGTTGCAGACACTGCTATTATGCCTTGAGTGATGTACCCCAGTTTCGCCAGCATTGCTGTGGCATAACTCCTACATTACTCTGTTCTCCACTCCACTGATAGCTGATGTACATATGAGTATGGTGTATGGTGTATGTATGGTGAGTATATTGGCGCACCTTTGGCTGCTGTTGCATCATCCAGGTGAGGGCTACACATTGGTGGTGGTGGAGAGGAGTTCCAATTACCTGTAAAGCACTTTTGAGTGGAGTGTCGAGAAAAACACTACATAAATGTAAGGAATTATTTATTTAATGTTCTACCAATGTAGGGGGGTAATCACATGCTCTCTAGTCCATTTAACAGTACAGGCAATGGCTCTGGTATGGACTTCACTTTTGTACCTTTACTCAGGTACTGAAAAGTGTTATTTTGTATTATCTACTCAATATATAGAATGATGTGCTTCATTCTAGTATCCTGTAATTTTAGGAATAATGGCATGGTTTTAACTTTAAAACGTTTTGCGTCTTCGTAGGGGTCAACATGTATCATCACTTCTGCGATTTTGTCAACCTCTACATATCCCAGCACATCAACAATTCCTTCAGTAAAGATGTGAACATTGTCATGTGGGATACGGTGAGCATTTAATCTCTGAGCCCTGAATAACAAGACCCGAGCTTTGCATGGCAGTCATTGCAATGTTGACATGAAAACCCCCTTTGTGTGTGTGGATCTCAAACTTAAAAAATCCAGCGCAATTACTGGTGGCTGAGTTCTTCTAATGATGATGTGAGGGCCTGATGAAGAAGCGGATGGAAAAGCTAGCTGATGATTATTTCAATTAATAATTGTTGTCCTTGTTCTTAAGGAAGCAGAGTAATTCAAATTCAAAGCACATTATTGGCATGACTGATTAATTACAGTGTTGCCAAAGAAATAACAATTAGCAAAAACATCTATAGACATTTAAAATAAAACATATTATTATTACATATGATGCAGTTTTGTTATGTCTTTTTGATGAGGAGGAAAGAAAATTGATACTTTTAACTATTTGCTTTTTAGCATAGTAGGTAAGTCTCTGGGCTGGCATTTATTATATTTGATATATTTTTTCGCAGGCCAGTTCTATTGTTCTCTGATGTGTGGTGCAAGCAAGCAAGCTGTAAACTGGCTGTTGTGTCAGAATTAGGAGCTGCTCTGGAAAGCCAAATTTCTAGAGTAAGACTGGAAAACAAATGCAAGAATCTTTCCACATTCCTCTTTTTCTTTCCTGACTTTCTTTTCTCAGATCTATGCGGCTTTTGTAGTACACAGTGCAACACGAGCTACAATATGTTACTAAATGTATTATATAAAAATAAAAAAAGGTTTTCTGAAACAAATATGAAGCTAAGAGCTTTGCCATTTTATCTCACAAGAAACCGTATCCTGTGAATTGTTTCTCTCCCTCTTTTGTTTTTAAGACATAGGAAGGAGGCAGAGAAGGGAAATGGAAGTTCCTTTCATCTGGGAAACAATGTGTGTGAAAATGCAGAGCTGATCAGTTTACAATGGGCAGCTTTTACATCAAGGAAGCTTGTAGTTCTTCCACAAGGCACTCTTAACATAAGAGTGGCAATCAATAACAATACCTTTGTAACAGTACCTCTGTCTTCTTCCTCCTATTCATATTTTTTGTGCTTTTAATGGGGCTAGCAAGATTGATGCTTGTACAAGCAGATTTTTTATTTCCGAAAGAAATTAAAATAAAAACTACTCTTGCTTAGAACAAGAACAGAGTAATTGTGTGATTACATTTCTGTCAATATGCTGTTCCTGAAAAGTAAACTGATATACCGTATAACATCTTACCTCATAAAGCTGGTTTTAAACTGTGATGTTTTATTTTAAAGGTTTCTCAGACCTCTATGATAAAAGGAAAATATGAAATGTCAAAAAGAAAAAAGCTACTTCTGTTTTACTTTGCCAGATAGAATGTACCGTGATTATTTATTTTATTGAAAATGTATCCCTGCTCTTCTTTGTGTCTGTCTGCTCAACAAGTCACTTAACATAAATGAAACTTTTATTCACTTTTATTTTAATTTTACAACTATAAAGATAATTTTTTTAGGTGATATATTTTGAGAGGGAGAGGGTACATTATAGGTAGCAAAATGCTCATGTTTTCTTGTTAGCAGCTGTGTTCACTATTGGGAAATTACTAGCACAATATACAGGGAGATGGTCCCTTGTAATTAAGGTCTTTTCAACTTCTTGTCTTTTCCTGCAGAGTTCATATGGATATGGTGATTTATTCAGTGACATGTGGAAAGCCTTTACTGATTATGAAATCATACATCTTAAAATGTTTGACTCTAAAAGGGTAAGGGACATTTTTATTTATTTAATTCCCTGCCATTTCTTGTATTGTTGTAACTTAAAAATGTTAATATATATTTTATCTCACATTTTCAACAGGTTTGTTTCAGGGATGCAGTTTTTGCTCTGCTCCCTCGGATGAGATATGGTCTATTTTACAACACCCCTTTAGTAAGTATCTCTTACTTCAGGAATAACCAAATATCTGTGTAACCTCTAAGGAGTTCATGGTAGTATGTACACTGCACAACTGTATTACTCAAAACATGTTACTTGCCTGTCAGTTCTAATTTACTTTTTCACTGGGGTCATTGGAATGAAGGACTGATCATGTTGTTTGTTTTATCAAATTCTGTTAACGTTTTTAAACATAAAAATGTTGTTTATTAGTAGGTAACAGTAAATACTGGGAGTTTTGCTTTCTCATGTTACTTACCCATCTCTGTTGTGTTTTCAACATTGCAACATGTACAGTACACCTCTGGTTGGTATAACAAATAAATAATTATTACACGTATTTATACTTACAGCACTTTTCTGGACACTTGAGTGATGGGTGCTACACATTGCCTTTTTCTTTTCACCCCACTGTATTACAATATAATTTGTATTTATTTGGAAAGCAACTACAGTAATATTGTTGCTTTTCTATAAAACTACCATTATAGTCTTGCCTATATGTTAGAATTCAGTTAAATGTCCCCATTTATATGATCTGTTTTCTAGTTTTAGCTTGTTTAAGTATGACACTTCAAGTAGTTGGCCTTGAAAGGTTCTACATAAAACAAACTTTGATTGCTTGAATAGGTCTTTGTGTAGCTCAAAATCCACATGGTAGTATTTGTAACTTGTTTGGTTGAGGCTATCTATAGAAGCTCCAGGTCATGATGTTGTCTGACCCTGTTGTTCACATAACTTTCATGTGCTAAACTACTGCATTGATTGTTGTTGTGCTGGGTTGACATTTGACATCTTTGTTTGAACTGCAGGTCTCTGATTGCTACAGCACAGGGCTTTTCAGGGCTTTTTCCCAGCATGTTCTACACAGGCTGCATATCACCCAGGAAGAGTCCAAGGTAAGGTTACAGCCAGAGATTGAAAAGGTTGTGATTTGTTTTATGGCTAATGCACAATTTTATAGCACCTAATTAGGTTTGGCCTTTATGGGGGAAAAATATTTCAGAAAAACCCTGCCTGCATATTCACAGTTCCCTGTAAAATTGTCAACACCTGTTACTTAGAAATTGTCCTGCATTTACAATCTCTTTACTGCAGATTGTTTTGCAAACTCCTGGCACTGAGCTCCCTTTCAATATTGCATTAAAACCATGGTCACTTTTCATCACCCTAATTTGATTATTTTTGGTATTTACAATTCTCATGTGCAGTTATATTGTGGAGAAAATTCTCTTCTGTGTATAGTGAGATAGACCTTTCTTTGAAAAGTGTAATGTTTGCTTGTTAAGGCTTACATTTCTGAATGTTTCAGTCTGAGTGCATTATACTTAAAGATTTCCTAACAGTTTCTACAGAAGGCATTCGTTAATTCTGAAGCCTTATTTTCCACCACATTGCCATTCACTTTCAGACAGCAGACGAACAGTTATCTTTCCTTTAAATCATTGTGGTGAGCTAAATAAATCCATCTGACTGTGCCGGATAATTCAGTGCATCCAGCAACACAGTTATCATAAAAAAATCTGAAAAATCCAAAGACACGCTGAAAAGGTTAATTGACATCTTCAGAATACTAACACATATCTCCTGTACTGTACCATGAACTGATGGGTCTAGTCTTATGTTCCATCTTATTACTGTGTTCTGAGGATAAAGAGGATGCTAAAAGTGGATGAATTAATGGATCTGAAAGGTTCTTTAACAGCCAAAATATTCGTCCATGTGGGTCACATTACCACATCAAAGTGTTCTTCCACAGAACATGCACTAGAGGGCACTGTTGCATAACTAGCGAGACTGAGCCCTGCTTGAGCAGGTTGGGATTCTTGTGGCTCTGGGGGTTGAATAATGTTTTACTTGCCTTACTTTGGTTTCAGGAAAGGAAAATTCGTGTCACCCTTTTAGTACGTAGCACAGAGTACCGTAAAATTTTAAATCAGCATGAGGTGAGTAGTGCACTTTTCTTAAAAGAAAATACAGTACTTTAAAGTGGTACATGCATGCATTTGAGGGTATATAGAAATATGAACTCTAAATATGTGATGGGAAATACTGAGTTTGAAAGAACAACATCTGAAAAATAATTAGGTGCTTATGCTATATATCATGTAAACTTAAGCAGAGTGTATGGATAAAATCAGCAGCCATATCACCCTGCAACTCACAACTGGCAACCCACTGAAGCTAAGCAGGTGTGAGCCTGGTTAGTACCTGGATGG